CTTGTAACAGCGGCAGCTTGTAAATTCGTGGTAAAATCATGGCAGCTACCCAACATAATTCTTAAATAAGACTTTTTCTACAATTTTAGAAATGCAAAAGAAAAATCGACTTTCATCTTTTAAAATGGCACCCTTTCTTTTTTCAAGTATTTTACTAGCTGCTACCCTGTAATCATGTATTTCTTCTGTCCCATTATTTCATTAATGTTCAAATATCCATGAAGTTTCAAATAATTTAAAAATGTCATTTTGACCATTCTGATCAGAAATCAATTTTAATTTTCTCAATTTAAACCATTTTTGAAACATGGTACCTAGTTCTATGAGGGTAGCTTACCCCAGCCCCTGAAAACAAAGAATACCCCATATCTCCTTATTAGTAATACGTACGGTTCTGAAAATGCCGTAAATGGACTCAGCACCATCGAAAACCTATGGGTAGACATAACATGTGATAGTGTATCTGATAAGCTTCAAATTTCCATTCAGACAATCACTGCCAAAATTACTTGGAACACCTAACACTTTGGGCTGTGCTTTTCTATTTTTCATTTGTTTTCTTGAATACTACCACTTCCGCCCCCCTTTCCCCCCAAAACAATGTTGAAGGTATAGAAAAATATCAAACAATCCACAAGAAAAAGCGTACTCCATAACCCCTCTCTTTTTTCTAAAGTAAATCAACATTGTTCCTAGGGGGAGAGGGGGATGGCTGAATTTGCCTTTGAAAACCTACGTTAGTGTTCCAAGACTTTTGGCAGTGATTGTCTGAAGCCAATTTCGAAAACCAATGGTTATGACAGGAAAAGTTGGTCTTACTATAGGGTTTTCGATGGTGCTGAATTCATTGGTGCATTGGTATTATCAACGTATGCGAGGAATTAGGAGAGCCTTCGTTCCCAAATGTGAATGCTGTGTAGTATGAGAATGTCTACTGCCCACGGTTAACAGTCACGGTCTACACTTTTTAAAATGTTTATAAAAATCGTACTGTTCAATAAAATAGACGATAGTTTGCCAGCATGTGTGCAATGTGTTTTTACAGGTGTCTGTAGCCTTTCAGCTTCATTCCAGTTACAAAACTCCAGAAATGCAGGAAAATGTCCACGGTTAACACTTTTCTGAAGAAGGAATTTCAAGAACTCAAGATCTTTTCTCGTTTCAAGTGTTAACCGTGGGATTTCTCTAAAATCTTGCCGTTTTCATCACGGAATTTATGCAAAACTTAGTCCTACATGTTAGTTAAATTATGACACACCTTTGTGGTAAATTTGGGGGCAAAAATGCTGTTGACCATAGAGAAAACTGCAAAAAGCCGCCACGGTTAACAGTACGGTCTACAGTTTCTCATATCTGTGAACGACAGTGGGCTTGCGGGGCCTTGCCTCTGACAAGGATGCAATTTGCATTGGGTGATGAAATGTGTTTTGGTATGCTAAATGACAGGCAAACAAAAGCAGCAAGTTATTATTGTTGAAATAATCGGTCCAGCGCTTTTATGGATAAAAAAGAGGGAGGCACAGTCATGGTTGCAATGGCTTTTTGGCAAAACAGTGGAAGCAGAAATGGAGCCTTTACTTGGCGTGCAACTAAAACTGGAATTTTAGGGCGCAGAAGTATGAGTGGACGTCAGTTGTATTTTAGCTCTTTTAAAGGCCAACGTGGAATCGTAGATAAGCCTGTTGAGAGCTCATTTGCGGGGAAAACGGGGTTCTTCTCTACGAGTTTGATATGTTCCTTGAAAATCGCCATTTGGACAGTGAAATGCATAGGAACAGCTTGTAACAGCGGCAGCTTGTAAATTCGTGGTAAAATCATGGCAGCTACCCAACATAATTCTTAAATAAGACTTTTTCTACAATTTTAGAAATGCAAAAGAAAAATCGACTTTCATCTTTTAAAATGGCACCCTTTCTTTTTTCAAGTATTTTACTAGCTGCTACCCTGTAATCATGTATTTCTTCTGTCCCATTATTTCATTAATGTTCAAATATCCATGAAGTTTCAAAAAATTTAAAAATGTCATTTTGACCATTCTGATCAGAAATCAATTTTAATTTTCTCAATTTAAACCATTTTTGAAACATGGTACCTAGTTCTATGAGGGTAGCTTACCCCAGCCCCTGAAAACAAAGAATACCCCCATATCTCCTTATTAGTAATACGTACGGTTCTGAAAATGCCATAAATGGACTCAGCACCATCGAAAACCTATGGGTAGACATAACATGTGATAGTGTATCTGATAAGCTTCAAATTTCCATTCAGACAATCACTGCCAAAATTACTTGGAACACCTAACACTTTGGGCTGTGCTTTTCTATTTTTCATTTGTTTTCTTGAATACTACCACTTCCGCCCCCCTTTCCCCCCAAAACAATGTTGAAGGTATAGAAAAATATCAAACAATCCACAAGAAAAAGCGTACTCCATAACCCCTCTCTTTTTTCTAAAGTAAATCAACATTGTTCCTAGGGGGAGAGGGGGATGGCTGAATTTGCCTTTGAAAACCTACGTTAGTGTTCCAAGACTTTTGGCAGTGATTGTACCTCAAACAATGTGCGAGAGGCCTTCTTTGCTTCTTTTTCTCGTATCTTTTTTTCCTGCCTTTTCTGAGCACCAGACTAAGTCTGAGACTTGTGCCTGCAAGATGACATCGCAGGGGTTGGTTGGATCGTGATCCAGCTTAGTGATTTTGATAAAGACTTTTATAGCGTTTGGATTTGCTTGGTTCTTCGCATGTGCTTTTTCTCTGGTGTACGCCGTGAAAGGAAGATTTACTTTTAAGTTTATAGGAATTCCACACAAGGAATAACTAAAACATTTGAACTAAAAGTAGATATATGTAAGTGCAATCGAATTTTTCGGCTTCCGGAGAAGTATATTATGATCGTATCGTCAATGTTTTAATTATAAACCATAACAAGAAAAGGCCAACATCATAGACCAGCTTGTTGATTCCATGTTGAAAGATTAAATTTCGAATATCAATCGGGCCCTGCCAATGCTGCTAATTGAAAACTCATAGCCAAAAATACATACCTTATTTTCTACGGGCCCCTCAAGGCCCCGGGCCCCCTGTTAACTACCCTGGTTACCCCCCCCCCCCTCTCGACGGTCCTGCATGTATGTATCAAAACGTAGCAACTACCACTGCATGATTCTTTATTGATTTTAAGATGTTAAAGTTTACGTATTACCAAAAACATTACTTCTATAGAACATGTTTTACCTGAAAATTAGTTTTGACGTTCCCCACACCCCTTGGTCACAAAATTTTTAATTTAATACAATAACGATCAGCTGATTAGCCAATATCGTATACATGCATACGAGTTCGATATATAATTATATATATTTACTTATTCAAATCATTCAATACTTGAGCAAACCATATTCACAACATATCAAGATGGGTGTGGCATAATAACAATATGACGCCAGCCAAAGTTACAAAAGCACCCAATCCTCAGTTGCAGGGCCGTCGCGAGGCAAGCCTTGTTGGGGGGGGAGGGGTGTGGACTACAAATTTACCTGATTAAAAAATTTTTGCCTGAACTTCTTTAGTTGCTTTCACAAACCTCTGCAATGTATTCTGTCAATCTAACTCTGTATATAATTCGCAACTTTCATTTTAATTTGAAAATAACGGAATTTACCCATGGGCCCAATTTTTAGATTTAAGGGGGCCATGTGCAAAAATTTTGAAAAGCCTTTAAAGTGCTGTTGATTTCATTCTTGTGTTTGAATTGAGCTAGGGGCCTCATAAAGTAATGAATTCCATTTAAAGAATGGAATAAAGGGCGTGGTCACAAGAATTTTCAGCTCGTTCCGCTCGCAGGGGGCCTCATATTTTTTTTACCCCAGGGGCTTCGAAACTTTCGGCGGCCCTGGCTGGAGCTGCCCCAATGCAATGACTGACCCAAACTCCTTTATAGCATTGCACAGTCAGAATGTCAGAATTCATGAAAAAGCTGAGTCGCTGAGAAGGGCCTCGTTTCACTCTCGCCTCGAGGCCAAGATATTACAAAATAAATGGCGGGTTGTCTTCGTGCACACTGACCAGTATTTGTCCATCTCTATGGTTTGTCCTGAGCACGATGATAGATGTTCACTGCCACATCAGTGCCGAAGAATTTGCATCCGTATGGGCTTTATTTTATTATTTACCCTAGTGCATTTTTTGCTTATCTCACTAGCTTCAAATTTATTCCTTCAGAATTTATTCAAAATACAAATTGACTTCAAAAAATGTTGGAGGACATGTCCCTGTTCTTCTTTTTCCTACTGCCTCTATTATTTATATACTCCTAGTTCCCTTTCGAAATTAATTAAAGGTTTTTAGGCAATGTCTTAAATTTTTCCTTGCTTGTATTTCTTGGTTTTTTATAAATTACCAACTGTAAAATCTGCAGAGCAGGGTATAGTTCTGAGAAACGTTTCCTCAAACAGAAAATTATTTTTTAATTGGACAATTTGTTTTCCATGCACAACAAAACTTAAGAAATCAAGATAAATGCTTGATAAAAGTTAACATATATAATATTGTAAACTTTTTTTTCAAAAGGACAGAGAGTTGATGATACAAGGGGCACAAGAGGTATGTTTCTTCTGTGTAGCTAGCTTGCTTTCATCATGTTCTGTTTGCTAAAAGTTGGCATATTACTGTTCAGTAACTATGTTCTTTAGACAGAATCATGTTATTTGCCATATGCTCAATACACATTTATTGATTTGTCGGCTGTATTGTTTTGTTCAATACCCATTTATTGATTTGCCTAAGCCAACAGTCAAGCTATGCTTCAAAATCATGAATAGTTATTTATGTTTTGTGGAATGTCTTAGAAGGTTGTTGTTGTTGGAATGTTAGTTTCCTTTATTGTAATTTTGTTTTGGGAACTAGCCTAGACATGGAAATGCTGGGTGAAATTGCAAATTAAGTTACAGTCAAGAGCTTGATACATATTGTTTTAAAATGTGGTAAGGGACATCTTTTGTGACATTAATGAAATCTTCAGATTCTACAGATTTTTCCACAATTTATTAAAGCATACTGGTTCCTTGTGATTCTATGACAGTTTCTACATACATTGTAACTAAAGCTACAAGTAAAATATGGATGAGAATTTCTGTTCCAAAATAGGGCAATTTTAAGGAATTTTAAGCAAATACATATTTTTGGAAAATTGATTGAGTAAAGAGTGGAAGTACTGCAGATTTAACATAGTAAATAACTCAATTTCAAGCCATTCTGTCATCTTATTAGTTTCCTGCACTTTGGTAAAACACAAATGATTAATTATTAAACAGGCGTGCAATAAAATGCATTTCCCAGTGTGGGGAGGCGTGTACCAAGGCATGCGAGTGCAATTGCGAATGAACTACAACTGCTTGTTAGTGTTAATATATGACAATTACGGAGAGAAATAATGTGTATTTAAGAAGTGGAATGAAGCAATCCGTTTTTAACTTACAGGTGGTTTGGGTTGCCAATCAGCCCTTTTGGTATCATTGATTTAATCAAATAAGGACATCTTCAGTAAATAAAGGTTTTTTGTATTATGACCAATTGTCAGAATTTTGTTCAAGGTGAATTTTTTGGAGATGTACCTTTAATTTTGCTCCAGTATTTCAGACATACATTCTCTGAATTTACTTGATTTACTCTTACTTGCAATAACGCGGTCGATACCAGACACATTGCTAGTCATCCTTAGCTTTAACAAGCATGCTTTCGTCAGCCTTCTTTCCATGAATGAATAACAAATAACTGTGAGTGATCTCATGAGAAATAGACAAACAGCCAACTTAATATTGGCTATTTAGAATCAAACTGGTGACATAAAAGTAATGATTTTCTCCTATTTTGGTAATAAAGGCATACACCACTATAATCCTGTTGAAATTCTCAAACTTGTGAACCAAGCTAAAACCAGTTCTGTTCCTTTGCATTCTTTTTTTGCTTTTTTGTTTTAATTATTTTATTTAAGATTTGGTGTTAAAGCTAATTTTTTGGGATGTTGTCGGCTTCAAATAGATCACACCAGGGTTGTTCTGCCTTCAAAAACTACATATTATGTAGGTCATTACGAAATTATTAATTTTTCCTTTATCTCATACACTGCAGGGCTAATGTTTGATTTTGATAGTTATTATTCTATTAGCATAATCATGAAGAAAATTTCTGCAACTTTTAAGAAGCCTACTTGTCATTCATAGCTTTGAAACATGATATTCAACTTTCTAGCCTTTCATTACTATCTCACAATTTCACATTTTTTAGGTTGGTGTAAAAGCTATTGTTGCTGTTTGTGAATTTCCAAAAGATTTCAGCATTGTACTAGAATTGTCGACTAGGTAAACTTGGCCCCTGACTTTCTCAGCCCATATGTTTTTCTCCTTTGCTATAAATTACAAAGATTATTTATTTATTCTATGAATAGTGTTAAGGCCATATACCTAACATTTCTGATATTTTCTTTATTTCTACAATTTTTTGTGTGACTGTTAGTCATTTTAATATTAAACCATCCCAACAATCTCTGTAGTTCGGAGACCCTACAGAATTTTCAACCATTGACGGACTTTGTGGGTTCGATTCAGATCGGTTTTGACTGCCCTGAGTTGATATAGTTTGACCATGAAACGTTGATAAATGCCACCCCATTCAGTGTTAGCGTGATAGGATGGCATGATTATCAACTTTCTGTCTTGGCAGTTTATGTGAAAAGCAACAACCATCTGAATATTAGCATTGAATAAACTGTAAGCTTTTTCTACTTTCTCCGTGTTTTTTCTCTAATCAAGGGCTATTTAGTAAAACCGTAAAACCTCTTTTTACTATGCACGTTCTTAAATCACTGTAGGTACCCTGGTTTTATTCATCCCTGCGTTGGAGCTCACCCTGTACAGGTAAATAGAAGGTGAAAATTAGTAGTTTAAATACAATCCCTCTTTCTGTTATTGTTGATGCCTCTGTAGCGCTGATGATCTCTGCCCTCTTTGATGCTAAAACGCTGCTTCTATTCATATCTTTCATATCTAAGTTTTTCTTTTCACTTAAGTATTGTTTCAAAGAAATATTTAATATAGAAGAAGAGTTTAGGTGTGATGTTAGATATTCGAAGATTTCGTTGATAACTTAGTTTCTTTGAAATGAAGTTTTTGTCTATGAAATTCACTAGTTATATTATTGCTTTAAGACTACTTTCGTCGCTGTTATTGTTCTTATTATTATATGAGTAACATCAGGCTTTATGTGAAATCTCAAATTCAGCGTATATTCCTCTCTTAACAGGAAGGCAACAGGAGCGTCTCTTTAAAGGTATCATTTCTTTGTTGCCGTACTGTTGCCATTTTACTCTTTCGTTCTAGTAAATTTTTCAGCTAATTCCAAACATAGTCAATAAAGAATGCCAAGATAAGATTTTTTTTATTATTGACTATATTCCGAGGGATTGTTCAAAGCAAGTTAGAAATCGATTATGTTTGCCTAACCTTATTGTGTTTTGGAACGTGTCTACTAAAAGACAAACAAAACCGCAATGTGTAGACAAACGGTTTTTTTGCTAGGATCCTTTTAAGGCACTACGTCCCGACGAGTTCCGTTGGTCACTTGTCGATAAGATATTCCCATTATACGATAGGATTTTGTTACTTTTCCCATTGGCTCCGGAACTACTTACACTAGGAGCCAAAAAGACAATGATATTTTGTATGCAAGCAAGGGATTTCTGCATCATTTCAATGCCATCCTCAATCTATGATTGCATTTTTCAGTAAGTGCCGCGATGTTTCAAGATATTGCAGTAATTTCATTTCTTTTTTCCAGGAATTTGAAAAGACCGAGGAATTTGTAAGGCAAAATGCGAAGTTACTTGTTGGAATAGGTGAAGTAGGTAACCTAAATCAGTTGTAACTTTACTTCCAAAGCTATTTTTGTGTGTTCGTTTTTGATTGCTTTTGGCTTTCCACTATCTGTTGCAATGCTCTATCCTATTTTGGAGTTGGGCGTTTTTCGCTTCTCTAATTCTAAGCTTGTCACTTGAATTTCTTTTAGGTAGGCCTTGATTTCACGCCATATATCATTAAGTCTCCCAAAGACAAGGAAATTCAACGAGAAGTTTTTAAAAGACAGGTATATGTATTTGAAATGCATCCCTGTTAGCGAAATACTACTTTTTTGCTGTGGAAATAAGGAAGTACCTGGTAATTTTATTTACTAGGAGTGTTCGAGCAAGTATCACGCGTAACCTATCATTTTTTTTCAGTTCTGATAAACTTCAATTTCTCAGTAATTGTATTAAATGGTATTCACAGGCCTAATAAACAGCTAAACTGTTAGCCTCTTTTTCATTTTAGATTCAACTTGCCAAAGATTTTAGTCTTCCGTTGTAAGTGTTTTTGTTCCTGTAAAGGAACTATGTTCCTCTTTGGTCTTGTTTCTAATTTCGTCGTTATTTATGTTGATGATAACACACTCTTTGCGATCAAAAAATGTTTTGCATTTCCGCTGTTCTTTTTCAATTGCCTTCCCATATTTTTTATAGGAATGTGCACTCCAGATCCGCTGGAAGACCAGTTATCGACATTCTCATTCAAGAAGGTAGATATGCACCTTCGCGGCATCGAGTCTTGCCGGTTGCAATGTGTATTTTATTGGACTATTGCGTTATTTTCCCACAACACTCTTATTTTGATTCTATTGCGAATTTGTCTATGATAGTGATTGCACTTAGAATGGGCTATTGGCGAAGTTTGCTTTTTTGCTGTTGTTTTGAGAACATGCTGTTTTTTTCTCATTTCTACTTTTTATGTTAGGTGCAAAAGATGTCGTTCTCCATGCGTTTGATGGCAAGCCGTCCGTGGCAATGAAAGGTGTTGATGCTGGTTACTTCTTTTCTGTGCCACCCTCTGTCATTCGATCTGAACAGGTTAAAATATTTCTGCCTTTGTTGGGAATCCGCCACTTTGCGTATAGCATGTGTATTTTTACAATTAGCTCATTGATTCCGTCGGGTTCTTTGTTGGTCATGCAAGTATTTTCTTCTTGTTGTTTTAGAGTAGCATTTGCGTCAAAACCTCGCTTTAAGCTGAATCCGTCCGAGGTTATAGGAAATAGTTATTCCACGCCCGCTGATTAAGTTATTAGACTTATCCAGAATAAACACCTGAATAACATATATGCAAGTTGATTGGTAGTTATAATTAAAAGTTCGTGACTCAAAACTAATTAGCAACGTAAGTAAACGTATATATTCCGCAAATTCATTTGAAAAAGAAGAGTGTTCGACGCAGGAGTCGTCGTAGTGTTGTAATCGTTTGAGATTTGGAAAAAGACGGAGATATGAAGCAAATAGTTGTATTTTCTTGGATTCATGTTTCTGCTCTTGGGTTCTCTATTCTGATACCAGCGAGATTGGAGGTTTTCCTCAACAGCCTTTAAAGCAACCTTACAGCATTCTTGGTTTTTTTCTGTTCTTTCGATTTTCAACAAATCTTGCTCAATTATGGTGGGTTTATTCTTTGAGAATGCGCCAACTAAACTTTGCATCTTCCTTTAAAGAAAAGTAATGATTTTGATTCAGCAAGGAGCAGTAAAGTTGGATGTTGCTTTTGTCCTCCCGCCATCACTCCCAGGGAATAGTAAATCTCTTAACCATTATATCAGCTCTTAGAAAAGACAAGTCCTATTTTCCTGTTATGTTTGACAGTATCATTATTTGACATGAAGACTCAATAACGACTGCCCATGCCGACTCAACTTTTTGCTCACACCTTTTTGTCTTGATAATCATTTCAACACTTTTCTTTTCCTTAGATATTATTTTGCATAAATTACCTTTTTCATTTTCTTTCAGAAGCAGAGACTGATAAAGCAAATTCCACTGGCAAACCTTCTTTTGGAAACCGACGCGCCGGCGCTCGGACCTGTAAAACAGGTGCGTCAATTTGTCATGCTCCTTTAGAGAGATTCGTATTCGTCGTTGTGTATAAAATATTTTACTAAAAAAGATAGTTGCTTGTTTCAAGACAGAGTCAGTTACATGAAGATGATCAGGTCACATGAAATTTTACTTTTTAACTTCAATTTTGCTCTCAGAAAATTATTTCAGGCAAAGGCTTTGCGTCTAAAAGATGGAAAATTTTCTATCTGATTTAATGTCAATGCATAATGGCTGTTTGCCAGACTCCTGTCAGAAGTTTTGATACTTGGTGCCCTGTTTGTAAAGTGATTGCTTTTCTTTTGAAGGAAAGAAACGAGCCAAAGAACATAGAGATTTCTTGCCGGGAGATATCCAAAATAAAGAATATCTCTGTTGCACATGTAATAGAAGAAACAACGAAAAATGCTCTTAGACTTTTTGATAGATTGTCAAGATAACAACCAATTCATGCATAAAGTACATATTTAGTGAATGTTAGTGATTCAGCAATGTGCAGCTTTTTTAGTACAACATCTGCGCTTCTGATTGCTATCATTTGGTACTCAGCTTTCTACCTCAGTTATTTTCAAGTCATTAATAAGTCATTAATATATAATAATTATCAAAGTAAACCTTCATTCTGAAGAGTTTTTGTCATTTGTTCTAATCTTAAGTATGTAAAATGTACAATAGTTCTTTTCAAGTATCCGTAACATTTGCATTCAGTCGTTGACATAGAACGGGTCTAGTCTGTCGGGTTGCTAAATTTTTGTATGTCTTCCCAAAACGGCATTGCAGACCGGGCATGTATGCTCGACGTCTTTGAAGTAATCTGTGATGAACGGGACCAAGCAGCAACCCGCCGGGCAAAATGGACAGATAACGAGCGCTGCCACCCATGTTGCTGTTCCAACCTCATAGTGGGTGCTCGTCACTGCCTGAAGAAAAAATTATTTTAAAATTATTTCTATTTCAAAATTATTTTTTCTTGGACCATTCTCATGGCTAAGCTAATGACGTTTTATTGGTCAGTGAGAAAGTGAAACTTGGCTAGAAGAATGCTGGCTGGATGACTTTCAGGTTCATCACTGGTATGAAATGTAGTGATTCATTATGGTATGAAAGAATGGGTAGTTTCCAAGAATAAAATCCTCGTGGGATGAGCAAAGTCCTCGTGGGAAGCTGAGGTTAATGAACATAGGAAGTTTGCTCTTTCGATAGCTATCAATTATTGTCATGCCATCAGCACAGAGGCAAATAAAATCATTGTTAAGTGAGTACCTTTTGGCCACAAGCAGAGCATTGTACAGGTTGAGGGTATATTCCAAAGCCAATCGGCTCTGTCGTGATCGGTTGCTGGATTGCAGGCTGCTCGTAACCAGGATTTACTGGATCCTTAAAAAAACACATATGTTTCTTTATATTAGAGCTAAACGATTCAACCGTGATTAGATAATGAAATGAAAATTTTGGAATTTCTAATACGTGATTAAATCCATCCTATAAGATTGATGTAGCGATTCAACATGTGCATTGTTTGAAGTCCAGTTAGATATTTTGAGCATCGCAGTAAAGGAACTACGGTATTTGTAAGTTTTTCATGTCAGCAGAACTTGAAACCGTTATTAAACGTGACTAAGCGTAAAGTTATATCTACTTTTCTTAATTCAAGTACCTTTAAAGATCACAAAAATGTTTCTTGACAATTTCTTGATCCATTGCAGATCCACTTAATGTAAGAACTTGATATTATTGAGCTAATGCGGTGACAAAAAATTCAAGCGGACGTTATACAAAGAATTTGTGTAACTTTTTTATCTTACCATATTTATGAAATCTTGAGTAGAAGAGCTTTAAGGTCGTCTATGCTGCAACGTTTTTGCAAGAGTTAGAATATGACGCAACAAGGATTGATGATGTTTTTGCTGTAAAATTATTTTGCTTAATAATTAATTCCGGTTTGCCAGGCCACCATGACACCACAGATTGAATGCATTCAAACTGGGCAACCAGATGATAAGCGTTTCCTTGGATTCGACAAACGTAATGAAAAGGGGGCAGCGAGACAGTTTATTTGCATTATCATATATAAATGACATATTTTAGCATTTCTCCTAGATATGCAATTATATTTTTTGAACAACTCGTGCAAAAAGACTGCACGAACATTAATTTTGAAAAAAACATTATTATTTTGTCGATGACATAATCCTCGCGTCCCCCAGGTCCCTACTATGTTGTTATCACAAAAATGGGAGAAAGGCTCATTTTCCTAAACAAAGGTGTGGCACAGGGACTTGAGAGGTGCTTGCCCCTGGTAAAGAAGCTAAGAAAGTCCCTTCCCAGCCATATCACTGGCTTTCACTGTTTTTGGGTTTTTCCCACCCGCCAATGTTCAATAACAATTCGCATTGCTTAATCTTTACACAATCTCAAATAAAGAAAATTTTTTGCTGAAAGCTACAGACTAGATGCCCCCGGAAAATGTGGATAAAATTGCGCCTATTTAAACAATTGCCAAGGAGATTCTTGATTGTGGCTTAATGTGATCTATAGAGCAGGTCCTGTAGTTTTTCATCACGTTGCCTTGCATTGACCACCTGATATGATTGATTTTGATGATACCTTCTGTGCATATGTTGAGCTAGTTGCCAAGTTGATCCATAAACTTCAATTTTACAAATGGTAGTAATTTATATTGTGTAAAAAGAGCCGCGGAATGTTTTTGCCACCGCTCTGCCAGGTGTTCAACGAGAACAGGCTTTGTTTGGAGCGGATACTTAATATTACTCCGTTTTTTATTATTCTTTGCTTATTCTTATAACTAATTCATTTGACAATGCAGTTCTTGATGTAAGGCTGAACTAATTGGATTTTTGAATTATAGTCGCAAAGCGTGCCGGTTGCGCAAGGAGGAAATATAATTTGTGACAAAAGACTCTATGACTGTGGTGGAGCAATTCTTAATTCTTGGTTTTCGATTCCCAGGGTCCTTTTCTATTTATGCAAAGATTGGGTATCGAAAGATACAGGGCTATTTATATTTTCTATTGTTCGTTTATCAAAGTTTACTTCTCTTCTATGAAAACTTCAATGTTTAGATGTTTATGTTCATTGACAAAGAAAGGCTGTTGTTATTTATAGGAAAAATCCTTTGTTGTAGTTGGTTTTTGCTTTTTATTCAATTTTTCAGCAAAATTTCATGTTTGCACAAAACAGTAAACACAACTCATAATAATCAACTATATTGTGACTGAAAATTCTTAGCCACCACTTTCGTTGATCAAACCATGATTTTAAGATTCTGAAATAATATACTTGTACTTGTTCGTTTGACTTTGAACTTTAAGATTGGTTAAACATGGTAGGCGACGCATCTGTTAGTCGTCAACAAAAATGGTCCTCAACTATTCATTTTCAGTTGTTTGGGGGAGAGAGGGAGACACATTATAAGGTATAGATTATAAGGTAAATTAGCCACCCTACACTTTAAGAGTCACACCCAAGTATAGCAAAATTTTGTAGGATTGAGAAAATGAAACCTGGAATAAAACCTTTTAGCAATATTTTTAGTATTCCTCGTAAAGCTTGAAAACACAGAATTTCATTCGCCCCCCCCCCCTCCTTAGTTGACAAAACTCGGAGGTTTCATATATACGATCTGTGCAACAAATTTAAGCTGTACTTTTATATTTACTCCGTCAAACACATTTATAAACACTAAAAAGCACAGTTATTTGGTCTAAATTGCTGCACATATAGAGTCTAACACACAATTATATGTACTAAATTGTTTAACATAGTAGGGTTTAAAGTGCCTATTTATTTGGTCTTAATTGCTTTTCATATAAAATGAGCGCATATAATGTGTTTTACAGAGTAAATACGAAGGTAGACCGTATACACGAACGTCAAGAGTTTAGTCCACTATAGCAGGGGGTCAGGGCATTTTTTAAGGATTTTTGAGCGGTGGGGCTTTTTTCAAAAAGGCCAATGCTTACCTCAAGGAATTGTACGAGATTAATGGACGATTGCTTATGATTGTTATTTGTTTATACCTACAATCGAAGCACGTTGCGTTGCAAGGACTAGCTGGGCTGTTTTTTTAAGAGAGCTATTTGGTTAAGATGTCTTATTACCAAAAACATAAACTAAAAGAAGTTAACAATTTAGTTTTGGATGTGGAATTAAAATTTTTGCGTTCTTTGCAGTTTAATACGTTTATAAAAATGTTTGTGACATTATGGTCACGCTGTTTCCACACAGAATTTTTTTAGGATTGAAGATTTAGGCTTCAATACTTGATATTAAGTCTCTTTAAAGCGTTCTTACATATTGTTTACATATTGTTTATCAACAGAATTGGAACCTTTTCATTCAATATTTAAAATCAGCAACCAAATAGGTTTTCTTAAAAACACAAGACGTAGAAACAGAGAGCACAGGGGACACGTGCATCCCCCACCTGTAAATAGTCCAGGAAAAATGTCCCTTTTCAGTTTACCGGGTTGCCCTTTTTGCCAGCTGCATAACAAAAAAGTGCCCTTTAAATGCTTAGTCACTATATGAAATGAGCAAAAAGAGTAGGGGGTGACCCTTCTGGCCACGATCCAAATCCTTGTCATTTGCTTGGTGAGGGGTAGAGGCAAAACGCCCTAAGGCCTTTAGGTTTAGGGAAACAGTTTAAGGAAAAAACAGTCCCTACTGAAGGCATAGGTTGTTCAACTCTTTGAGGTTGCAGTAGTGGAGAAATATCACCAAAACATCATGTTGATAGAAAATATAATGTTATATCTTTTGCCAGCCCATTTTCATTATATTTATTCTTTTGAAAGAGCCCCACAGTGGCTTGGCATCTGGGGTTCAAGTAGAATTTTGCTTGTCAGTGGTGGGGGAACTCGTAGGGCCTAGTGGGGCAATTCCCAACTAAAAGAGGTGTTTTGGGGTTCCTCTGCTCAACTAGATTTGAGTCAAATTTTAGAGCCTAAGTACTCGTTCTTTGGAGTTTTTCTGAAATCCCAAACAAATAATCAACAATGAAAAGAAATTCTGCCGCCTAAGATATTTCTTATGATTTTCATCTAAGCTTTTTCCGGATTTCCATAGATCGAATAACAGAGCCATATTATTGGAACTGATTGATGTGTTTATTACAATATCTAGCACTTAGATTTGTAAAAACAGATTTATCTTCTATTATACACTCAATTGAACCACCTGGTCGACATGACCTATGCTGCAAAACCAATCTCTTAAGATCAGCATCAAGCACATCTTCACAAAGATATCAAAGATGATCAATATCATTTGGAAAACACTTTAGAAGAATTAGCTGGCATAATTTTACTTGAGTAAAGGGTGACTCGCACTCTCGGCGCTCTTTTCAGGAGTTTTAGGGGTTTCATCAAAGACAGGGCTCGTGATTTTGTTTACGGACTTGCGGAGAGAGATCTGAATTTGGTAGATCTTGTCCCGGGGGGTGCCGGGGGGCCATGGCCGCCTCGCTTTTTTACAAAACAATAGAACCTTTTTCAAAATCTTTTGTAATGATTGTTAAATTTTCTCTAAAAAAAGTCTTTCATTGAGATCAGTGGGTATAACGCATTGGAGAGCGACCGCAGGAACCTAGAAGAGGTTAATGAGTGATTGCGCAGCTAGGGACGCAGTGGCGTGGTGGCAGGGGGCCAGGGGGGCATGGCCCTCCATGAATATGGGCGCAAACGGAGATAAGGGGGCGCCAAAATTGTTTGCTTGTAATATTTGGCTAGGAACATCAAAATTGATCGTACACGGGTAGAACACTTCGCTGTAACTTGCGGTGAACAATCTAATAACACGTGTGATTCTACAATCGAAGCACGTTGCGTTGCCATGACCCAATCAACATTTGTGTCATATGTTTTCGTGTTACTATGTACGTGGCTTCATGTTTAGTACACAGATGCCAAAAATGTCTTCCCTTGCGCACATCCTAGCAGCAATGGTGCCCATCTCTGCAACAAGGACTGCATGGTAAACTATCCTATTCAGCAATGTGGTTCTGTTTGCGGTGCAATTACTATTCTTATGGCAGCAGTTTTTGTACATGCTCCTACCTATTTGCAGAACGTTATGCAATCTGAAGGTCTTGTTTCAGGGCTTGAAAGTCAGTTCACCTTTAACGACGCAAAAGACATTGAAATAGACGACGATGAGGACCTCTCAGATCTCACAGCTATTTCAGATGCTTTCACTGTCAAGCTACAGAAAAAAGATTGCACAAAACCACAGTAAAATGTAGATCAGAAGGCAGGAACGTGTTTTCACATTACAGTACAATTCAACGATCAGAATTGTGGCGCTTTCGGTTGCCAGCAAGAAAGGTTACCCCTCTCAAAATGTCAAAAATGCTCATTGTTCGAGGTGTGGAGTATGCCAGCACATGTATCGTTGTGGTTGCACCGACGTTCGGGGAATCCCGTGTAAGCATATCCACGCAGTCCACATGAGACAGCCAAATGGAAATGAAGATCAGAGCTGCAAAAAATATTTCTATTTCTGGAAGCCTGGGAAACAAGACAAAGATTTTTCTGTTAGGTGTAAGTATCGTGTACTACAAATAGTACGCACAAACCTTTATGCAAGGGCTTCTAATTTATTGGGTATAGAGAAACTTTCCAATAAAAAATCTAATTCAGTTGTTTGCATCTTTTTTGTCTTTAGCAAATATTGACTATGTGAAAAAGTAAAACTGATTTGTGAACCAAATGGGGGATATGTTTACTGATTGGCAGAAAACTTCAACATAGATGGTGCTCTTTACAATGCCAGCATTAGGGAAGATGCATGTGGTTACCTGTTTATACTTATCATCCAGCTTTTTTAGCCTTTCATATGATTGTTACACGTGTCAACATGATATTTTACATTAATAAATGGTGACATCTCAATACTCAAAGGGCAAATATGATCTTGAAAAAACATCAGAATGTAATTCAGTATCGATCAAAGACTTTGCCAAGTTTGCCAAGAAGTCAGTAAAGACTCGACATTTTGCCAAGTCTATCCAGACCTTAGTCAAGATTCAATTCAAGTCAAGTAGAAAGAAATGCATGTCATTTTCATAGCTTTTGATTTTTAAGGTCTGAAATCATTGCCTGATTCAGGTCTGCAGCTTTGTCAGTAAATAAAGTCCTGGACAAGGAAGCTGAAGGTTGCTTCCAAGTTCTAATCTTTTTGTGATATTGGACAAAGGAGCAAAAGTTTTTTTAAAAGTTTCAAAAATACATATAAAACTTTTCATTTGTAGAAAATTTTGATCTGTTGTGAAAAAGTCGAGAAATTGTTTTTGCTAATGCAAGAAGCAGCTGGTTTTTATCAAATTTTGCGAAAATTTTCTGCCAAGCTAAAGAATTTTCTGGGAATCTAATTCCCAGGTTCCGATACTTTTTGGAGCGCTGGTGAAGATACAAATTTAAGGAGAATAAATGCAGATCCATTGGTTGCAGATCATGCCAAGATCAAGCCATGAAGGGATCATGCCAAGAAATTTCTTCCATCAGGGGTTTTTCAGAAAATGTATAGAGGAATTGTTGAGCCACATTTCAGTTGTTGCTGCTCGGTTTGGGGTTGTTGTAGTGAAATCAAACTCAATTCTCTCCAAAAAATCCAGATTAGAGCTGCAAGAATAACTACAAATAGTCCTTATGATGCTCCTGCTGTCCCTCAAAATCGTGGCTGGCCCTCAATCAGAGATCTTATCAAACAAGAAACATCAACGCTGACCTATCAGGCATTGAACTCGCTTGCTCCTCAATATTTAGGGGAACTTTTCAGTAAATGCTCAGAGGGCGGTGTTCGCAATCTTCGCTCTACTGAAACAAACTTGCAGATACCTCTTTTAAGAACATGCACAGGCCAAAAAGCATTTTCTTATCGAAAAGCAAAATTATGGAATAAGCTGATTAAGGAAACTAAATTGGCACCGTCCCTTGCTACCTTAAAAATATCCATATGAAAGGTACATTCTATTTTTATATTTAGTTCCGTTATGCTCTTTTGATTCTAACTTACTGTACATTGTAATTCTCTTTTATTTAGGCTTTTCTGTTTTTGCACAGGTCGATTGGTAAAACAGTTATTTTTTTATTACTGAAATCTGTAAACCTGTATAAATTTTTAAAAGTGAAATATTTGAAAATGGAATTATTTGATCGTTATGGAAGATGGAAGAAGGGATCGGCGACACGTTCCCGATTCTTACGATTTTATGGGAAGCAGGTTTAACATACCTAAAACCTACCTAAAATTTACCCCAAAAACTCGCAGCTAGAGGAGAGGATCCCAGATTCCACTCAGGCACCGTATGTCGGCGTACATCCGAAAATCGACATCCAAACTCTACTGCGCATTTGAATACTGGCGCTGCGTAATTTATCTTGGGAGCCATATGAGGTATCTGCAAGAGGTATCTGCAATTCCCTAGCTGCGAGTTGCGCGGAAGGATAATCACTGCCTCAGGCTTAGAAAATGCGTTTTTGTGTATCTTCAATCGCAATCGGATACTAGAAAATATTTTAAAGGTATTTATTTATTTTTGCAATTGAGGCTTTAATTTGTTCGCCGACATATCTTTTTGGCTCGGTTTTTTGAGGCCTACTTTTGTGTTGGGTGTTATTAATTGCCATAGGCTTAGGAGGTTTGTTCTGATCAAATATTTGAATTCTGCATGTGCCAAAAAACTGGGGCTTATCAAAATAATATGTATGTCACCGTTGGAAATCGCGAGCAGTTTGAGTTTAATTTTTGATGACGTCTTTCGTGAGATGTAGTTATTGTCAATGCCCTCTCTTTGGTGGCAGTACCACTAAGGGACTTAGTCAGATAAAACTATTAACTTTACTATGTAATGTATGTGTGTATTTGTATATGTATGCATGTAGAATATTCTTGAATGTGAATTACAAACAAAGTGATTTAAACTTGCTTTCAGTTTTGTTCACAAAATCAAGGTAATGATATTAAGTGAAAAATAGATTAATAAAGCTCTTGCATAAATTAGGTAATAAAACAGAAAATTTATAATATTAACTATCTTTTCCTTGCTTCTGTCAAGGGGCAATTCATCCTTGAGAACAGGGCCGCATTTACGTCTGTTGGGGCCCCTTAAAATATACCAAAAAATTTGTGTCACATGCACAGTAGGCCTACTTGGCTAAACATAATCAAACATAATCAGGTAACTATAAGACACAAATAAACTTGTATCCATTTTGCATTTCAGTACATTCCCAATAAAACCACCCAACTGCTGAAAACTTTTAGATTATTTTATTGGGGAAACTCCCAGGACATCAAAATCTGCTGCCATTACAGGGCCGTAGCATGGTTTTAGAAATTTGGGGAGGGGGGAGACATGGTGCACGCCAAAGGCGGGAAGGGTAAAGGGGAGAATTTGTGAGGTTTAGTCTCTCTCAGAAACGCCCATTTTCTTTCGGAAATGCTTTCCCTACATCATATTTGTTTATGTTTCTATGTTCATTTTTTCAAAAAGAAATCTTTTGTATGGCAGGGTTATCCACAATAAATGCTAACAAGATCCAAACCCACAAACTTCTCTTAGTGCACTCTTCCTTGGTGCTTCTAGCTGTTCAATAATTTTAATTAGATCACAGATATTAAAGCTACCAGTATCAAAGCCAATAGCCCTAACTGAAAATGGTTGACATCATTTCCATAAAAACTTGATACATGGCTAAGATCTTCCTTCAATGGTTGTCCTGTAATGGTGCTCTAAGACTTTCAATAGTCACATTTAATGCATTGAAGTAAATATGATGATAACTCTCCCTTGGACTCAATGGAAAATAATTGTTGGAAGGGTTACCAGGGTTCGAGTCTTGCAGGCATTCTCCTTTTTCTTGATCAAGTTCTTCTTTCTTCAACAGTACTTTTTTCATCCAAAAATAATTTAAAGGAATGTCCATTCCTATCTTTACACATAACTTTTATCATATCCTGTGCAATGGCATTTCCCTCAGCAGCTGATATTTTTGGGCTTTGCAATGTGCTACTGGGATTATTAGTTTGACGTATTAGCAATAATCCCAACTCACAACCAAATATAAAGTCAAAAGTAGGCATAGTGTATTTCACTCCAGGAACGCTTGCTTTTATATCAGTGTCTTTGCAGTTTTGGAATGTCCAGTCCCACAACTCGAGTAGCTCATTGTAATTTTGAAGGATTGACTGAAGAGCCTCACCTACAACTGTCCAACGTGTTAGGCAAAGAGCATGAATCCCTCTGGAATCATTTTTTGACTTACTCTGCAATTCATCCAATTTTTTATCTCTTTTTGGCCATCTCTTGATAAGCTTACAAACTGCAGATAAGTTGCAAACTGCAGCAATTTTTCTACAAAATTTTAATGAAAAGATAGCAAGCTCCAACCATTTCTAATATTAGGGGGGCACAAGCACTCCCTGCCCCCTGCTTCCTACGGGCCTGCCTGGAACATAATTAAACATGTCGCAGTGTTTTCAAATGCATATCAGATAAAACTATCTTAAAAAATGACAGAAATGGTTTATGTTGTAGGTATATCTAATGCATTTTCTGGTCATCCCAACAAATTTATACTTTTCAAAAATTTTCTTGTCACCAATTTGCTTTCAGCTTTCAATAAACCCTTTAAAAATTCTGAGATTTTTGGCGTAATGATGAAGAAAAATTTATGAACACTTCCAAGGATCTTTCTGGTTTCTAAATCTATGTTGTAAATATTTTAGATGAGCTTTTAAAATTTCATGAATGTCATATTTGTAAAATTTTCTTGCTGTTAAACATGATGGCACCCTTCATTAAGCCCATGTACGATCTAAACATTATGGCATAATGATAAAAGAAAGTTTATGAATACTTTCTAGGATCTTCAATCTAAATCTAAATCATTTTAGATGCAGTTTCCAGCAGTTCCTATAATGTTATTCTTTCAAAATGTTTCTTCCCACACACCATGGTGATGGCCTTAACAGCCACCTCGGCCTGGCAAAACATGTTATTCTGCTATCAGGCAGCATTGACTCAAAAACCCAGATTGTGCAAAAAGCTATAATCTGGTGACATGTTTTGGATTATTGGCAGAGCCCGATCCTCATTCTATCTAGCAGTTTTGGAATCTATATACATCACAAAAAACAGCTTTTGTGTAGACAGAACAAGTTCGTTTCACCTTAGGACTCCATTGGAAGCATTTTTAATTTGCAAGCGGCACTGATTGGACAACCTCAACAGTCATTTGCTTGCGTTTCTGATTGGCCTTTTCCAATCCACAACTTGGTATATATATTTCCTAGCTTAGTATTTTGATCTATGTTCTGATGTTCTATACTCTGAAGATTGTCAATGAAAAGCTTTAGTATGACTCAAAATTGCTTTTTTCAAAGCCATTTTCATGAAACCCCTGAACAATAGTAACATTGTACCTCCACCTAATTTTAAATCACATTTTAAAATTGTACAATGCCAACCCTAATAGAGTTGTACAATGGATGTAACTTTAGGGGGTGCCAAAAAAAATTGGTGCCCCCCCCTAGTCAATTTTGAGCAAGCACGCCACTGGCTGGGAGTGCACTAGAAAGCTATACTGTGGAAAGTTTGCCTTTGTTATATTTTCTCTGCACAACAGCGTTTTCACTTGATATTTGAATTAGACTGTTTTCACGAGCAAATTGAAGTATCAGATTGGCTTCTTTATGTGCTTGATTATTAGTGGTTTCTTTATGTGCTTTGTATTAGGCACTTCAAGCTGTCAAGTAGTTAAACATAGCTTTGCATTTCAGTTCTGTGTTCTTCCAATAATGAGATTTTTAGAAATGCTCTGGGATTTTTAGAAATTTCTGCCTTTCAGGTTCAACAGAATGTACCTTCTTTCAAGAAAGGCTCTTGTGAAAAGAAATGCTGTTATACTCGGAGCAAGTTTAGCTAGCATTGGAACCGTTTTTGCAAGTGTACAACCATCATTGCATGAAGACATTGAAAAAAAGGAAAATGAAGTTGAAGGAAGATTTGGAACTTTGAAAAAGACACCATCATTTAAATTTGTCAAGGAATTGGTTGAAAATACTGGACTTGTTCGATTTGGCAGGGCTGCGGTTTCTGTGAGTAAGCATCAAACTTAACTTGATAAAATGTTAAACATTAAATATCCAAATGATGTTAGAGTTTTGTAAGAGTGACTATAACTTGTCCATGTGCATTTTAATCAGTGTTTAGTGCCTTAAAGTTCACAAGCAATTGATACTTGGCATTTCTTGTTATGATGGCACAACCATGCAGCTCTTTTCTTCTTTTCTGTCAGCTGAAATTTTCTGACATTTTCATGGCAAAAAATAGGACAGGCTTCCAAACAACGAATTCACAAATGTTTTTAATTAACATCAATTAACAAATACGTTTGTAACATGGATGCTTTACAAACTTTAAAAAATGTTTAGTTGAGGTGGGTTATGGTACAGTGAAAAGGTGCAGACCTACCTTGGGTCTTTTCGGTTTTATTTCTACTCGGGATATATTTGATCAAGCCAATGTTTTACTTAGCAAATTTTTTGCAAAACAATCCTTGCTTTGCAATAGATTGTTAATTATAAACCGCAATGAAATGACTTATGTTTATATCTATGTGGGAAATTGCTTATTATACCATGTCAATCATGGTGAAAAAATATAAGTTGCAGTCAAGAGTGTTAGACCTAAAAAAAAGTCACAGCACAGCTCAACTAGCCTTATAACCAACAGGCTAAGCTAAACTTGTAGGGTAGCCCAAGAGATCATACAAGTAGCAGAAAACCCAGGCATACAAGCTACCAGGATATTTGCCTAACCTAAAAATGTAGTAACCAACATGGAAGTAGGGTGCTGATGTTAAGCCACTTGGTTGATATAATAAAATAAATTGTCAATAGAACTGGAATAATGTAAGCAGAAAACTATATTATTAGCTTGATATTACTCATGAAGTAACAAAGTGATGTTTGACTACAGGACATATCTCATTACTGTTGGCATACTTTTAACAGTATCTATTTGCAAGCAAAATGTCTTGTTAAGATTGTATAAAGAAATTTCTATAGTATAGAGAATGCAGAAGCTGTGTGATTATCTAGCAAAAGCAATGGCAGAAAATCAAATTGATATGGTACATCTCTTCAGGACTGTTGATAGTTATTGTGCTCAAATGGGGTTGTCGGAGGGCTCATTCTCCAACAAAATGGGTGGGCCATCCTTTGTTTGCTGGCAAGTAAGATTTGTTTTGCTTCCTATAGCTATGGTCCTGCTTCTCTTAATGAAGAATTGGTTACTTTCTACTTTGCCATTTTGATTTAAAGGCTCAAGCATACATCTTACTTTATTAATTTTACATGAAATATTATATTTTTTGCTTCAATCCTGTGATATATTGGTAAAATGACTACAAATCCTTATGAACACGGAAGTTTTTCTACAAGTGGTCCCTGTTTTGCAGGTGCTGTCAGTAATAATTGACTACAAATACCTTTTTTGGAAATATGAAGCTAATTCAGAAATTTTTAAAACAGAAAAGTCAAAGGTATGCTTGCTTATTTTACATTCATTCATTCAATCATTCATTCACTCATCCATTCATTCATTCATTCATCCATTCATTCATTCGTTCATTCATTCATTCATTCATTCATTCATTCATTCATTCATTCATTCATTCATTCATTCATTCATTCATTCATTCATTCATTCAGTTAAAATGCAAATTAATTAAATTCATTGCAAGATATGTCATGAGTGAAAAGGAAATGCTATTTAGGGAGCAGTTAGCTTTTGAAAACTGTGTGAGAAATTGTTGCAAAAACTTCATCGACAAACGTTTTGTCCTGGTTTCTTTTAGGATGAATTGCAAATCAATTTTGTTTGATTTATGTATGCCTTCGTGCTTTTTTTGTTAGCTGGTTTGTTTGTTTGTTTGTTTGTTTGTTTTTAGGGTGAAATAGTTGCTATCAAAATTTTTTGCAGAGTCTTGATCAATATTTAGAAAATGCGTTTCTTGTTTGATATGGTAGTAGTAACTGTTTATGAGCTTTGACTTTTCACTATGATTGCAGTGTCACTTGAGGTCTGCAATAAGGCTCAGAGATTTGTGCTGTATGAATGGAGGCATTTTCATCAAAGTAGGACAGCACCTTGGAGCACTTGATTATCTCCTTCCGGCAGAGTACGTGAATACCATGAAAGTTTTGCATACGGATGCTCCGCAGAGCTCATTTGAGGATGTTGTGCAAGTGGTGGAACAGGAATTTGGGCGTTCATATTGTGAGCTATTCAACAGTTTCTCTGAGAAGCCGGTCGGGTCAGCTTCACTTGCGCAGGTGTGTGAGCAATTCGCATTTAGTTACCTTAAAAGAGCAAGTTTCTACTGCAGTTGATATGAGTTTTCCTTTGTTAAAATTTGTTATTACCAAAGCCGGTTACGTTGTGCCATTGCGGTGAAAGGCCTTAAATATAGTATTCAGCACTGCTAATGATGTTTACGATGTTTCAAAGGCTTTGTTTTAGGTTCACAAGGCAGAGCTAAAGGATGGTCGTACGGTTGCCCTGAAAGTGCAGCATAAAAATGTATTGGCGCACTCTCTTATTGATACAGCTACGCTTGAAGTAAGTTTCTGCTGAAATTCTGCCATTTCTGTTGAAATTCTGCCATTTCTGTTGAAATTCTGCCATTTCTGTTGAAATTCTGCCATTTCTGTTGAAATTCTGCCATTTCTGTTGAAATTCTGCCATTTCTGTTGAAATTCTGCCATTTCTGTTGAAATTCTGCCATTTCTGTTGAAATTCTGCCATTTCTGTGAAATTCTGCCATTTCTGCTGAAATTCTGCCATTTCTGCTGAAATTCTGCCATTTCTGTTGAAATTCTGCCATTTCTGTTGAAATTCTGCCATTTCTGTTGAAATTCTGCCATTTCTGTTGAAATTCTGCCATTTCTGCTGAAATTCTGCCATTTCTGTTGAAATTCTGCCATTTCTGTGAAATTCTGCCATTTCTGCTGAAATTCTGCCATTTCTGTTGAAATTCTGCCATTTCTGTTGAAATTCTGCCATTTCTGTTGAAATTCTGCCATTTCTGTTGAAATTCTGCCATTTCTGTTGAAATTCTGCCATTTCTGTTGAAATTCTGCCATTTCTGTTGAAATTCTGCCATTTCTGCTGAAATTCTGCCATTTCTGCTGAAATTCTGCCATTTTTGCGTGAAACAGATTAATTTATTTCTATAAGTTATCGATATTTTGAGAAATCATTATCATTCCCGATTACAGGGAACATCGGCAATTTTTATGGTTGTTTTTTTGTCATTTTTTATTTAAAAGTGTATCGAATAGAAGTCACGTATACAACAATTCGTGACAGCGGGTATAGTAGGAACATTTTTGCTCCACGCAACTGGGTGGTTGTAGATAAAAACTATTGCAGTAAAACTTTGAAGTATAAACTCCTTTAAATCAGGTTGCCTGAGAGATCGTAGCAAATACATTCAACGCTATTTCTCTATATCCAAATTTCTGCCAATGCCTGGCCTAATTCTTTTTACAACCAAGACTTGAAAAAAGATTTTTCTTCCTGACAGCAAATTTAAAGAGTCAAAATTTCTTGCAACACTTTAACAGAATTTCCCTCGAAACTTTAGCAAACTTGCAGCCATCAGTGATTCTTCAAGTTGCTTAATCTGTTTAGATAGTTGTCACAAATTTCACGGTCCACAATTTTTTATCACAGCTATAAATAGTCATAATAACAAGTTGTTAATTTGGCCCATATAAAAAATTATCGAATATCAATCATTTTTTGTACTGTGTTAGCTGATCAAGGAGAACTGAACACAACACTCCTATTTATTTTTCAAGGATAAAGTTAGTAAATATGAAAAGTCCTTAGATTTAATTTCGCATCATTACCAGCAAACTAGACACAATCAAAGTACCGATGTGTCTTAGGTCTATGCAGACTATGGGTTTATGTTCGCTGTTCATTTGCATCATCAAATCAAGAAGTTCACAAAATATTTAAGAATACGTCTTTATGTTTCAGTGGTTAGAAAAAAGATGCTAAATCAGGGACAGTGTTAACTGGAGTTAACTTGGAATTAAAATTGGAGGTCCTAGACACTTCTTCTCCTGGGCTGCTCTAGAAAAATTTATGAAAATGCTAATATAAAAATATTATTGAAAAAGGATGCATTTGCGTAGGTTTTTGGGGCATGTACCTTATTTATCAAAATCGATGTGACAATATTGACGGTCTTTGAGGGTATGGGGTGTTTGAAGGAACCGTTTTGACGTTTGAAAGAACCGGTGTGATTTGAATGAATCTTTTGGGAGTTTAAGTGAAAATTTGGATGTTTTAATGAATCATTTTGATGTTTGAATGAGCTATTATGAAAGCTGGTTATTACGGGTGCTTACTCAAGTCTTCTTTTGCGTATCTGATTTGGTTAAGAACATGTTCAGTAGTATTTATCTGGTAATGTCTTCTTAGTTGAATAGTGATCGAAATAATACTGCTCGAGTGTCATTTGTTGACAAGCCATGTTATTTCTCAAGTCGTTACCAATATTTATTGCATTTATCGTTGTTATTTCTATCTTTAAATGATAAATTAAAAAAACTGAACATTATAGATAAGGAAACAGTTTCTGAACTGTTATGAAATGAAACATCGAATTTTAGCCGGACCTGATGATCCGCAGACATGGCAATAAGTTGGACTTATCTGTTACTTTTCAGTTTTTAGTAGCAGTTGTGAAGAAGTTGTTTCCAGACTTCCAGTTCACGTGGCTTGTTGAAGAAATAAAACGAAATTTACCCCTTGAACTTGACTTTTGCAATGAAGGAAAAAATTGTGAAATGCTTGGAAGGATGGTTAGCAGATTTCCTTACTTGAAAGTAAGTATGTCAATGAAATTGCTGAAATCATTTGCTCTTTAGTAACATTTCGTTCTCTAATTTTTTTAGTATTCCGTAAATATATTTTGCTTAGAAAATGATATTTCTGTTAAAATGTTCGATTTGCATGCTTTTCTGCGTATGTAATGTTTGCATGCAAATAAAGTTCTGCGTATGTAACTGATTTTTCAATCTGTATAGCCTTTGCACTGCATTATTTACAGGATTCGAATATGTAGCTGTCATTTCCTTGTTCTAGCATGATTAAATGTGGAAATAAGTAAATGTTTATCAGTAAATGTGATTATGAATGTGCTGTGATAATGTCTTTGTAGGTGCCTAAAATTCACTGGGACTTAACGACAAGAAGACTGCTGGCTATGGATTTCTGTGAAGGTGGCAGAATTGATGATTTAGAGTTCATTGAAAAATCTGGTTTGTCAAAGATAGAGGTATGAAAGTTTTCGAATTTCATGATTAAGTTACCTTAATCTCCTATCCTTCATCTTTTAAAACGATTCTCAATTGGTACAATTTTCTCCCGAAACTATATGTTATTTCGTATTAATCATACATTTTTAGGGGAAGTAATGCTAATTGAATGCCACTAAACCTTTCACAATCTTTAGATTCAGCCGTCATCATTTGTCCTGACTGTCATGTATGTCACTTATGTATACATGTCATATATACAAAGAGAGTCTATTATTTTTTTGCTGGGATATGTATGAATATCTAGGCGAAAGCTGTATTTTTAGAAACTTCAGATTCAAATTAGGAATGGTTTTAAAAAGGAAGCTAAGGTTTTCGCCAACACTGTTAACAGCAGATTCTTAAAAAACCAGTTTAAGATTTTGGAAACTACTGTTGTCATTGGATTTGCGGTAATTAGGATTTTAAAGCGTGCGAAACCTAACGTGTTAAAAGTAGGCAGGATTGTAGATTTGTCTGTCATGTTATGTATATATGACAATTTTAGATCGAAACACAAACCCGTTGTTCCAAAAGAAACTGACTGTCTCAGACGAAAAGTTTTCACACGGGGATCACGCAGATCGCAAAGACTTCTTACGTCTGCTTCAAGTTCTTAAATTTTTTTGCACATTCATTTTAGAGACATCCAAATGCTTACAGCCATTTCATACTATTTCAGATCTCCAGTAAGATTGGCCAACTTTACAGTGAGATGATATTTGTCAATGGGTATATTCATTGTGATCCACACCCAGGAAATATTCTCGTTTCGAAAAACAAGCACAACGAGGCAGAAATTATAATGCTTGACCATGGTCTATATCAGGTTTGTCTTTTCGTCCCTTTTATCATCTTGAAAATCATCTGTTTTGCAATGTGTCTCCCTTGTTTATATCAGAAAAATATTCTGTAGAACAAGGCTGACTGCCCATCCATTCTATACTTTTTTAGTCCTATTTTAGTTTTAGTCCTTTATACTAATTCTTCGCTTTAACGCTGAATAGGTCATTTCCAGCATGGTTGTTTCCGCAGACAAGAATTTTGCTGTTAATAATATATCGCATGTACTATCTACAGCCTGTTCACATACATTATGCAAAGAAGTTTTGATTCTTCGAGCTAGTAAACTGAGTGCAACCAAAACTGCAGTCAAAGACAAACTTGGTATACTGACTCCATTGAAAGAATAGAAGAGTTTATGTCTACTTTTAGCGGTGCTATTCTACAAGTCATAGATTGCAACTAATAGTTTGCAGTTCACGATTGCCGTTCATCCATGGCAGTTTATCGATTGTTCATCGTAAAGTAGATCGATAAGTAGTATGGCAGCCTACTGAGCTAAGTGGCACTTTAAGCTATTGCCTTAAGAATGCTGAAGCATTTGCTGTTAAAGATCTCTTCACATATGTACTTCATTGTCGGTGACTTGCTTATCTTTTCAAATACTGCTGCAGGAAAATCTGCGTCAAAGCAAATAATGAGAAGCAGCAGGGCCTGTTTCTGTTTCTTACTTAGCTTTGAGGCTGTAAAAAGTTTTTCGATTTCAGGCAGCTTTTCTTCGTCTTCGTCTTCCGTCGCTTGGTAAGAGAACCTGCTTGAAAGCCTTTGTTGAAGACTCTTCTTTTCGAGCTGCTCGAGGCGACACATTGTCAAATCGAAGTCTGATATGAATTCTGATGCTTCCTGGATTTCTTCAACGATTGGCGAATTCCCTGTTGTAACCCCATCACCTTCCGTCCAGCTTACAGCATGGTTAATGCAGCCGGTTGGCTTGGTTTTTGACTGATATGCATTTTGGTGAAACTGGCTTGATTCCCGACTCAAAGTCAATGTAACGTTTCCGGAATAATCTAACCTCTTACCTTCTCTAGAAGCAGCTTCTGGAAACCTTGTGTATATGCTTTGGTTTATGCTTGCAGTCAAACTAGAGCTTGCTCGCATGTTTGGGCTTGGCCTTGGGCTTGGTCGTGGGCTTGGTCGTGGGCTTGGCCTTGGGCTTGGACGTGGGCTTGGTCGTGGGCTTGGCCTTGGGCTTCTCATAGAACCCTTACCTTTGTCGTTGTTCAAACGGCGACGTCCAGCATTTCCTCTCGCCAACATTTTGACACTTGCTGCTAGGAACCTACAAAAAATAAGATTTTTGTTAAAGGGCATGTGTCTTGAGCATGATTGGCTTATGCAATACAATTATCTTTTTTGTTTAGTACAAAGCATGGAATCGAGGGTGAATGTTTACTACAGTAAAAATTCAAGAAGAGGAAATGAAAGGTCACGAAACAATGGAATTCCACTCCAAACGCTTTTATTTTATTAGCCAACTGTTAATGCGACATATGCCCTATAAAATGGCTTCCCATTCATTTGGTTGATTTTTCGTTTTTCAGTTTTTCGAAGTCTTGTAGGTCGTGTTTTTGGCCGTGTTCTCACTTTGCTTCCTTTAATGACATTAACGGGGCTGTTCCTTGTTAAAGTTTGTTGTCAATGCTGGCTTCTTGTTTGTTTTTGTTTTGTTTGTTTGTTAAAGTTTGTCAGATCTTGTTTTGCGTAACATCGATAGGCCATCTCTCTCCTGTTGTTGTTGTTCAGTTCTGCTTTGTCGCGTCTCTGATGCCAAAGATATTAATGCGATTGGAATATATAACAAAAGCCGGGCAAATCACCGCAATTTGATATTTACAATGCACCATATTGAAATTTGATAATTACCGGAATTTATCGGGACACAGTTCTTTTTATACCAATAGCAAAGGGGAAGAATTTCTTTATGAAAAATGTGTCTACATAAGCCATTTTTTGCATTGTGATTCTACTTTTCTCTCCATAATCAACTCCCAAGCTTTGCTGACAACTCTACTTTCTTCCTCTCTTTAACAGTCTTCACACGAATCTCATTAGGCTTGGTATATTTCAACTTAAGGGTTTCTATATTTTAACTTTGTGGTTCCTTATCAGGGCTTCTTTATTTCAAGCTATATTACTTTATTACAAACCAAGTTTTTTCAAGAAAAACCTTCAGCGTAGAAATTAGTTAGCATTGGCTAAAGGAATACCGTATTTTCTGGGTGTAGAGTTTCGCTAGTAGCTCGTCAAATGATTTTTTAAGATTTTTTTAAATGGCTTAAGATAACGAGCTCCATAACATTCATAGGGGTTCCATTCCAAGCTTCAAGAGCACTGTAATGAAGTTTTTGTTTGTTTTCTAAATTATATCGTGGAGCCTAGTTGATTCTAAAAATCTGGTGCTATATCTTCAGATTCTGGATCTAAGAGAGACAGTGATCCAAAGGTTCCTTCCATAGATTTTTTTGTACACAATAATTGATCTCTCAAATGGCAGAAAGTAATAGATATAATTATGGAAATTGCTCGAATTGGGGATTTTGAAGAAGTCCTTATTTATTAATGGGGAAAGTTACATCTTCCTTCCACAGTACATTTGCACAGCGCTAATGCTTTGCGTTAAGGGTCTATAGACACTGCAAACTGAGACCCATGGTGGGTGTTTGTTTTTGTTTTTATCAATGAGAGATCCTCTTGTATTTATTAATGTCCCCTTCAACGGCAATCTCACATAATTACTTGGTTTTCTAAAATCTTTGATATACATATTATTTAATTTCGAGCGCTCATCAGCAGCTACTCCATTGTTCTCACGGGAATGTCCAGTGTTCATGTATTCTGTTTTCCTCGAGTTTCGACCTATTTTGTTTAGCCATTTCCCATTCAGTTCCTCCAGTGCACAAGAGTTTCTCGACGAAAGTGGGGTCGATTGTTCATATGTATCATCAGCATATAGAGTTGCTAGATCTTCGGAAACCTTTTTCAAAGTCGTTGATATATATGAGCCCAGACATGATTTACTGTTTTTTGTCGTTTCTGGTGTGTCTGAAAGCTAAAGCAATGCAATGCAGTTGTATCACAGTATGAATCAAGTTCTTCACCGACTCCTCTCCGCATCGAGGCTCGCTGTGCGGGAGGCTCGAAGAACTCAAAGCGGAGTCTTCTTCAATTAGTATTTCGGCTATAGAACATCCTATCTAGCATGCAGATACCGAACTTATCACACCTAATTGTCTTTACGATTACTGGATATTCAATGTGGCTTCAAATTGCAAGCAACACTTGTTCAAATGCAGTGCTTGCTTCGACTTTGTATCGACAAATATACACTTATCACTTTCAAAAGTGCTCATAAAACTTTCAAGTCGAGTTTTTGCTTTTTATTATTGAAAGTATTTTCCAAATGTTTTCATCTCATTAGAACAAGCATCTAAATCATGTCAGGAGATACAGCATACTGTTTTGTAAAATTACGTCCATCAGCTCCGGTCCAATCTTGGGATATAGATTGGCATTATCGTGCATTATCGTTTCATATTCCACGTGAGATGCTTGTTCTAGTTACAGAGATACGTCCTACGTCACAGCAGATCTTGTGGTTATGCTACAACACGAATTCTGATTAGCTTTATAGGTGAGGTGTGAACGATGTTAGTTAACGCTACACTTTCAAGCTAGATTTCTTTAACCAAATCGTTTGCAGAAAAGGGCAGCTTCTCATGTCGATGCCCTACTAGGTCACTAAAATGAAAGTTTGAAGAGTTCCGGCGGCTTCTTCACAACTGCTACTTAAGTTTTTTCGCCTCATTGATTTAGCTACCCGAAATTAATCAGTCGCCATCTTGCTTTAACAGTCATCGTTAGTTATATATGATAATTTTTTCCTGTTTTTTCTTGAATCTTTTTCCAGGAATAATTTATGCCAGAGTTTTTTCTTACTTCTAATACACAACCTGCTCTTAGGACATATTAGGCATTTCACCGTTTCTTAGCTCGGCATCCGAACGTCAAAAGCCTTGGCCATTCAGTGACAGTTATTAGTCCAGAGGTCAACTTTTTAATTCGCTATGCTTGATTCTGTTTCAATTCAAACTGAAAAATATATAGGTATTTCTCTATGTTTACCTTATACCGTTACTTGCAGAAAACGCAGCTTTTTTATCACTTTCTGCTTTTTGTTTTTTTAAAATTCGACTGAAATTGAAAGGGTGAGAAAACGTATATTAGCTTTGAAATATTTGTTAAGCTAAATGAAAGACAAAGCTAACGCAAAGATAGAACAACAAACCCGGTTTGAGAAACACCCAACTGTGTAGCTAATGCCAGTCGTCCTTTAACGTCGATGTCGTGTTGCATAAGAACACTTCACCCTGCTTCACCTGCATATCGCTACACAGCAGGTTAATTCCGGCAATCTACCCAGTGTTAAGCCTCGTTTCTGTTCGCCTGTCCTTGCACTGCTTGACACAAGAGTCATCAATAAAAATTATTTTTGAATCGATCTAGAAACGATCGAGATGCTCATTTACTCATATTTAGGTTTTCTTTAGAATCTAATCATACTCAGGTTGTCTTGTTTATGTACAAATTTTTTATAGTACTCGAAGATTTATCCAAGCTACGAACTTACTCCCTGCTTTATCCCAGCTATCGCTTTTAATGAGTAAAACATGCCTGGCTCGACAACATAAATCAGTTGACTCGACTTGTACTTGTAGTTAAACCCGCGAACAGTTGTTAAAGTTTTGTAACATTTTCGGTATGTATTTCATCTCTTATCACTTTTTTCAATATAAGCTATAGATTTTGTATTTCTAATGCGCGTGAAACTGTTTGATGATAACATGAACTTAGGACTTGTTAGGAATTTTCTTACTTTGTAGCTAGCTATTTAAAATGGCAAATGAGCTTGAACTGCTTAATGAACTGATATTTTGGTTTTTATCGAAGAAATACGAAATTATTTCTAAAACAAGACAGGTGTTGAAGTGGGGTATTGCTGTTTTAGCGTTTTGCAGTAGTATCATCCGAGTTTGCCTTGTTTGGAGCACTTTCTCTAAAGGCCATAGTTAGGGGGGCTAGCCTCGCATTAATCACATTTGACGGGCTGGCTTAAGATGACGTCATCTAATTAGGCAGCCTTAACCTGTCTTTTTGAAGGTTTGATTATCAAGGTCGACATATTTTATCTCCAGGTCGACGGCGTGCATTTCACATTAGCGATAATGTTGTTCTCTTTGCATCCCTGTGAAGATTTCTTTTTGTACAACATTGACCTCGAACATTCTGGTATATAATTATTAACCTTAATCGTTGGATGCAGCGCCAATAACCGAGGCAGTTTATAGCGAGTAGCCTCGTGAAGGTACCAATAGAATTAATGCGTATTCGTTGTGAAACGTCAGACAAAACATGCGAGATGTTTACCTTTTTGGTCCAGTTAAGTACTTATTAGATCCCCTCACTGCTATTTTTCCTCAATATATTTGTCAATGTTTTGGAGTTTTGTACGTATTGCAGATGCAGATAATGTAGATGTTAAGTTATGGAATGCAGAACTGTTTCAAAGTTACTGTTTTGCATAACCTATTAAGTTTTCGACAGAGAAACACCTGCCTTTAAACAATTATTCTATTTCGTAGATATCGAGGCGCGCTTTTGATTGAAAGGAAGCCTTTTTGATTAGTAAAGAAAAGATAACTCTGTTTAATTTTCAAATGCTTTATTTTAATCCTCGCTGCGACAAGCTCTGTTTCAAGCTAATCTATTCACATTCAATGTTGTCACCGTAAATTTTCCTTGACTTGCAGAGTTATAGTCTATACATCTGACACGATTGACATTTAAAATCTCAAATATCAACAAAGAAAAATGATAACAAGAGTAAACCTGTTGCCAAAGATAGTTATGTATGTAGAATACTTTAGTTTAGTAGTCCTTTCACGACCCGTGTCGGTCTTCAGTGTTGTTCCGATGGATAACTTTTTAGGATTTAGTTTGAAAAACTCTTATGAAAGAAAACGAGCTTGTTTTTTCGATTTTTAGCACACAAAGGCAGTTTGTTGCTACATGTAGCGCAGGGTTGTCGTTGCTAGGGGTGTAAAAAAGTTAGGGCCAAGAGAGGTTAAATAAATGTTGAGCTTGGCTTATTTGACACTCTCAGTTATGATGAAGAAATCGGCAGGCTTGCTGACACACCTATTGCTAAGAAGGCTTCTCATGCACTAAAAATCGTCCAGTTAGTTCCTTTAGATTCTGAAGATATTATTTATCAGTCCTATTGCGAGTATTGCTGTTCACCACAGCTACTGATTACTAATGACTATGACTATCCAATGTTCGAAATGGATGCTGGTTTTTCTCTGATCGACTATTTGAAATCATAAAGAGATGCTGCAAAAGTCGCATATTGTTTGCCGTGTCTTTCTGCGTTTTAAAAGCTGCGCATGCGCTTGATGACGTCATAATATTTTTAGAGTCACTACCCACAATGAAAAATGAAGCTTTTGTGGCAGGCAGGTAGAATGACGTGCCCTACTGTCTTCTATTTTTTAAGACATATGCAGTGCGATGTCTCATTTGTCACTATTTGCAAGATGTGCTTTCAAATATTGGAATGATTTTTCTTAGCGACAAGTGGACAAAGAACACATACCTGTTCGGGGTTTATGCAGAAAGAGTTTTAAAAGTGCCAATATTTTTCTGTATTCTAATTTCATGTTCACAAGGCTCTTTTGCAAGGTGAAAAGGTCTTCTGAAAACGCTAGAGTTTCTCCTTGATAGGTTGCACGAACTGTAGTCTTTATTTCTCTATATTGACATCCTTAACAGAAGCTTTCCTTTTAAATTTTACAAGTTTTCAAGGTTGCGTTCTTCCTTCTAACAGATCATTGAATGGCAGTATTTTAAACTTTAATTTAGTTCCTTTAATTGCTTTTATTACCTTAGTTTTATTTTATTTGTAGACGCTGACAGACGAGTTTCGAGTGACGTATTGCAAACTTTGGCAAGCACTGGTCCGTGCAGATGTGGATGCCATTAAGCACCACAGTGACGCCCTCGGTGTTGGAGACATGTACGGCCTATTTGCCTGCATCATATCAGCGAGATCTTGGGATGCAATTACATCAGGCATAGATAAAACGTCATTTTCCAAGCAAGAGGTTAGTAAAACTTTTAAAACAGGTTGTATCAACCAAGCTCTGTTAGAAATGCTATAATAAGGAATTATGTTACACGCTTCGATTTGGCGCATTGCTTCATCTTCAACGAAATCCGTGCAAATCAACTCCGTTGTGCAATTTAAGTGCATTCGAGAGGTCCTTATAATGAAGCCACTTTCATTCAAATGCGGTGACTTCCATGGAGTTGGACGATAAATTTGATTAGTCAGCGATTCAGCTAGACGAAACAGGCCCGTCCAATAATAAATGGCACCAATCGTTGACATTGTCGACCAAAATTAGAAAAAGCGGTGTCTTTTTGGTGAGGAGATGGCTCCCCCTAACAAAACATCTGAATGGGTCTACAAAAAACCCCTCATTCCAGGCAGCTGGAAGCAGATCGGGTTTTAGGGCCCCTTTTAACAGTCAATGTAGCAAGTATTGTTTTTCGTAACAATTCCTGGACCCAAGTGATTTTTCCTCGCAAGCATTGATTACTTTTTCCGTTTTTTTTCGTTTTTATGCTACTCGTATTTTTACGTTTTCTTTTTTCGCTCATGGAAACAGTTTCAGTAAAAGTACTATAAATCATCGAATTAGCCCATCTGGTGCTTATTAATGTTGGGTTCTTTTCGATAATTTCTGATTCAAGGAAGAGGGGAGAAGAGGGGAGAAGAGGGAGATATCTGATTTCCACCATACATACATTAAAATTTATTTGGATTTCACCAAACAAATAGCTCGTTTTCTAATAATTTCTCTATTTTCAAGTTCACTTTGAGCAAAAAAACATTCTGTATAAGAATATTTTTTGGCAATAAGAACATTAAGAGAATGTTTCAGTTAATTCTTTTTATCGCGTTTTTTCATTGATTATACGTTTTAATAAAAAATTTGTTTTTAAGAAATTTTGAAATTTCAGATGAAAGAAATTTTGAAATTTCATTACTGAGCTTTTCAAACAAAGAATGTAATTATGTTTTGTTTTCAGAAGTTATTTTCCACCACGCAGAACAGCTGCGTTAAACTGTTTCATTGCGTAACTAATTTTTTCTGCTAATGCCAATTACAATGCGTCCTAGGCTTCAACAACTGCTATCATAGCCTAAACTGGGACTCGCATCTATGCGACTGAGTTCATTCTAGACCTTTCTTTGAAGAAATGCGTATTGCTTTATAATGCCAAGGTTGGTCGCAAGAACATCCTAAGAAAGTTTGAGTACTGACTAAAACCATGTTTTGTAAAAGTTGGCATGTTTGGCTTGGGGCTCATTCGTAGGTAGGCGCATAGTCCAGAAATGTCCTCAACCTTCCTCCGGTCAAATTTTTCCCCGTCAAAACCTTCCTCCAATTTTTCAAGCAATCAACGTAGTCAGGGCGTGGCTAGGGAGTGGCTAGGCCATAAGGGGTGACAGACGCAATAAATCGAGACAAAGCTGTGTCTGGGTCGATGGTTATTACCGCATACGACAAAAACTTTGCTAGAATACCAATCACATTACAGCTCAAGAATAATATCTCTTATTGAATGTCGAATAATAATATACATTGAAAAATAGTATAATATACATTGAAAAATTTTAAAACATGGAACACGAACAGCATTCTCTTTTCAGATATATTTTCTGGCAGTAAACGGGCATGGCCTAGAAATTTGTGTCTGTTCGTGCCACCATTCACCATTCGACTCTGCCACACATTCAATGTGTGTTTTAAAAGCGCAACAAAGAAACAAGTGCAAAATAGGTTGTCTCAACTATTTTTTAAAATTCTATTTTACCAAAACTTTCCTCCAACCTTCTTTTGTTTCTCAAACCTTCCTCCGGTCAATGACCGTGCGACCGTAATATTTTCTAGACTCTGGGTAGGGGCTTTTTATAATTTTCACTTCCAGGGTAAGGGCTAATTCGAAGATGGTTTATATTAGATAGGGGAGATTCAAGGGTTTACGGTAGATTTCGATTTTTATACAGCGCGGAAGCCTTACTTCGCTTTGTGGATTCTATTTTCAAGTTCTTCGAAATATATGAGGGCAAAACGCTGACAGAAACAATACGAAATAGTCTAAAAACTGAAAGTTGTACGTTGAGACGAAAAACAAGTTTCCAAGACAAAACCTACCATTCACGTGCTAGAAAGCTGCTCTCCTCTGGACAATCATCCAAATAAAATACCAGACACTTTGATTCGATGAGACGAATGAGACATTCCACAATGGTAGTAGTCACGGGACGAAACCCTACCCAACTTTTGCCACTCTTTGCGATTGTTTATTCGCGGCATGGTTGCAGTCCACAAATTTCCTAAATCAACATGTTTGTTAAATTTTTCCCAATCGATCTTTTGTCAGAAAACATCTTCCTACTTGTAGGTATTTTTATCAGTATTCAACACCCACGACTTCTAAACTGATCTTCAGAAGATTGCTCACGGGATACCAAAGTCTTTTGAGGCCTCTTTTATTCAGAACACTTAATGCCGCGGTGGCCACACACTCGTATAGTCTTTCTCAGAATTTGCAAGGATGAAATCCACAAGAATGCACTGTTCTACCGTTCAAGAGGAGAGTATCTTGTCAGGACTATTATAAACATCCACATCAACGTTCATTCGTCCAGATTCTAATTTTGACTTACCGGGGAGTTACTGCCGGATTGCTGCCACGATAATTTCGATATTCTTGAAGTAAAATTTTTTTAGCCTGAATAAATTTTTGCAATTGCCACCATTCTCCCTTTCTGTTTATCAATCGTTAACGCTAAAGCTTCTGTATTAAGATTCTCGCGTAATACAATATAATATGAATGAATGAATATAATACAATAACCCTTCCTTGCAGATGAAAGAGATCCAGAACTTTGCAGTCAAATACATACCTGAGATAACGGAGATACTGAATCGCGTACCAAGACAAATGATTTTACTTTTAAAAACCAACGATTTGCTACGAGGAATTGATTCAAAGCTGTCAGCAACGAGGTCGTTTGTGACATTGTCCAAGTGCTGCTTGCGTGCAGTTAAGGAATATGACTTATCAAATTGCAATGGTCTTTTTTGCTGGTTTAGTGTTCAGCTGCGAGCGAAAGTTGACGAAATGAGAATAACTTTGTACCAAATATCAATGTCTTCTTGTGCTAACCAGTTATCAGGCATTTTGACGTTATTTATTTTCCCAATCAGGAAAATCGCTAGGTTTATTTCAACAATTTTCATCCTATAGAATGTTCCACAAGAAATTTTTACTTACCAATTGTATTTTTATGTTATAAGGAAAAACATTTGTAGCTAATTCTCAAAGATTTCCATTTCTACATATTTGTTACATATATGATATCTAAAAGATATTAAATTGATGAATTTGTACATAAAACGTATTGGTCAGACCATGTTAGTTTTATTTTTACTGACAGTCAGCCAAACTTGAAAACATTTTCAAGGATGTGATTTTCTTTGCTGTTAAATTTACATTGGAAATCAGAAGCACATATTTCACGCAAGTGCTATCCATCATCAGGCCAATGAAACAGAATTTCGAAAGCTTTCGTGAAAACCTAGGAAAAGGGTGCAATGTTTGTCTTCATACTCTCTTTGAGGTTTCAGCTGTGTAATCATAATTTCTAGTCTCTTTGGCAGCACAAAATAATAGCATTGTCAGAAAAACACAGACATAACCCCTGAATGTTACATAAAAGGTGTCCTAAAGTGTGTCAGTGACAAGAGTCTTTGAATTATTAAATTAAACATTTTCAATTGAAATCATATTGAAAATTGTACCAAAGTATTTTCTTTAAACTAAAAATGGGTCTGAAAGGTGCATCAGATGTATTAAATTTGCAAATAAATAAAAAAAATCAAGGTTTTAGTCCTGCTCAAAAAATTGACTAGCTTGTCCAAATAAGGGGGTTACTCTTTTAAATCATTCCCTGCGTGCAGTGTGTTTGGTCCTGATCCTGGATTGATTTCCTGCTAAAAGTTCTTGCCCAACTGACACACTTTGCATTTATTATTCAAAAGACCAGCCTAATATCGTACAGCATGAAAATACAACACAGTCAACTGTACAAGAAAACTGCCGCTTAGCATTCCGGTTGCGCAAGACCCTTTAAGCAAGTATTCTAGCATTTAAAGGACAAGTGACACACTTTTCACCCTATCGTTTCTTTTCATTAACTTATAGATCATCTTTTAGAAGTAAGTTTTTCCTGGTTTGGAACAAAAAATTCTAATCAGGGGGCGCAGGGGGCGCGATTGGGTAACTTAAAAGGCTAGCCAGTAATTTAAAGTTGACAAATGTTTCTCTGAGTTCTCTGTCTTTTCTGGTTAAAAGAAAAAAAAAATTTGGCTGTCAGTCCTTTAATCAGCATCTCAGGCAACTGTTGGGTAACTTAAAAGGCTAGCCAGTAATTTAAAGTTGACAAATGTTTCTCTGAGTTCTCTGTCTTTTCTGGTTTTCTTTCAGGGCTTTTAGGTCTTCATCGTGTGAATTTTTTTTAAGAATTTCCAAAATCCAAATTTTTCTTGAAACTTGGTTACACGACTAACCTTTAGATTTCACTTCACAGTTTCACTTATTCTTATTTTTCTGCCCAGCTTATACCAGGTCCAGTTGTTCCATTAGATGTAGACTTTCTTTATTTCTACACAACGGGTTTCTTTTAGACCAACTCTTAAAACTTATATATCCAAATTATATATCCTCATCAGCATACATTTGTGGAACTTTGAAGAGTACTCTAAATGTCATATCCTTGAAGTTGAAATGAAGACAAAAATGATATCCTTCTACCAGGAAAAATGAAAAATGCTGATAGATGGACCACACAAAGACCACTAAGCAAACAAAAAACAATATATACATGCCTAAGCAAACAAAAAAGCCATATATGCCTATTGCCTAATACGGTCATTTTTTGGAGCAAGACAAGTGTCCGGTATCAAATTTCCTGTTGCTCAAAATGGATATGTCAAAGGAGCCGATTAACACAAGAGCTAATTAGAGCCTTCCAGAATGTAAAACTTGATTACAGCTATCAATTGATGGAGCAGTATCAAATTTCCTGTAGCTCAAAATTGATATATCAAAGAAGCTGATTATCGCAAGAGCTAATTAGAGCCTTCCAAACCTTAAAACGTGATTACGGCTATAAATTGACACAAGAGCTAATTTGAGCATTTCTAACTACAAAATGTGACAACCCAACATCCCCTTGCATTTCAAAGCCATAAATAAATAAACTGGACCGTACTGAACTGAATAAGATGTTCAAAGAAAGTGAACAAGTGTGCAATATTTTTTTAATTTAAATACTCATTTATTTGAAGAATTTAATTTAGAAATAGTGTCATAACATGAGTTTATCAATTGCAATAACTTGAAACTTTCTTCAACACTGCAGTTTCTTAGAGCAATACTTGCCCATTGCATCTTCATTAGAATTGAACTTTCTGCCTCCTTTATTATTCCCCTGTAGTCATCAGTTTGTGAGACTTGACCACTGGAAGAATATCTTGCTTCATTGTGATTTGGTGCAAGACTCTCTTGTGCCAACCGTGGTTCCCTAGCCTGGGTACCTACAAAAATAAACTGATAACAAGGCATTTGTGTCAGAGAACCATATATACATGTCTGTAGAGGTACCGAAACAGCATAGGCCACAGTATGTGACTAAACAAAACGTTTTGTAATAGGCAGACTGCTAAGGATGAAACAGGTTAGCAATAACATGGAAGACAGAGAATAGCAAGTCAGTTGCAAAAAAATTGACATCTTGTTCATACTGATATGACTGCCTGTTGCTTGAGTGATGTGTCTCAAAATTTTATCTTTTGACTTGATAGACCCGCATTATTATAAAAATGATATCTTAACATCAGGCTATATGTAGTGGACCTAGGTTCTTTGGAACAATCTGCAAATATCAGAAGGGCAATTTGAAACAAACTTTATGATTGTTTATTGCTTTGCCAGGTTAATTAGACAAATTTAATTAGTTTAATTAGACAAATAAAATGCTAGAAAACTCACAAAAGAGCCTTACAATTAAATCATATATTTAGAAAACAAAATATTTTATAACTACCTTGCCTGATGTATGAAATAGAAAATAATGTTAATTAAATATAAATGAATGCCTTTTAGATGAAGACATCTCTTCAAATTATCACACTCGTTGCTATATCATATCAATTTATCACTAACCAAGCTAGAAAGAAGTTCTAAAAAACATTAGAATTTGCATTTACCTTGATAATGTGATTGTCCCATGTGCTGTTGATCACAGTTAACTAAGCCATCAATATCATTGCATGCCACACAATAATCATTTTTCTGCCTATCTCTCATCAAGATTGTCTGTAAAAGGATCCATACAATGCCAAAAGCTTATAATGAAGTTTATTTTGTTTTAGATCAATTTATTGGTGTGAAAAGAATAAAATAATTTCTCTAAGGATGATAACAATAAATAAGTGAAATCAGGATACAAAACTTTTACCTGGTATAGAAAACCTTGATCGTAACTCATTTTGATAAAGCAAACATGAAGAAATTGCGGTTGGAAAAGTGATCTTTCATTCCTTCCTTCTCATGCTTTTGTTACATAAGTTATGCTGATTATTATAAATGCTGGGGTGAGTGTATCTACACGCATGCTCCCTAACACAACAGTACAGCTTCCAATAAAAGTCTTTGTTCAATAAAACAGTCTAATATATTTGTTCACTTATGGCATAAACTTCTACTAATAACACTTTCAAGGGCTTACTAAAAACCTAGTTCTTTGAGACACAGAGGAGATTTACAAAACCTACATATGACAGACAATAAGCGTCACAGTAGAAATGGGAATGCACTAACCCAAATTCAGCAAATGGTTGGTTGAATAAAAGCATTGTTATAAACGATTGCTTGTTACCAAATAATCAAACTGCATTTTACTAATAAAATATGTCCATACCCCACATCTGTTGCAGTTTGTACCAAGCATTTTGTATCCTTTTAGCAAATAGTCTCCCATGATTTTGCTTATTTTGTTAGACCTTTCCCTTCTTAACTCTAGGGCATGCTTTTCTTCGTCTGAGAGATCCATGTTCATCTATTAAAAAGGATCAGGTCAGATTTCGGAAAATATAGACTTTGATCACTTTGTAAATCTGTAATAGAGCCTTCAAAATAACAGACAAACAGTGATATTATTCAGAAACGAATTGTAGTTTTACACTTGTTCTCAAAGTTTTCTTAAACACCTACCTCATGAAGATTGTACTAGAGGTTTGTTCAAAGCAAAAGTGAAAAAGGGAAAACAAGTGAAAACAAAACAAAAAAAATGTTATATGTGTTACAAAAGATGCAGCATGTGGAAAATTATAATTTTTGAATTCAAGCTAAGCAACAATCATCAATCTCACAATTCTTTAAACAGGTGAATTTGCCAGAAAAGTTACATTCAAACCGTTTTTATATGAGCACAGAGAGCCATGAATGTCTCTGAATGTCTTTTGTTTGACGCAAGTGATCAGTCTGACCCAATTAGCACTCACACAAGCCCCACCGGCGAGCTTTGGATCAGGCTAAACAGTAGATTGCGAGGAAGGAATGTCTCATCAATTAAAACATTTCTAGTCATCTTTTTGGATTCAAGCAAGTGACATAGACAATACAAAGCCAGTATATCAAAATACAGGAAACAAAAGTTAGCAAAATTAAACACATCTCAATGAAAAAATGCATTTGAAAATCAATTCCACTGTTAATTTTTGGGAATACTACAGTTTACTTTCAAGTAGGATGCCCGCTATGTAGTATAGTTTTTCCTGATCCAGTGAACTTGCTTATCCTTTCAAGCATTTGCATAAGTATGATGCCTGCTAAGTAGTACACTTTTGCTCGGTTTCCAATCTGTGACAAGCCTATCAACAAAAAATCACTTTTATTTCTGTTTTTTAGCAAATATGATTTGTTTCTTTAGGCGTTTGAGATAGAAAATTGTTTTTCTTGCGCATAAAAAATACCTTGCAGTCTGGCATACATTCTACTCCTACTCTGATGTTTTGAAAATACAAAGTATTTTTTCTTATCCAATTCTCTATTTTCTAGCAGTTGAATAACTTCCATATATGCTGTATCCGATGATTTTACTTTTTTTACTGTGAAGCATTTGTAGTGGAATCTGAGACATACGAAACAACACGAAAATAAGCCACAGACTAGTACTTATACTCCATTCTGATACCTACAGATATTTCTTTTTCCTGGCCTATTGCCAATTGCCGAGTGTTATGTTATGACATACCAAAGTACGCTGAGGAAGAAGGGTCAGAGCCAAAAAACGTACAGAGACTTGAGTTCTTTAAACGAAAGACACTGAAATAGGATTAACAGTCGAAAGTGATATCATTCCTTACCTTTGAAATCAACAAAATCTTCACCAACTAACCAAACTAGTGAACTACTGGCCTAAGCTAGCCTCGAGACGATGCAGAGGCACAGATGCTACACAGTCTGATCGATGCTGCAAAATGGCTCCCACTATACAAGACAGTCAACGTGAAAGAAGGGAGTAAGTGTTTGCGTTTTGCTTATCAGAAGACAAAATTGATTTTATTCATTGCTGATTTATCTTGCTCGCTATTAATACAATTTACTCACGAAAGTTCAACAAGTTTTAACACACAATCGTCCCCTGAGATTAATAAGGATTTACTAGACTTAAAGTAAAGCATTTTAAAACTTCTAGAACAAGGTGAAGAAGCATTTATCCCGAGTTGGAAAATACTCCAAATATTTGAGCCCGTTGAGCCTGCCAACCAAGTAACAAATTTCATATTCATAACTCTGTAGATGCATTTTGCATAGGTCTAAACTGAGGTTCTGTGCTTCGCACGTGCAATATTGGTAACGTTTCTCCCAGTAAAGAGCGCTCCAGTTTACAGGTGAGCCCCAGCAAAGGGTTTATCCATTAAGATTAAGTTCTGAAGTGCCTTCAAGTGCCACCAGCGCATTGTTGTTGCGATGATAGAAGTTATTGAAAGCAAGATGCCTTCTCGGCAAACAAACATTCAACAATACATTTACAGCAAGTGAAAATGTTTAAAAGCCTGTACGCGAAAGACACCACCAATAATAACAAAACAAAACCAAATTTATTGAGCAACGTTGGTAACGTTTCCCCCAGTATAGGGTGCCCCAGTATACGGTCAGGCCCCAGTAAAGGGATTTTCAATCAAGATGATGTTCTTAAGTGCCGTCAAAGCTCTTTAAGTGCTGTCAAAGCTTAAGTGCATTCTTTTAATCATTATTCACATTATTTTTTGTATATTTATACCTCTTAATTTTGTATTACCATTTCTTAAAACAAGAAAAAAGAGGAACATAACTTTTTGGAATATAGCAAAGTTTTGTTAGTTTTTGCGGGTCAAATGTGGCTTATTTGGGAATGCCTAGTTTATATGTAGTTAAACCCACAAACATTTGTTTATGTTTTGTACAGCAATCGGACAAAGTTCTGTTATAATCCAGCGCTCTTTGCTCGAATGATAAATAAAATCATGGAAAATACAGCAGAATAAACAGAGCAGCACATTCCAAGGTTTTCTCAAAGCTCTTGCCTGAAAATCAGCGCTGCAGAAAGTCGTTCTGACATCAATTTGACAGCGAGCAATGATATGATTTGATAAGGCCTAGGCCAAACAAACTTAAAAGTGAAAAATATGGGAACAAGGGGATAATTTCTAGTATTATGTAGTTGTGATTACGGAAGGAGCAATGAGGTGCCAGTTACTTTAAAGCCATTAACAAGGGTTATTCACTGTTGGTTTTGGTTTTGAAGTTTTAAACCAATTTACAAGATTATACTACATCTGACTGTAAAGTTATACACAGCTTGATGACTAAGATCCCAACAAACCTGATAAAGGCTTTGATATTAAGAAAGATTTGCCAAATGTTGTTAGCTTAGATATAGCCCATTCTTTTTTGGGGGGAGGGGGCAAGAATTATATGTCAGCACAAGAAAAACTCAATACAAATTGCTGCAGTATAAACAAAGAAATTCATCATTCTTAGCAGGGTCCCAGATATTTTCCTACCAGATTCACTTCAGAAGTTTGGTAGACTTCAATCCGGGACAAAAATAGTTGAGACTTTTCAAGAAAACTGTATGTTTTCTCTTTTCTATGAAAAATAGCTTCCCTCTTCCCCAATTCAATGTTGAATGCATGATTTTGAAGCAAAAATGATAAAACTACAAACGCAACATTGCTTCAGGGGGAAAGGGGTGATTCAAATTAACAGGGGCAAGGCAAAGTAGAAAATTAAAAAAATTGCATTTTGTCTCAAAATTTTTGTCCGGGATTGACTTGCTCCAACCTTTCCTGTCCATTGCATATCTTTTGAGGCTAATATCGTCTTCTCGACAATTGAGAGTGAACTGCTTGCTTTCCCTATTTGGCCTAATCGCAAAACAAACCATAAAGGCTTTCTGAGACATCAGTTCCAGTGCAAGAGCTTTGAGAAAAACTAGAGATGTGCTGTTCCGTACATTCTGCCATATTTTTCATTATTTGTTTGACTATTTGAGCAAAAAGCGTCAAATTATAATAGAACTTTGTAGGATCGCCATACAAAACCTCAACAAATATTCGCAGGTTTAACTACAAGTACCAGAATGCATTGCCCCATGACGTAATTAGGGGAATGGTCTATTTTTTGCAGCGTTAATCACACTATATGTTATTCCTTTCCTGCGAACACATTTCCTATTTCATTGCAAGTTTTAGCAGATAAAACAATAGTTTGTTAACATGTGATAAACACATAGACTTCTTTCTCTTTATTTACTAACACCCTGATATTTAGTGGTAAGTAGCACAAACATTGGGAAGCTAAACTACGAGGATTAAATCAGAACATTGATTTGAAAAACTGCACCAGCGGAAAAAAAGGTTTTGCGCAGGCGCAGGCTGTAACCTGCATCTCTGGGAAAGGCCTAGCCAAAATGTCAGGCAATTTTCAGACCTCAACTTAAAACTTAGATAAAGAAATTATGGAAGCCTTTATTTACAGGGGTTTTTCATTATTTTAAGAACTACTGTTAGTTTCGAACATGGTATCATTTTGTAATTTGAAAGTCTGGCTACTAGAATTTGAAGAAATTGGAAAAGGTTGCCCTTTTCAATTTCACATCTCCTTGGAGAAACTTGCTCTCAAAGTCTGGTCTTCCCCCCATACTAAGGACTATAAAACAAAATAGAATCAATCCTGTGAAATGCTTCACACTTTCTGTTGATTAGCTTTTTCCATAAATCGAATGTGCCTTACCTTTTAGACAACTTAAACTCATATCCTTAGTACAGCTAGGTCTTTTCTTTCAGTAATGTTATTTTTGCTTTACTTTCAATCCATTTCTTGAAGTTAAATGTATTTTTTTCTTTGCAGGTCAGGGAGAATTGTGTGAGTATCAATGTTCTTGATAACTTAACTGATAGCAAATTATCCTTAATTTTTGACCAGTTGTATACAAAGTAAATGCTGTGTTAAAGCAGATTAAAAGATATTCAGCTTAAAAATTTTTTTTAAGTAGAATCTTAGAAATTGCTGTCTTCTGATGTTTTTTGTTGAGGAACAAAATATAACTTGTACTGTTTTACAAGTGCTCCTTTAATTTTTCTGTTGTGTACATGAGGGGTTTTTTGTGGCATGATTCTCTAAGAACATAACGAATGAGTGAATATCTATATTATGTTTCATCATTGTTAATTGAATCATGACCCATGTAAGTACATTTACTATATGCTAGAAACTCATGTTTACAGTTTTCCTTCGACAGGAAAAGTGACTTTGTGTGCCGAGTAAAATACAATAACTCTTTGCCAGATATTCCATTTGATGCAAAATTCATCACATACCCTTTTGAGGGTAACAGGTAAAATGTTCAGTTTTTCAGTAACCAGTGTTATTTTTCTCTAACTATATTATTCTTTATTTTGCATCCATTTTTTACCTTGCCACAATGAAAATCAATTTAATTTTCATTCAGGTTCATCCATTACAAGCCTACTTCTCTCGAGAGGAGCTACAAACATGACCTGCTAACTGAGCCTGACTTAGGTGTAACAATAGATTTGATAGATCCTGATACCTACAGTATATCTAACAATGGTAAGGTCTTCAAATTTTAAGTAGTTTTATTTGGTCAGCTGTTGTTTTGAAAAGAAAAAAATTAACTACAGAGTGCTTTAATTTTCTGCTTGTATCAAAAGATGAAAATCATTTTCTTTTAAAACATGTTGCTGTTTCACAAGCCTCTCTTGACTGCTGGAGTCTTGTTTGCTGTTTGCCTTTTTCTATGTTTGTGTTTCCCTTTAGTTGATGTTATCAATATATGTAGATGGCCTCTGTTCTGTGTCTCTTTTGCTTTTATTAATGTGAAAAATGTCAAACTTTTAAATAGTTTTGGTAAAGAAGCTGCAAATAAGTTCAGAAAAAACTCTAGCATCTAGCAGGTCAATATATAAGAGTAGAATATTGCAATGGAGTGTCCTCTTAAAATTGTGAACACCTTTTACCAAAGTTGAGTATATAATGGAGAATAAAGTGCAAAACCCTTCCACGTTATTTTCTTTCATTTCAATGATGTTATTTTGATTAACAGATGATTTTAAGTTTTGAAGCGTTAAATGGGCTAATAAGGTGTAAAAAGTTTTAAACCTTCAAAAGTTCCCTTCAAAGGCATACAGTTTTGCCTGAAATATCTATGATTATCTGATCTGAAGGAAAGCACTGAGTACCATTACCTCTTTGTCACTAACTTTTTGATTTATCACACTATGGCAAAATTACACTCATAACAATTTCTTGTAAGGATGTATTTCTACAGTGTACTTCAGTTTGTGTATTCGGTTTTCTGCATCACGATGTTTCAATTTTACAAATTATGTTTTCTTTTGTCATAAGAACTGCATCCAGCAGATGAAAAATTACTGGAAGAGGAGTTCACTATGCAAGCAGACCATAAAAGGTATTTCAGTATAGCAAGATAGATTTGCTGTTTTAGGTATTGTCTTATTTATCTAATTAGAAATTAATGATATCCAAATCTGCTGTGTGTGTTAAATCATTCACTTCTACAAAAACAATTACAAATCCTGAGAGCTGAACTTTCAGCAACTTTGGAAAACTTTAAATATAATTTACTGATGTACATTAATTACTGATTATAATGAGATATTTATTCAAAAGCTCTTTCTATAAAACGTTTAAATGATATCAAATTAAGTAAAAGTAAACACACTGCAAATTTCTCCACTTTTGTCTTCATCTGTTAAACCTTGACAGAATCAAAGGTGCCTAGTTATCAACCTAAGGTACAATAAACAATAAGAAAAATAGATAATTCAGAGGAGCAGAGTGATAGGTGAACAGAGTACAGTGTGTCTTTCCTGCTCTACCCTTTCTGTTTATACATTTTCAAGTTGCCAGCACTGTATTGAATTGATTTCTTCTTTGAATAGACAAAGGCAACATACCAAGAGTGTCACGTGGCTGAGAAAAACACAGTATATATCAACAGAATTCAACAGATTTCAAACATGCAATGATATGGTTGAAACAAAGTAAGTTAAAAGTAGAATTTTTGCATCTTTCAAAACCCTCAACCTCACCACCTTCAGTTTAGATAGTTGTTTGATAACTAATGTTAATAAGGTCTCTCTCTGGTTATACTTTGCTTCGTTTCCAGTCCTAATCATTTTTGTAAATGCTATAAGATATTCATTCTTCGATAATTTTCTTTGCCTAATTATTGTGGCTTATGGAATCTCATTAATGATTTTCTTTCCAGAGTCGGATTTAATGTCAAGAAGAAAATGAAAGGAATCGATTTATATAAGGTATAACACTAATTTCTCGCACATGCTTGATATTAATAAATTGATTTCTCGTAAACACAAACATCATATTTAATTTTGGAAATCATCTCACATCGTTATGTGGCATTCTTAAATATTTAAGCATCTGTTCAGGAATGATTTGCCTAACCAATGTGGTTCCTTTTGTCATAAACAGGATCGCGAAGCTCAGATTCAATCAATTGAAGGAAGTTTTGAGGCTGCAAAGAAACCTGTAATTACATTGTTTGTTTATTTACTTCCCGAATATGTTACCTGGTAAAACTATTTTTGATTTGTGTTTATGGTTCATGTTACCCAAGGAATTAACCAGATGCTGTCCTAAACGTAATGATGAGTGCTAGCAGATATGTTGGAAATATAGGTTTTTTGTTTGTAGAGAATTTGCCTATTTTGAAAAAAAAGCTTTTCTTTTTGAAACTACAATCTGATGTGACGACAATTATAAGACAGGAGTAAATTATATTTTCCCTTAATTAGCTCTGCAATGATGTTTTTCAAATTTTGTTTCAGATAACGGCACACCACGCTAATCCAAGATTGAAGCCAGTTGATATAATGCCTGTTTTTCCTGATTTCAGTGTAGGTTTCTTTTTCTCTCACATGTATTTTTATATCTTATAATTTTCAATGCAATGGGATTTTATTTCCTTTTTCCCGCTTACTGATGTATTTATTAATCACTAGTTTTTTCTTAGAATGTTATACCACGATTACAGTTTCTTTCTATAAAATTTCAAACTATTTACGTAAATGTCTTTCTTCACTGTGATTGACTTCTTCTTGTTCGTCTTTTGGTATAACGATTCCACTAAGCATGTGGAGAATTGGTTTTTAGCCTCTCAACTTGTCAACCAAGAGGTGTCATCAACTTTTCTTCGAAAAACATTTTATTCTAGTTTCACATCTGTGCTATTTTCAACCATTTTTGAATGAAAGTTGCGTTTATTGCAATTGGATGTAGTGACTCTGCAGTTATTGAAATGGCTGGGTTGACGTCCAAGTAAACCAATCAATTATTTTGACCCATTTGCGTAAACTCAATACCTCTTCACTTGATAATATCTGGTCCTTCTTTAGTCTTTTAGTTTTTTGGTCGTTGCTTTTTAGTTTTGGCATATGCCTTGTGCCCATGTGATTTTCGATACGGAACCTACTCCAAGAGGCAAGGCTGATCCAGCATCAATCGATGAAATGTCTCATGCCATGATCAGGTAAAACCTTTGTATTCAGTTCGTTATATCCCACACTTTAATATTTTGTTTTAGCCCTTTATTTTTTTTAAGGAGTAAGGAGAAACAGAAACACTCAATAGTAAGTAATTTATGAACCAGTTTATTAGAGTAACTTATGAAGTTCGTACAAGGGAATCGATACAGATAAAAAGTTTTAAAGTTAAAACTCTTGAAAAGCAACAAAACATAACTGGAAATCGAATTGATTTACATTAAGGAGTTAACAAAATAACTGTTATAAATTATTCACTTTCGGCACCATCAAATCGAATTAACAGCTATCATTTTTATCAATGTAAGCTTAGAAGATAAGATGGCAGCAATTAAGTTTTCAACATTAACTAAACTTTAGTCTAAATTACAAGTCTGAACTACCTTTTTATTATATCCAATTACTCTAAAGACAATTCATACATGAAAAGTCGAAATTGTGTCTCATTTTCTTCTCAAAATTTTCATTTCGTATAATAATGCTTATTGAACAACAAATTATGATCTTGCTATCATCCTTACGTTCTATTTTATAAAATGACCACGATTTGCGCTCATTTGCAAGTTTTAACCTTTATGAAGATCACTATTGCCAAAATGTAAATTTTACATAACATTTTTTTCATGAGCTAACACAAGTATATTGTCAAGACTTCATGACTGCCAGAGTTTTATATCAAGATTTAGTCATGATGTTTCTTTCTTGCGCACAGGGGTATGGAAGACGAAAGTGGTGATCAGTTTGTTGCATATTTTCTGCCAAGTGATGACACACTACGTAAAAGGAAGAGAGAAGAAGCCGATCCTAGTGAAATTGCAAGCGAAGATGAGTTAGTATTCGTTCTGTATCTAATTTCTTGCAGAAAGACCTTACGATACTAGGGACCATTTTAAGTTACCTTCGCATCTCTTCTTATTCGTTTTTATTTCTTTTATTTCGGTCAATTTTTCACAATGCTACCAGTTTTTAGTAATTTGTATTCAAATGAAAGTGATGCAAAATTGTTAATGCTCACACTGCGTAGGGGTGCTTTATTATTACTCATTTTTCAAAGTGCTGCTTCTTTCAGTCTTATCTCTTGTCTCGGCAAAGGGCGACGAAGAAGCAACAATCCACTTAAAACAATTAATTTAGCATTATCCCACGCTTCAAAATGACTCAATTGAAAATGACAGTATGCCTTCTAGAGTGTACCCGGGTCGTAGTTAAGGCACATTTTGCTGTTTATGCTGCGGATCCGTTCCAAAGAGACACTGCTCCAAGTCCTTTTCTGCACGCAAATCCTCAGCAACTTGTTTCCTGTCCTAAATATCTTTATATTCTATCAAAGGAGAGTAATTGCAACGTAAAAAGAGAACTGAAGCAGTCATTTTGCGAGTAATATTTACATTAAGTTTCTTGAAATGTTGTGATATTACTGTTTTTATTAGAGTATTTCTATAGCAATTTTTTTCTAAACTGAAACTACATTGACTAGAATTCTATGATTTTTGTGGTCACCTGTTGTTCATGGGGATTGAGATCCATAATCTGGTTCTTGCGTCGCTGAAAGCCTTATCGCCCTAACTCTTAAAATCAGAGCAAAGTACATTCAAAATTTGACTATAATTGGATTTCAATGACCTACCAAAATTGCAAACAGTTCCTTCAAATGCTCAAGGTTGTTATCCTGAAGGATCTTCAATATTGTGGGAAGATCTTAATTAGAATCATATATGGTTTTTTAAGTGTCATACAACGGCGCGTTACCATAATCCATTTTTTGTAACAAGTGCGTGAGTGAGCGTAGCTGACGTATCACTATCGATAAACTTAACGACTGACCAAAGATTGCGAAGCTGCCTACAATATGTCTTTGCAATATTGTTTGTTTACAATTTTATGCTAGATATTGAACTGTTCATCGGCAAATGCTGTGTAACGAAAATAAATCAGCATCTTCTTTTATTATGGAGACAATTTTCTTTTAGGAGTGATTATAAGCTTGCCAGGGAATACAACTGGAGTGTCAAGAATAAAGCTAGTTCCGGGTATGAGGTGGGGTCATTAACAAAAAATCATATTTGTCCGTCTTTTGGTATATCACCCTGCATGTTTTAAAATGTTTTTTTTCTTACAGTTGTTTACATACCGTCAATTTCCTTATATAGTCCCCCCCCCCGAATATAGCCCTCCTCAAATATGAGCCCCCAAAATGGTCTTTGAACCATTTTAAGCCCTTGGCTTTTATTCGGAATTTTACGATACGTTCATGTTCACCCCCAACACGGTTTCATAAAAATGCTCTTTTCACAGGAAAACTACTTCTTTGCTTTGCGAGAAAACGAAGGTGCTTTTTACAACGAACTACAAACAAGGTATTCCCTGCACTTTGTTAAATTGTGTCTTCTTTTCGTGGCTTTCTTAAGCAACAAAGAATTTATTTCACATTTTAGAGCAAGCATTTACAGGAAGGCGACTGTTTTTTAATCTGATTTTGGGTTTAGTGGTTGTTCACATATTTCACTATCTGAAGAGGAGGGAGGGGAGGGAGAGATATCAAGGCCACAAACGCTCAAACATGAAACTAGGATTTCAATAAATTATAGCGAAAAAACATATAATGCAGTTTCAATTGAATATATGATGGTGGAAGTTCAAGCATAGGGACAATTTAGCTGTTTCGTCCAATTTACTGATTCGGTAAGACAGAATGTATACGTTCGCGCTGTGCTGTCGATGTGCATAATTGATTAACACTGTGTCTTCTCTTTAACACCCTCGCAATATTAATAAGCCTTTCTGGCACTTTGACGATATTCCGTAAAGAGGCTCACGAGTCTCTAATACCTATGCGTTCTTCCCTTTATATATTCTTATTTTATGAGCTTTGCGGCGAAAGCCTGTTAATTCAAGTTTTCCTTCCAAGGCTGCTGAAGCCTTAGATTTTTCTTTTGTCAGTTGCTAAACATCCTTTGTTCAAAAGGAAGCAGTTATAGCCAGCAGAATCCCCCTCTCTTCTAATCCCCCCTAAGTACACCTGAAATTGGATGTCACACCCTCGTCTTAAAGATTTTTGACAGTGGTTCTGCTGATGTGAAAATAACTTTTGTGACGTATTAATCACTAGGGCCTTACAGCGTGGCAGGTCCAAATTCACGTTACCATTTGTGACCACTTAAAACTTCAATTGCCGGGAGCCCTTCTTACCAATCTGGCAACTATTCAAAAGATTCCATAACATTTCAAAATACCCAAACACAGTCAACCTTTTTATTTGTCTCGAAATTACCCCCAAATGTTATCTCTTTGAAATATACCTTGAAGCTGTGAGGAATTACGAAAGGTCTTCTTATATCACAACTCTGATTTAATCTTTGATCTTTGAAGTGGGAGTCAGAAGGTCGAGTTTCTATATACTTTCGACATGATGAAAAAGGCTTTTCCAACAAAATGTGGCTGATATAATTACATGTAAAAAACCCTTTGACTTCTAATATTTATAAAATAAGGGCTTTTGCTTTTCACGAATGACCTCTGGCCATGTTTAATCGATTAGGGTGAAGCTGAACAAGCGACGAGCTAAAGGCGGTGCAGGAGGAATCAGCTCGGCAGTTTCCAAATTGGTCGTGCGAAACAGAGAGCCGACAGAAGCTGAACTGAATTTGCAGGTTTGTTTTATTATATCTTATTCAATCATTTATCGATCGTGAGTTTGTTGTGGGTTCTTCTGTTCCATAGTTCAATACTTGTTTCAACCTAGTAATGGTAATTATTAATTGAGAAATGAAACCATTTCGTAGTTAAAGACAGCATTTTTCTGTTTTTTTTTAACTTTAGTGACCCACAACGGCTAAAATTTACAAAAAGCATGTATAATTTTTCAATGTCCTGTTTTACTCAAAACCTTGACATTAAAATGAGCATGCTTTCATATTTTGAAAAGTATGTACGCATTAGTCGAAGAAAAAAGAAAAATGCATTGTCTTAAACACGAGGTGTTTTTTATTGAGTTTTCCAGAAAATAGCAAATTTAAACCTGTGTTGAATATTTTTATACACGCTTTTTAAATTAATTTGAAACTGACCTGTAAATGAAGGCTATTTTCAGATTACTAAACCTATCCTTGAATTAAATTTTCTGTCACTTTTTTTCGATGTAGAAATCAAGACTTTCACAGCTTGAAAACGCTGCGCTTGAGGAGGAGCTGGACGAAGACGAGGACGAACCCGCAAGTCCAGACAGTGATCAAGTAAATGCTGATGACGTCAACTTGGAAGAACAAGACGAGGCCGAGGATAGAAAAGCTGAAGACGCGGAATCGAACGAAGAGGGTAAAAAATCTGACAATGCAGTGGAAGTTGCTGAGGATCAAGATGACGAGGGAGACAATGATTTGGGAAATGAACTCTTCGGCTCTAGCTCAAGCGAAGATGAGGGTGATGAATAAATAGTGTTTGGCAGGAGACTATGTAGCTCTGCTATAAGCTTTCAAATACTTTCTTTGACTGACGGGGCGAGCACCAATAGTCAAATTATCAAATAATGAGGGAAGAAATTTTCCTTATTTTTTATGCACCCGACAATTTAAATAAGCAACCTTTGCGTTCTTTAATTTCTCTAAAAATGACCACCCCTTTTGCGAAGGCACTACTGTATATCTCGAAAACGCCTTGTCCGCTGTCCGGAAATGCTTGTCCTCTTCATGAACGTCAAAAGATCACAACTTTCAAAAGATGAAACTTGTTGTTATGGAGAAACTTAAAAAGTATGAAGTCAACTAGGTAGTTCTAAGGATGTAATAAAAATTTCTGTTTACCGTTGTATAGAACAAGACCAGTCTAAGTTGCTATTCCGAGCTTGATAAAACATTAGGCAACTGGTCCAAAAATGTAATTGACTGTAAGTAAGACTTAACTTCACAGAATTTCTCAAGCTGCAACTGTTTTTACTCGTTGTTAACTAATTTGTTGTTTCGACCCTGTGTCAAGAACCAACTCTCTGGTTTCTCTAGTACAAAGCAAGTGGGTTGGCAGATAAAAGATAATTTGATTGAAACGGAAACATTGAGAATGGTTAACACTTGGTGAGGCTGAAGTAGTGAGAGACCAGCAATCAGATCTATGTGCCTCGCTTATACGAAAACATGCTTTTCTTTTAGAGGTCAAGATTATAAATTTGCCTCGAAAAGAAACAAAATCAAATGAATAGCTCATTAACATAATATCTTGCTCTTTAGTCTTCAGAATATCAACAGATCGTTTTCAATCCGAGGGAATTGTTCTACTTCGTTATTCTGTACTGTGTATTTAATTTGAAAATTGTAAGGTTCGCCTTTTTCGTTTTTACAAATTAGTTTGGAAGAACAGTTTTTTATGTTAATTTCAATCTAAACCTTGCTTTTTTAATAAATATGCAAATGGCTTTGAAAAATGTAAACATTAAAAAAATGGATTGAAACTTTAAAAATGGATTGATTTCATTGAATAAGAACCTAGAATCGAAAGCTGAGATCGTCTGAGATCGAAAGCATCGATCCGTGTTGATGCACATAACTTATTTTATCTTGATAAAAGTTAGCTGGTACCAGCAAAACAACGTATTGCTAAGAGTAAAATGCTCCTTTGATTTGTTAACAGTTTGAAAAAAATATATTTTGATAATAGTCATAATCAAAGCCACGAGAGCATTAATCATATCCATAACAGAGATTTTAAGATTCATGTATGGTGAAAATGTGCGAGGATGGCTCAGTTGTTAAAGGCGCTGACTACAGTCCCAAGGGTCTGTAGCCGGAGTCCCTGGTATGACCAAACTTTCATCCAGAGTGAGGATAGTTGCCAGCTCTCTGTAATTATAATCATCAGGAATCACGAGGTGTGGTCACATCGAGCGGAAGGACAGGACACTGCTCTCAGTGTCCTAAAAAATGCGTTCGGGTGCCAGGTACAAATACCAAATCTTCACTATAATCCTCGCATTCAGTGACGTGCTCAAGGGGGGAATAGGGGGATCCGGACCCCCCCACTTTTCTAAAGTATGGTTCTCGAGATTTGTCCAAAAACGATGTAAAACTCATAGGGGGGGGGGGGGGGGTAGTTTACTGTATGCTTGTGTCAATAACAATTGTAAAATACTTTGCTATTTACCGTAGCTAAAATAAATCAAACAATGGGGGGAAATTCTGCAAAAAGGTCGTTTCCCCGCATTTGCGAGTGTTTGAAGGGTGTGGTAAAAAAAAAAGTCGCTCGCGATTTCCTCCCTGTGCTGTTCGCCTCAACTGCTAACCAGGACACTTTTGGTCCGGTTACGTTGTGATAAAAATAATTTTCGGGATAATTTGTTTTCAAAGTATTTGAAAGTCTCAACAAAGTACAATGTTGAAGTACCAAAACGAAATAATTCTTAAGTTCCAGCTGGGCTTGATCCCTCAAATTCCAGTTGGGTTTGAACTTGGTTCTATAGCACACTATTCACTGTGCTGTTAATCGAATATTAGCACATTTCCTGTAAGCTGAGGGTTGCTAGTATAGTGGGTAACGGGTTGGGAAGTTGAATGTTCTAAATTCCGATTGGGGGGGCGTGTACCGATTACCAAAAACTAAATGCAACGATAAAAACAAAACATTATGTCGAATTGAAATCGAGGCTGGACCAAATCGCATGAACGTGATTTAGAACTTGTAGCAGCCAGTTAATCATGTTACGTGTTTGAGGCCGAAATGGTGCGTGTTTGCCCAAGTTGAAGCGAAAGAATGGACATTTAAACTATTATTGATGATGTGTTTAAATGGATTGATAGTTTTTTCATGTAACGAATAGACTTGGAGGAGTTCAAATACGTTTTTACGAGCCCCCAACTCCAGATATCAGGAGGTTTGTCTTCTACCTTGTTGATAGGGATATCAGAAAACTTGAAATAAAATGCATGGTTTGTGTAAATATTTATTCACCTATTCGATATAAGAATCACGATTTTTCAATTGTGAACAAAAGTACGATGCAAATGTTGGATTATAATTTACCAGAAAGAAGGTCGTCAATGATAGTCTACCCTCTGTTACAAAGATGCTTGCTCTTTTCTGGTTTACTGCAAATGCATGTATTGCATTAACAAACCCTGCCCATCTGTATGCATGAAACAACAAATTAAGTTAGCCTATTGTAATCATGATGTCATAATTTTTGATTTCATAAGAAATCCAAACTCACTCATATCTTCATAGCCCTACACTTGATAAATTAAGATTTCTAGAATGTAAAAGAAAAATTATGTTTTTAATTGGATGTCTATCAGACTTAATATAATTGTTTCATTTGTAGCATTCCACATCAGTAATAGTCACTTAGTAACTGATGAAGCCTTTGTTGAAGTCTTTTTGAATCCAAACTTTGTTTAGAAAGTAGTTTATGTGATGTGTCAAATAGTCTTTTACACAATAATCTAATGAAAATTAAATACTCTATTTTATGTTTCTTTGTGAACCTGTTTAAAAGCTTTATATCTATATGTAGAAATTACCATTAAACAGAAACACAAGGTCCCTAAGAAAGTTAATTCTTTCACCTTTCAAAGCAGAATGGCAGAGCTGCACCAAGATCATGCTGGAAGGGTGTTCCTTTTGATGGGAAAGGAATATAGGATATCAAGAAGTATAAGAGCTCAATGGTTTTTCCAGCACATAAACTCTGCTGTTCACCCAAAGGGCAACCAGGACTTAGTAAGTGAATTTTGGTTAGATTGTTATTTTGTTTGTTAGTTTAGATTATTAGTTTTGCCAACAGATTACTAATGTTTGTCTTGATTCATAGTTTTTTAGAACCAAGGGCTAGATTATATTTGTTTGATAGGTAACATTTTTGATGGGGCTGATCTGTTATAGATGTAATAACTCATTTTGCATGTTTTAGAAGTATTTCATTGTGTGCTTTCTGGTGATGTAAATAATGAAGGTCGGTTTAATACTTAACATTATGCCACCTGAAGATAGAACATACACAACACTAAATTATTTTGTTGACCTTTTACTCTGTCTTTCAGATTTCTTCACATGAAGAACTGGAGGTGCTATCTGTTTTGCCAGAAGTCTCAAATATCCATAATGTACATTCATTCAGGCTCGCTCCATCAACAAGAATAACTTTTATCGGAAGGCAGTATAGATTTGTGTTCTGTATAGATATAAGCTCTTCACAGTGGAGTGTGGTGAGTTATCCTATTTCAGTTTTCTTGTAAATAAACACAATGCCAATAGGGTGAATATATGAAATTTTCAAAATCCAGTTAAAAATACCTACTAAGAGAGTTACAGAAAATTGACATCTAGTGAACATATGTGGCCGAGATGAAAAGGACAAAAGATGCAAGCAAGCAAGTAAAATATTGATAGGTATCATAAGTTCCAACTTTTTGTTTCCTGAAGGGGTTGCTCGTGCCTTGAAACAAAAGTTTTTTTTGAACTATAAAATTAATTTGTGTCTGTTCAAAAGTGTTGCTGGCAGATTTTGATTTCAGCAATGCAATAATAAACATATTAGAAAAGTCCTTGAGGTAGACAAGTCGGACTTGTAAAAGTGTTGCTTTTTCTTTCCATTGTTATTTTGATACAATTTGTTTTCATAACTGCCTTTTTCCAAAAAGAAGCAAAAACTTTTCTACTTCTTTTTGGCATACCCTTGTTCCATATTGTTTGTACTTTTCTTGCAGAAAATAGAATTAAAGTTCAGTGAACGTGTGAATTGAATTAAGATGGCTGTACTTAAAGATGGAAAATGAGCATGCAAACGACTGAAAGTTTGCCCTGCCAGAATAGGAAGAAAGAAAAGTCAACTATTCCTTAGTAATTTTGTTTTTTTTCAAACTATCTGTTTTCAATCCTTAGAATGTGGAGAATGGAAAGATAATGCTAGAAGAAGTATTTGAGAACTTCATGAACTGCATTCTTGGATTAATTGAACCAGTAAGAACTTGAAAATTTATTTTCATAAAATTGTTATGAATGTGATTTAGAGCTTGTTTAATGAATACTGCCCTCGTCCTTCAAACAATATGCTGTCAATTATTAAAAACACCTAGTTGTGTCCAGGGGTGTCACTTGACCCGGGGTATGGGGGGTTGGTTCACCCCTGTCCCCAACCACAAAAATAAGGGCCCTCTCACAGGGCAAAACTGATTTGACCAGGGAAGTTTTTTATCCCAATGGATGTGCTTTAATGTTCTTTTTAAATAACTGTAGTGAAAAGGTAGTTATGCTTGGAAATTATCTGTTCTAAAGGAAGTACAATAAAGACTGCCCATGACACAAAGTAGGGAGTAGATAGTTTGGGCTGGAGGGAATAGATTTCTAAATTGATGCTGATTTCCTTTTACTTCAGATTTAAGTGTTGTCGATATTTGTGTTTTTTTTAAAACCATGTTTTAAAGACAAGCACAGCTTTTTAGAAAACTAAGAAAAAATTGTTATCTGATCTGGAATCCAATTTGTTGTTAAATTAGTGTATCAAAATAACTGGAGCATTCGTCAGAACAGACATACTGTCCTGTCTTATAACTATAAGTTTATAAAACTGGACATTTATATGCAAAGCTTTGATATCTTAATCTTGAAGAATGTTTCTGCATAGTGATTTACATTTAGCGTAACCAATCACCAGTTCCGTGGGATGATAATGTGCATATCAAAATTTGTTTGTAAAAAATTAGTTATGTTTTTTATATCAGGTATGTTTTTAGATAATGAGTACATGTAACAGTTGTTGGGACAAGTGTTTCACTCATATAAGAAAAAAGTGTTTTCTCAACAGAATGCTGCCTGGAGAATGTGCATGAAAATTGATTTTATATTTGCCAAGTTGCTCAAGCACTTTTCTCTTGGTTAAATATTCTTTCTATTAAATGCTTCATTCCTCCAGCCAAAGGGCAAGCTTTTTTCATTACAAACACTTTTTAGTAACAATGCTGATGACATTTGGTCTGTAATCTAGCCAAAGACCACAATCTGCAATAGAAAACTACCCTACAAACATTATCAGTCCACAGATTTCTGGTTAACTTTTACCACATAATTTCCCTCCACTCTAATTTTAGCTCATATTATATATATTGTCACATAGATTATACCAGACTCTTTCTTTGTACATAGCCCATAAGCAACTATTGTCTAGTGAAATTTATATTTTCAAGAATAGAAAGTGATATATCAAAGTAAAAAATAAATACATTGCTTCTCCCAACAAAACAAATAAGACTGAAGTATAACTATATTTAACAAAGCAAATATTCAGAAATAGACATTCAAATCTTGTGATATGCTTTCTTGATATAATTGTAAAAATGTTATAATTTGTATTTACCAACAAGCACAAATTAGGAATTCACCTTTGCATTATATGTTCATTCAATCATAACATACTTCTAATCTATATTTTTCCTTGTCTTGGCAGTTTTCTGTCCCAGGCAGCAGTTTGGTACTTGAACCAGAATTGGTCATTACTGTACTGGCATACACACCTTTGGCACACAGAACCTGTCAGGTGGGGAGTTTAAGCGCAAGTTGATATTGATTTATCAGTTAAGATTCATTTTGAAACATTATGTTATGATTCAGTAATATTTTTATTTTTATTTATTGAATTGTTGCTGGAAAGTTTAATCTCAAATTCCCATTTGTTGTAACAAAAAGCAGGAACATTTTTGCTAACTAAACATTGGAATAGATACCTAATTCTTGGTATTATTCAATATTTGATAGAAATTGAAGACCGTAGAAGATAAAATGTTACTTTGAATTCACATTGAATATATTTCTTATTGCTGCCCTTAGGTTCTTGTTCAAGGACTGTCTGTATCACGAACCAATATCTATAGCTTGCTATATGAATTGAAATGTAAATTGCAGTCTTTGGAAGACATATTAGCAAAGGAACTGTCAAGGAAATACGACCAGGTATTTTGGCAATTCTGAAACTTGAGCATTAGCTAAATTTGTTGACTAACTTTATCAGTCGAATGGAATTTCAATTTTTTATAAAACGTTTTTCTCATGTTTCTACATTTCTATATACCTGATTTTGTTTACTAAAGATCAATTGGACATAAAGGGAAGGTGCTCCTATGAATACCCTCTTAAACTCACCAAGTGGTAGTCTCATAGGTTTTTTTAAAACAGTCTCTTTGCATCATTGCTACAATCTAAAAATTTGCAGTTGACTAACAGACATTGCTTTTTCTTGAATAGGAGCTGCCTGTTGAAGCAGATGCAATTGATGATGAAGTTGGGCACGATACAGATTCAAGTCTTTTCAACATGGTCAGAGATGCCTTACTGGCACTGCAGCTGCTTCCTGATAACGCAAGTGCAGGTTGGATATTTTCTTTAAACCTTTTTAATCCAAGTTCAAGTATCATTCATCCAAAAGATATTGCTATTTCATAGGAGTCTGCTTATATATAGGATTGTGCCTCCAAAGAGTCTTCTTCTTCTGCTTAATAACTTTGATCCTCTATGTTGAAGAAATTTGTTTCACTCTCTCTGATTGATTTTGTTTTGTTCACCATGTTGAAGGAAATATCCTTAACGCGAGTCACTCGGATAGATATTAAGGTTGTCCCTTTTGGATATTTCCTAGCTTACTGGATATGACATCCAGGCAAAATAAAGCTTTTGGTTTGTAATAGATTTGAAAGATACCGACCTTGTCATGCAAATTAAGCCTAATTAAAATATGACTTTCAAATTGAAGCAGAAAGGTAGTTAACTCAGCTACGTATTTGCTTCCAATTTGGTTTTAGGGAATCGCATTTGAGCTTCAACCTGTGAGGCAGTGGCAATGCTGGAATATTGTAATTAACTGTATACTAAGGCCTGTTTATTATAGCAGTGTTTTGACAATAGCCGCTAGCTTGTTGAATCTTATGATCTGTTTCAGGATGATCAACCGGTAATCATAAAGAAACTCAATTTCTTGCTTTTCTCCTAGGTTTAGTCATCGTCACTGATGGAGTCTTTAATCTCAGCGATGCATCTGCTGTCGACGCTGTGTTGGCGCAAATGAGGGCCAGCACCGTTGTATGTTCTTTTCTGCAAGTTGGCGGTGGATCGAAATACGGGTAACACGTGAATTTTCTCAGTTAGAATTTCAAATTTTTATTATTTATTTAAAGAGACAAAACACCAGTCTCGTTTTTTAGCACATCTTTTTCCCAAAGAGCAAAATATCTGTAGTTTCGAGTTAAGTTGCCATTCGCCATTAGGCTTTGTAAATTTGAAGTATATATGTTATACTGCATATGTTGAACTGCATGTATACTAAGCGCCATCCAAGCGTCAGCTAGTATGCCTGTGGCAAAGATTGTCAGTTTCATTTTACGTCTTCTGCCATTGATTCACTTTTGCCATTGCAGATTGCTTTTAAAGTTGTTTTAGTAACAACGCGAAAACAGCAAAATTTTTGTTTTTCTGTTTCAGATATGGCTTTATTCCACACACGTCTCTTATGCAGTTCATAGCCACCGCCACCTCCGGCGCCTACATGTGCGCATGCCCAAGAGTGAGTTTGTGACGTCAACCTTAGAATGAACCTAGCTACGTCTCTCTTTCAATTTCTCTTTCAATTCTTTCAATTAAAGCTCACGTCTTGATGCTATTTTTACTTGTCTTTCCAGGTGAATTCTGCAGACCCAAAACAACACCCAACCTCAAGCGAAGTACAAGGTGGCAGAACACAGTTCATATTATATTTCGCAGTATGAATATTTCTATTGCGAGCCATAGATAAATCTATCGCTGTGGAGATCTATTTTACAAATAATTTGGTTCTGATCTAGTTTGAAACTCTGAAAGGTGTCATTAGTTTATAGCTAATCAAATAAGTATTTGTCAAAATCCGACCTGACCAGATGATATATAATCGATTTTAAAGTTGAAAGCTGCAAGGCCGATGCCAGCTTTGCCTTGTAAGGGGAGGACTGTAAGAGGGGTAGAAGAGTTACACTTAGAAGTAGAAATTGATCTTCTGGAAACGTTTTTCTGCTTATTCATTGTAAAACGTTTCCAACTCACAGTAATTCACACGCAACTAAGAAAACTATGACATTTTGTATTGTGTTTGATAGAAACAGGATTCGCCTAGCACGCAACTTACAATTTTTTGTAATTTCTAGAAGCACAGCCAATGAACGTATACCATGAAGCCCTTCTTTGCTGGAATTTTCATACTGATATCGACCGTGGCAAAATCGCATATGATGATGTAGCCAACAAACTTTGGATGAGGAAAATGCCTTTTACTAAAGATAAAATCGAGTTCGTATTATATCATTTTTTTCTCTTTTATTTATGCAAGTTTTAATAAACATTTTAATAAACAAATCTTTGATATTAAAAAAGTTTCATTCGTAGATCGAGTGGTAAATTTTTAGTTATATTATCCTTTGCTGTAAGTGCCTTTGCGGTTGCATGGACAACGAAGGGTTCTAGGGCAAGCTTCAAAATTGATGCAAAGTGTAATTCTTCGGAATTTGTATTTGTCGGCATTGCTCATTACATTTTATTTACTGTTAAGATTTCACCACAGTATTTTTAATTAAAAACATGAAAAAACATCATTAAACAATTCATTAGTTTTCATGACATGAAAGCATCCAAATTTGTCACTATTCCTTTGATTCCAGTTTGATTCATTTTGGTCTCCGCAAACCCCCTTCACGTGCAGGCTTTCAACCCCCCCCCCCCCAATCTTTCATGTTTATATCTCTAATGATTTCTCTTAGTTGGATTATTAGTTGGTTTTAGCCTTGCTTATCTCTCTAATAATCAACACTTGCCTGAGAAGTATAATCAACTCTTGCCTGAGAAGTATAACCTAGTTCAGGGAGATCCAAGACGAGTGTCGTGGAATGTGAGTACAAAGGAACGACTCCCCGAAAACAGGAATGACAGCCTTATTCCTGTCTTTGCTGTCCAGCACGTGAACAGTTTCTCAATACCCATTTACGCTTTCCCATTTACGTGTGTATTGATTTATCTCCAAGTGGCAGGGCAGCCAATTGGTAAGGCTCAAGAAGTTCGCCATAATCGAGCTTTCAGTATCTTTTAATAGCTGTTCTAGTTTTAAACTAACAATTAAATCCCCTTCTTTGCTTTAGCTCGATATCTCAGCCGATGCAGAAGATCAAGCACTCTGAATGCAAGCATTCAACTAGGATATCCAGGTACTTATATGCGATCAGCAATATTCAGTCGAAATTGAGTGTTAATTTCCTGTTCCGAGATGCTCTTACGTTTACATTTCGAGACAATGATTACTGATCAGTTGCAAAATTCTCTGTATATATTTTGAATAAGCTGTTATTCTTTTTTAGTGTTTTGAGCGTTCGCCTTAGAGAAGGGTATTCGATCGAAAGTGTCGCCATTTCTAGAGGTTTGTTTTCTTAACATCTAGACTTATGTTTATGGACATTACCTTCACCAATAAATAAGCATTTTGTGCGAGAAGTGGGAAATCCAACAGCATCAGTAAAAAATAAGCCGTTGTTTTGTCGTTCGATCAAACCTTTGTTACTTCCTATTTTCAGTACAATCATGTGTTTTTATTTATCAATGCTTTTAGATGGCACTCAGCTCGAAGTGAAGCTTACCTTGCCATGGAAAGAGCACGTCCTCTTAGAATACATAGCCAAAGCGGTGAGTGCAATGTGCTCTTTGTCATTTCATTCGACCCATGCAAAATTTTTTAAATAACTCAAGCATGGGTTGGCTATTCCTTGACACGATGTGAATGTTTATTTTGTGAAGAAAAGATACCTTTCAATAGGTTTTTCATGGATGATTGGAATCAAGGGGTGTTTGTTTAGTACTAATAGCTGTTGCCAGCGATGCAATCCTAACAACATTGCTTCTTCTATTGTTAACCCTTATTTTCCAATTTCTTTTTTAGGCTTGGCCTATTGATCAGTCGAAGTGAGTTCTTTTTTAATCAAACTCCTGAAATGCAGTTTATTTGCTTGTCTTCTGAATTTGGTATTTGCACGGCATGTTACTACGAGTCGCATTTTGGTCTTGTGTTTTTAGTTAGTTGTTTTTCCATTCAGTAATAAAGTTTATCAACGATTAAGGTCGTCGGGCCTTTGTAATAGACCATTGAGTTGTTTGAAAAGTATTGGAAAAGAGGCCTAAAATTTGCCCCGAGACGAAAATTTTACCATTTAAAGCAATACTGTAAATCCTCAAATTGGCCCCCCCCCTTCGAAAAAGCCCCCCCCTTCTCGAATAAGCCCCCACTTCTACCGTATATTCTCCAATTGGAACCCCTCAATTTGATGGTTTTTGCGATCTTTGCAACGATTGTTGCCTATGGCGAGTTACCACAACAAATTCATACTTTTGGTAATAATTGATTAAATGCTCATAAAAAGATTCCTCCTAAAATAAACGAGGTATTTTAATAATGTCTTCGTAATTTCTACAATAATTTTATTAGCCCCCCCTCGTATAAGCCCCCATCGAATAAGCCCCCATCGGATAAGCCCCCATCCAAAAATGTCAAAAATGAATAAGCCCCCAGGAATTCGAGGATTTACGGTAATACAAAATTTTTGGCAATGCGTCTGCAATTCTTCCAAGATAATTCAGCTTTTCAACATCCCTAGATTTTTCCTTGACTTCTTAGCTCATCTTTTTTTAAATCTATTTATGCTATGATTCGCAACATGATGTCATTTTTTCAGTCGTTCGACGCATGTTGACGTATTTATCAAAGGCTCGTATGATTTCCTTGTGGACATCACATCAAAGCAAAAGTTCACCAGTTCTTATAGGCAAGTTCGTCATTATAAACATCATTACGTTTTACACCTTTGAATACATTTCTGTAAGGCGTTGTTTTGGGAAGGTGTTTATCAGTTGGCGATATCATGGGAAAAGGGATCCCTAAAGTTATATCATCAAACCGAAGCAAGGGGGGGGCAGATGGGAAAGAAGAGCAAATTTCTTCTTGGAAGTATTTTGGGAGGGAAAAGAAATAGGGGCAAGTGTAGATTCTTAAGGGTGAAGCTTTTTGCATTGGTGGGTAATTGATAGACGTGAGTGGGAAATTTAGATCTAATGTACCTGAGATATTCATGAGTACTGGAGATGATATTGCAGATATCCTGAAATATTTCAAGTGCCTGTAGTTTGAAAAAAAAAACAAAACTGCCAAAAAAAATTAGAATTTCAATTGGAATTTATGATGTTCCTAATTTCTAAGCAACCTCAAAGATTTGTCCGGCAACTCAGTTTAAAATAATCGGGAATCTTAAAAGTAGTGTTAAAATAAGTAGTATATTGATTAAGATTTTATCTTGGATTCGTAGCTGAAAACTACTATATGCCATTTAATCCAAATTTTTTATTCTAGGAAAACCGTTGTCTACAAGTTTGAACAAACAATGAAAAGGTACTCCTTGAATTCTTTTACTAATTTTTTGAAATATTGGAAAACTTGCAATTATTTTATAAAAATTGAAGAAGAATGAACCTGTGCACTCGAAACAACTCGATACATGACAGTAATCTTTGAAAAAGACTGTGTTTTGTTGGTATATAATCTTCTGCAAAGGGAGACAGTGTAACATGTGGTTTTGTCTGCTTCTTATTCGCTTTAGTAAACATATGATATTCTGTGATGCTTCATGTTCTTATGTCCCATGTTTTTACCCTTTTTTCTACTATAAGATTCAATATTGTGCTTATTAGCCGTACATTTTTCTCGCAGTGATGCATTCTTTCACCCGTTCTTATTTCTTTACATTATAGCCTGCAAGCTACTGACGAACTGCTTGTGAGACTTCAGTCATTTTCGATAAACCCTGCCTATACGACCATTCCCGACAGTGCCAAAGACGGTGTTCCATTGTTTCACTTACCGCAGAGTTCCAGGACGCCTGTGAGTTACAAATTAATATTACATACATATCATCCAATCTTGCTGTCTTCCTTGCTCCTTTAGACTTTGAAAGGTCTATAATGCTTTTATTCCAGAGCTTTATTTCTTAAATGACAAAACTTTCGATCGAATTTCATTTTCTTATGTAGACAGATATGTAGCAGGACACCGAATTGTAAAAGCTTTATTTAATCATCATCGCTGTCTTTGGTAAATGGTAAATGAAGGTGTTTTTCGAACGCAGGTGCTGTCTTTACAACAAGGCAAGTCAAAGTGAGTAGTGCCCTTTCAATCCTGCTTTAGGCTTTTTATTAAATGAAACTTATTATAGTTACAGGATGAATTGGAGCTGGCCGACTTTGCTTATGACCACATTTTTATAGTGGCTATTATCATCTCTTTAGTCTTTTAATACGAATGGCCTTATTGAGAAATATTTGTATCTTTCATGTTTGACACGATATTGTTTCTTGCAAAAAAACTATGCCGTACATTTTATGCATTCATTTGGTGTTGTCTTTCCATTTGAAGTAAATTGATCACGAAAGGTTAGATATTGCAATGTTTTTTGTATATTTTGAAAAGGAAGTCTGCAAAGTCGCAGGAGGCACTTTTCGCAGAATACTGGAAGCCAATTCTGCATCTTGATACCAAGACGTGGTGGGTAAAGTTTTAACGCTGCGTTTTAGTATCTTATCATGCAACGATTTTTAATATCTAAATTGTATAATTGTTAATGATTTGTGTTTGTTATTCAAAATCTTCTATGTAATTATGATAGGTCAAAATTCACGAATGCATCAAAAAGCAAGAGGATTTTAAATACGCAATCCAGAGTGGATATTTCTGCCCTTCACATAAACATATTGTTCAAAAGGAAAAATTACATCAACATGCACATTGACATTTTTAAACAAGAAGACGACAAGTTATCTTAAATATATTTTACAGTTTTTTCAATATGATTTTATTGCTTCGCAGTTCAAACTCGTAGTTGGGTTCGTTCATGTGACGATTGTCATAATATTGCTAGAGACAAATTTAGAAAGCCTTTTCCCAAGCTTCAATGTATTTGCCTTTGGCTCATGGTGCCTCTTGTTTTTTAGGCAGAAGTGGTTTCATTGTCACAGAGTCAGTATACTTCTTGAAAATGATAGGTAAGCCATTATGTATTGAGGCCTTTGATCTAAGACAGTTTTTGACCGAATAGACAGCCTTGAATTTCTCTCTGCCCAGTTTTGTTGATGCTGGTCTGCATCAGCTGGTCACATACTTAAAGCAAGCAGAGGCGTTAGAAAAGAGATATAGACTTTTCTTTTTATGAGCTAAAACAAAGCCCCCTTAAGTGCTAGGTGAGCCACCGATCTTTGTCTTGATTTTTCAGTTTTATTAGTTTCCTTCCGAGTTATTTTCATATAGTTTCCTGGTAAATAGTTGGAATTGTCCCGATGATAAGTCTTCTTGCATTTTCATCGTTTATCTTTCGTGCATTTTCATTGAACTGTACTTGCTTTATCATTGAAGTTGAAAATGAAATGATTTTTAGGATATCTATTGCTTACTTATTCTAATGTTCTTTGTAAAGGCCAATATCGAAGAACTTGTTCATACCGTCAGTGAGCGAGCGATACCATACAGTTCATTGCAGAACGGCGATGAATGCATTGAACAGATTTCTGAGGGACTGGAGCTCGTTTGTTCTTCTGGAAAACCATTCCTACATCAGGTTTCTTGGAAGGTAAATACACTTATGTTCGAAAAGTATTGCACCACCCGCCACAAAATGGCAGCACTGTCGCAAGATTTTTTTTAGCTAACCAAAATTCAAATAGCTATAGCAAGTTAAATGAATGTTTAAGGATGACTGTTTAGGTGGAAAATAATGGAAAATTTATCAAGGTCTAGCAAAATAATGAAATAGCTCCAGCTGAGAACTGATCAAAAGCGAATTGTTCAGACAGAAATTATGCTTAGGTTTGATTACCCTTGTCAGAATTCATAGCAGGTTTCTGCCTTGTCTCGTATTCATTGCGTGAATCACTTGAAATTTAACTTTTATTCGTTTACATGTCTTGTATTTGTTTTAGCAGCACAATTGCATAAGGTTGTTTGTCTTTTAGTTGAGAGGCAAGGAATTTCTTGTTTAAAAAAGTTTCGTTCGCTTTCCATCGATGATAGAAACATTCCAAAATCGTTTCGTTTTGAGCTTTCATTTCACTTTTTCCATATAATAACGAAATGTTTACTCTTAATGAACCTTTAGATCGTTTCGAATGTTTGATATTTCACAAATAATTCTCTTTGTAGCAAGAGTCAGAAAACACCGTACTCGTTCTGTCTTCTTCGGTTGGTTTTCAAAGGTCTTTGCGTGGTAATAAGATTGGCGTTTCTCGGTGGCACAGCTGGAACTGAAAGACACAAGGTCAGCTAATCAGTGCATCTTTTTGGGGCACTTTATCGTGTTATGGGAAACTTACAGTCATTCAATTTATCGACTAATTGATAGATAATAGCTGAAATAAAAAGTAAAAAAGCGTTGAAATTAAAGTGTTACCTAATCTAAGCAAGAAAAAGAAAGCCATTTCACCATCAAATGCATAGTGTATCTAGTGGGCGAAAGCCCTGAAAGGTTGGCACCCCAAGTACCGAGAAAATGTTGTTTCGTTGAAAAATGACAACAGGTGAAGAATATAATTGGCTTGGCTATTTGTTGGCGAATTGGCTATTTGTAACGTACGAGTTAATGAGATACGAGGAAGTAGTGCAAGAAAACCTGTTTATTCGAATGAAACCAATTTTTGAATCAATTTCCTTGAGTATCTTTAAGCAGAAAGTCGTTGCCTTCAAAAGTCTCAAAACATAACATAATGTAAATTTTCTGGTTGCGAAAGAAAAACAAAATGATTCCTTATCCACGAGGTCCTCCAAGGTCCAAGCAAGAACTTATTTAAAGTCTTTCAACAAACTTTAATTTTAGTTAAACGTTGTTTCAATTGGAAAATGAAAAAAAGAATGGAAGTTACGCTTCACTGAATTTGCTAACTTATTCGCATGTTATTGGCTGATTAAACAATAAATAAGCTAGATAACAATGAAGTTCATTGTGTGATCCGCCACAAGCGGCCCTGCTTCTGTCAATCAAATTGGTTACAGACCTCCCGAAGTATGGTCAGTGAAATACCCTTATTAGTAAATATTCTAATGGGTTAATGTCAAATGAAAGTTAAAAAAAAAGTCAAATGACAATATTTTGAAGAGGGAAGAACCGGCCCTCATGTGGACATTTTTCTGGCAATCTGTAACAATAGACCAGTCTATTTTTTTCTCATTTATAATTTGTTCATTTTATTCTTTCAGATTATGTGGTTTTAATTCAGAAATTCAAAAAATAGCCTTTTGAAAACATAACCTTTCCACTAATATTAGCATAACCATTTTTTTGATAGTATGACCTAAAAACAAGTTGTTTAAATTTTTCTTTTTGATTTTCAGATTGTTTCAGAACTAAAAGAAAGTCTTGATGCAATCAAAGCTCCATTGAAAAAGCCACTTTTTTCGCCAGAGCGAAAACTTTCCCTGGAATCTCCTTCCAAATCAATTGTGCTTACCACCAAAGAGAAGAGATGTGTGATTTTTCTTGAGAAGCCTTTAGAAAGGATACTTGTAAAGTAAGCAGTTTTAAAATCAAATTCGAATTTCTTTCCGGTCACTTTGCATATCTTCAATGAGACATTTGGTGTCATAACGCATTGATCACGTGTTGCTAAAAGCGCTTTAAATGTTCCATATTACCTCTTTAGCATCGCAGCATGAATCGGGTTACCATTTTATGTAAACAGGAATCTCTTGTTTTCACCTGCATTTTGGAATGATTCTGGTTTTCTAGGCTTTAAAGGCAGGGTGGGTTACACGCTAATTTTAATACCTTTTGGTATAAATCAGGTTTCTGTAAACAGGTTCCCTGTAAACCCAAGACACTGGCAATAAACGCAGAAAGCTTAGGCTTTTTTAAATCAGAGCTGACGGAAACATGATCCTTTTTGTGTATTTAAGTGTTATTATCTGGTTTAGTCCTTAGTATTAAGGTTTAGCTCTGTGCTGTCTATACTCTCTAACCTTGTTTACAATTGTTATTGCATTAGATATGAAATTATACCGGATGACCTGCGGTCTGCTGAGTACAAGGGCCGAGGCCATGCCAGCGTTTTGGATGTTACTGAATCAAGCAGCAGGTTAACACCAGTCATTGTTCCTGGTGGAATAGGCCCAGAAAGAAGCAATCCAATTCTTGGTGCCTTATCGCGCTATACTTATAACCAAAGATGGGTTTGGAAGATGTCATGCCAGACGAAAGCACTTCCTATTGGTGCTGTGGCTGCCATTCTCTATGCGCTTACAAAGTATGCAGTCATAATTTTGAAAATATACGTTTTTTCTTTGTCTTTATTCAGAACCTTTGGAAACATTGAAGGCTAAAAATGTTACTTCTTGCTAAATTTCCTGTCAAAAGATACACTGCACCCAGCAAACGCTCAATGTCACCCATCTCTTTCTTTTCAAACAGTGTTATGATAGTAAGCTCTTCAATCAACATTTTTAGGCACCAGGAGATGCATTATCTGTTACCTTTACCATCTTAGACACAAGTTGTTTGGAGGACTTTTGGCAGGGACTTATGGCTGCATCTTTAAATTACATCTTTTCCAAACTTGAGCTATCTTAGTTTGCATATTGCGATCTCTCTAATCGATAGTTTATTTACTGACATGGCCACGTCTCCTACTTTAGGCGACGTCTCCTCGAAGGCTTTCATTTCTGCAGCAGCAATCAAAATGGTATCATAACAATGGTAAAGGAAGTCCCGATGGAGGTCAGTAGATGGCAGTCACCCTGTCTGCATGTTGTCTTTTTTCATTTCATTTCGATTCTATTGAACTATTAGTATTTTTTTCTATTCAAATAGTTTGTTGTTAAAAAAAGCTGCTTACGTCAGCCTTAAACCTGAATTGAATTTTGAGAATGTATGCAGTGCGGTTTGGTTAAACAAATTTGTCTTGAATTGCATTTTGCCCAATTGGATATTTCGTTTGAAAACATTGACCAGAATATTTTCATTGCTAATCAGTGAAAATGTTTGGAAACATGAAGTGTTTAATGTATTGTCATAAATAATCAGTGAAAATGTTTGAAAAAGAGTAGCAGTAAAATATCTATAGGAAGCTAGATTATTTTTCGACAAACTGGTGTTCAGCTGAACTGCTATGAATATTTATGAAAACATTTTTCATGCGGCTCTAAGGACGAGATTTGAACGAATTCTTTTCAGAGAAACTATGAAATTATTGCAAGTGGTCTTCAAACAACCAAGAATGAATTGGTACTAACATGAATCGAATAAATTCCCCTAAGAATCAATCAATCAGCTTTATGCTTTTATTCAAAGAAGGTTCATGGCTGTGAGAAAATTGCGTGAGAACTTTGCAAGAAAGAGTTTCTTTGTCAAATGTTTCAATTTTTATAACATTAAGTCTGCGCGTTTTCATTTCGTAAAAATGTATCATCCCATTTTTCTGATTAATTTGTATGTACGTTACCGGACCGAGGTCTGACATGACTTGACATTAGAAAATGGATACAGTATTTTTCGATCGTAGAATGTCATTCCAAAAGTAACAAACACTATTTTTAAAATCAGTTCAGCTTCAAGTCAGTTTACTTTTTCATTTCCAGCTTCCAGCAGTGTCTCCAACCGCCGATAAAAACGTTTGTGTTCTGCAGTTCGTTCTGTTTCCTCCGCACCGTTGTATACAGCTCAAAGAAGGGTTTCAAAACGAGTCTGTTGAAAGTGATGCCTTTAGAGATGGAAAGGGTGACCTTCAAATTGCCACCGAGATATGGGTAGAACCCCATTGCGGTGTCGTAGGTAGCGCGGGGCGAGCCTTACAATACATTGATGGAATGAAGTACAACGAAATACCAGAACAGGTATGTTTAACGCTTTGCAATTACTTTGCAGAAAGATCCCTCGCTGGAATACTTTTCATCATAAAAACCCAGCTCTGATCTTCGTTAGGTCTTTCAAATATTTGATTTTCTCTTGCCCCTTGACTTTAAACATTTTGCTAATAAACCCTTATTTGCCCTCCTTTGTTAAAGATTTTTTGCCAAGATCATCAAACAGTAAAAGAGATGGTGACATATTCGCATTTGGAGAGCATGTGCATTGACAGCCTACTGACAACCATCCCACCTCCTCCTGATGCAGAGGTCAAGCCACCTTCGGAATGGTTTGCTAACTCCACCGTAGTTGACGTGCCCTTCTTGTTTGACATTGTTCCTCTTTTGGCAAAGTCGAAGCAAGTGTGCTTGCTGTTGCCATTGCTCAAAAGTGCCGAAAATGGTGAGATATGTTTATACACCATCCCTCATGTTTCACAACCTATACAGCGCAGTATCTTAGTTGAAACCAATTGAGGGACAGTCTTAAATGACACAAGAAAAGATAGAAGAATCGAGGTTTTAAGTATTTCATTTTGTGATATAAGTAATTATTTAATTCTATTATGTTATAAGAGTGTATCAATTCTCTTGCGCCTCTCCCTCGATCCACAGTTACGTTTTTGGTATAACAATAGGTGAATTTAATCCTTAGTATTAATAGGAACTGGCTTTCAAGAAAATGCAAATCAAGTTTTATGTTTACGCATTTTATCTGTTTTCAGAGATGGAGTTTTGCGAACAACGTCCAAACGATACGCTTCTCTCGTTATTCTTCAGTTCCTTGCTGGAATCAGTTGACTGTGAGGTACCATTTACCGATGCTAATTGCGCAGCTTTCTCTTCCTTTGTTGCAAAGAGGTGTATCGAAAAGCAGAGCGTTGGCTACCGGAAATCACTACAACTAAATATTGAGTTCTCAAGCAAGCCTCTTTGGAGGTGCTACGCAGGAGCCTCACGAAGATCAATTATCATGCTTGTAGTTCCAGCTACTTTGAGCGATGTTGAAAAGATAAACCTAAAAGGGATTTTGGAACCAATGCTTAGGACCGACAAGGTGGAAGTAAAAGGAAGAGAAGACCAATTTACAGCTAATGTAGCATCAGGCGGTAAAGAGGAGGAAAAAACAGGAATGAACGATAATGACAGACCTGGTGAAGAAGACAGCGTCCGGGAACTGAGGGAATCTATGGACGATGAAGATGCAAGTGACCCATGGTTGAGTAAAGCTAGGCCATATTTTCCGGTGTTTCTTTACGAATGTAGATTTGCTACAATTTCAGATGTGAGATCGAAGCCTGGCGAGGAAGATAATATTTTTGTCGACTATCGATCAAAGCTGTCTGATTCTTCCCATGAAGAGAAAGACTACCGCCATTACTCTGGGGACATTGTTGATGTTTTGATTAAATCGGCGGAATTAACTGCATTTTGTAGGTCGCTTTCTGACAGATACTTCCAAACATTTGTCAACGGAGTTTTCAAGAATCTGCAACTTGGTTTTGCTATTAATAACAAGGACGTCGAGTCGTCAGTTGAGCTGATTTGTGAAGAATCTTGCATTGAAGTTGATATAACCAGTTTCATACGGATAATATGCAAGCATTTTAGAAACCAGCAGATAGAAGAAGAAGTATTCGATTGTTTGTCTGAAGGCAATGTTGTCATAAGGCGTGGTGGCAAACTCAGTTCAGGGAGCACTAGTAAGACGACGCCCCGTACGCCAGTAATGACAACACCCAAATGTGGAAGTGAAAATGTCCATAAGTTTGTCCAGGAGTCTTTCTTGGAAATCCTCCGTACTAAATTTAGCAATGTGCCTCAAAATGCGGAACTGTTTTACTACAATGCAAGTGATGATCAGGTGATAGTTACGGTTTTTAAGCTGTCGGTCATATTTTTAGTTAGTTTAGTAACTCCTTTTCCCTTCATTCAATAGCAGCAAAATCTGAAGCTTCGTTGATTTGGCCTCTTCTACTCGTATCAAACATTTTTGTAGCCGTCGGCTCTTGTTAAAGCTTTTAACAAGCTTATTGCTGAGATCTTTTCCGTGAAAATATTGTTTTTCCTGCAAGGGCTGTTACTTAAAATCTTCATTCAAAACTTACGCAAAGATCCACATGTTGTGCCATGATTAAACCCAGTAATCCACAAATGTTTTGATATTCTGTTTTATGTATGTTTCGTTCTGTACTAGTGTTGGTATTATCATTTGTTGTACTCATTTGCTGTACTATTGTGGCTGTATTTTGTTAATGAGATTGGTTGTAGAGTCAGTCTTTAGCCTGGATGCTTTAAAGTACTCAGCTGCTGAAGTTGTCATATCATTACGAAGGGAATTTTCCTCAAAAGATTCTCAGGTTTCGGTCCTCCTTATATATCAAACTTTATAAACTTTCTGCTCGTTTAACCCTCTTCATTTTTGCTAACCTGATTGATAATATTCTGATTTAGTCGAATGGCGGAGACTCGGACAGTGTATCGGACGCTGAGAGCGAAATTCAAGAAGGTGAAATGCAAGAGACGGAGTTGCAAGCGAGCAGTGACGTTTATGGCTCGTCCGAACAACTGCCCTCCTCTACAAAGGAAGAAGATGCGAAAATCAACACAGACAGAGAAGATAATATTGTATGTTGAGTTTGCATTTCTTTCAAGTTAAAAAAAGTGATGCAGTGTTGTGTTAAATTACAATGTTACAAATGCCTTTGATGTTCGTAGATTTTCGGGTATGCTTCAGCCTTGCCAAGTTTTTATGTGTACACAAGTGCTTTAAACTATGCACGGTTTACTGATAAACTTTTGTAGCTGCATTTTATTGACTGCTAGGATAAGCAAACTGTATTAAAGTTTATTTTAGTCAAAATATAGCGACAAACTTCAAGTTATTGTCAAGTGTTGACATCAAATATTGTTCTTCCACGTGCAACTGATATGTTTGGTAAATATTGAAGAGACAATGTATTTGATTTTTCAGTCGCAGCTTAGCAGAGTGAGCTTGAAAGGCAGCACCAGCACACTTTCCGCATTCGAATCAGCAGACGCTTTTTCTGAGCCTGGAAGTGCCACGGATCGTGCGTCCGAAGATGATCCTAGCACCCACCCATTGTTTCTCCATCTGATGTGCTCCTTGCGGGACAGAAATCTAGCCGGAAGCGAAATGGGTCTTTTGCCTGTTAACACGTTGCCTACTTGTCTTTGTAAGTAACATTTGTCAGCTAAATCATTTTAGAACGCTAGAGATTTCGATATAGGCCAATTTTGAGTTTTTTTGCTTAAACTGTACTTACTACTTTTTGAGAAATATTCTGTTTGCATTCCAGCTGAAATCATCAGAATGCTAGAAGAGGGAGGAAACCACATAGATCCTTTCAGCTCGACCTTAAAAGTGACGCTTGATCTTATATGTCTGACCCTTCCACCTGAAAGTGAATCTGGTAAATGCTGGAAGGTGATAGACGAGACTGCATCCACGCGTGCCGAATCCGAGGCTGATGACGAGTTCCTTGTCGATGAGCATGGCAGCATTGCAGAAGACGAAATGAAGCAAGGCGTGTTTGAACTCGGCGATGAGAAGGGAGTCTTGACTTCAGCAGTAAGAGAAAAAGCAAGGTGGTTTGACCAGCTTGATTTGTATTACTAATACAAGCCTACAATTAAAGTCCATGATATTGATAATTTTTGTCAAAGGCGGGTTTAAGTAACAGTCGGAATACTGATTTTATCTCCGATTCTTAGATCAAAGGCTCTCATACGGCTGCATTTTCAGATTTTCTAAAGTTTAGTCATTTTCCTTCTTTATATAGAGACTGCAGAGTCAATCAGAAAGCGATAATTAATAGTTTTGACAATTACTTTACTCTTGTTTTAGTACTTTGATTGATCACACATTGATGGATCCTTTAAAGACGTTGCCCAAAGCCCAGTTGAACGCTTTCAAAATAATCGTGAAGAAAATCGAGTGGCTTTTGAAGGATGAGATAGCGTCTGCTTTAATTAACACATCGCCTGTGATCGAAGCCACTTTGGACAACGTGGCGGACCACGTGAAGAATTCGAGTACTGACAACTGCCAGTTCCGCCGCATTTCATTGAGATTCGTATGTGGTTTAGACAAAAGTCTTCAGTTGTTCATGAGTGAATTGAGCAGGGCAAAAATAAATAACTATCGTTTTTTGAATAAAGGAAAGTATTTCTATCTTGCTGCGGATAACCTGAGTGAAAAACAAGTTAGAAAGGCTGACCCTAACGAAAGAACTGATCTTGATTTAAAAGAACTGCAGACGTCTAAGTGTATTTCGCCACAATTATGTCTGAGCAGTGAAGAAAATAGTCAATATGACGTGAATGACGTCACGAGGACCCTTGATTCCAACGAAGCAGAGAACGGGTTTGAAGAAAAGAGCGAATCTCTTGACCATGTGGCAAATCACGGGGAAGATTGCACGAATGAAGATATTGAATTGCTTGCTGATACAGAAACTGTTTCTAAATGCGGTCAGCTTATTAGTGTAAGCTTTAGAGGCAAAAAGGACGAACTTGCTCTTTGCAAAGAAATTGTTTTGGAAATTGTAGATTCTGTGGTAAAAGGTCTTGATCGGGAGACGAAGACAATTGAAGACACGCTAAGATCGCGCAGTGGAAGTTTGCCACTTCCCGGTAGAGAAAATACGGAAATTATAAGAAGGAGATATAGTGATACCAAAATATCCTACGAGAAGGACAACGAACTAACCCTAAATTTGCAAGATACCTCCACAGACCTTTCTGCTTTTCATAAAGATTATTCTTTCCAGAAAACTGGTCCGGATTTTTGGCTGTTTGCGAGTGTTCATGGAAGTGAGGTTATTGTTTATCACCATAAAAGGTATGCTATTTTTGCATTCTGCAAAAGTAATTCTAAAATTCATTCCGTTCTGAATCGAAAAAACCGTTTCGTTTGAACACATGATTATGACATTGTAGGATGAGCACCTAATGGCGGCGAGCTGTTTTCAAAATTTTCCCGCCTTAATCATTATATTTGATTATTATGAATGTATATACATTATATTTTCGAAGGCGGGAAGCTGTTGACTCAGGTGATGTTCAAAGTGAAAAATGCTATATCGATCTCCTTGGAATGATTGACCAAATTGGTCGACTCGTTAACCAGGTAATCTTTAGCTGTTCTTATTATATAAATTTCTTGTCGAAACCGCAGTTTCATGTAGGCTGTTTCTAGATTAAGTGCTTTGTCTGCGCTCAAATCTGAACCCAGATAGCCCACCCTGATTACTCAGATCAAACATGGCCGTTCTTCATATTACATTTCTTGCTCTGTTACCAGCAAATGCTTCTGGACGATCTACACGAGACGTTTACATGTCATAACTTGCTTGTTGCCGAAGAAGACGAACACATCTGGTCAAGAAGAGAAACCAGTCCAGCTAAGCAGCTGTTTGTGACTGCCACGTCAGAGATTGGTATGTCGTTTGAGTTTTCCAAAGTCGTGCACGGAGAATTTGAATTTCATCCTGGATATTTCGAATGCGACAAAGTTTGGGAGACATATTTACCAGTTCATTATCGATTGAAGTCAAGCCCTGGGCAGCCTAAGGGAACGTCGAAAGCTATACAAGCAGTGCGATCCGTCTTGGAAAGATTCGCTGTTTTGAACCGGTCGAATTTGTTTGTGTATCGGGAAAGCACTAACAATGTCTTCTATTTCCGGTTTGTTCATTTACAGTTTATTAAGCTTCCGTTAGAGGTTATAGCATTGTAAAGTTTTTTCGCATCAAGCATTCATTTTTGTTTGTTTTCAGTAGTTTAGCTTTGTCGAGATTCTTTGATTTTTCTTAAAACCCGTATTATTTGAATAGAGACATATCCGTTGTTCGTTTATTCATCAAAACCTGTCAATTCAAGAAAACATCTTTCCAAACTTGTTTCACATTGAATTGCTTGCTATATTATGTCAAAAAGTAGCTCGGCTGATTTCTCGAAGAGGAAAACTGTCTCGTTTGATGTCTGTGCTTCTGTTTTGCCAGATCGATTCCCCTTCCATGGCCCACTTTTAATGGCGTTGTCTACACTTTGTAGAATCCACGAGACGCTGTTAGAGAGCGAACCTCTTTCACAGCTGGCAAACCCCACGAGAAACGCTGATGTCGACGATCCAATAAAGGAGGACAATCTCTCTTACAACTCTGCTGCCTCGTCAAGTTGGTCTCTTGCCGGTAAAATGCAGTTAGAGGAAAAGCAGGAAGCTCAAGAGGATCTTGAGTTAAAAGTATGGCCATTTTTTCTATTGAACCACTGAGTTTCTTCGGTTGAATGTCGCAGTTGCAGACTGTGTAAATTGAAGCATGCAAATTTTTCTAATTTGCGGAATGCAATCAACTGTAAAGTGAACTGCCACAGCAAAAAATTCTAAATTTTGCTGTAAGAGTCTAAACGTTTTCTTAAATATTTTTCTCTTAGTTAACAGCTAATTGTGAAATATTGTGTGTTTCAAGGAGGCAGATATAAAGACGCAGAGAACGAATTCTGTCGTGGCGGATTCAGTCTCAGAACTGTCCTTTGCTTCGATCATGACAGTGCAAAAGATTCAGTTTTGCGTTCATGGAATAAACGAGCCTGGGAGTGAGATCAAAGATGAACTGGTCAGAGTTCTAAGAAATAAACTCGATGATGCTGTTTTCGAACAGCTCAATCTTCTGATAGCTAGGAATCCGAAGTGTAGACTGGCACCCGCTGATGTGCAGGTTAGTTTCTTTCTCGTGAAAAAAACCTTTAGATTGTAGATTATTTTTAGTCAAAACACGGTTTTAATTTAATTTATTTGAGCAATACTGCAATCCCCATTAACAATGCCTCTCACTTAAAATATGTATTATTCGGAAAGTTAAATTTCCTCAAAATGCCCGTACAGCTGTGTTTGATATGATCACTTTATTGACAATTGATTGGTATGATTGGTATGGTATGATCGATCGATCGATTGGTTGTTTTTATGATTTATTGATTGATTGAGCATGTTTAAGCATGATTGAGAACCGAACAGATGCTTTTTGATACCTTGATACACGCTAAAGAATTTGATTTGAAGACGTTAGATGCCACCCCCTTCCCCAACAATAAAGTTGCATCATCTACTATTCAGAAGGTCTCTTCAATTCCAGTTTATCCAGCCTCCTGGGCATGCACCAGACGTTATACACATCGCGCTGCCAAAGATGACCTTCCAGTACACACATTCGTTCGTCTACTTCCTGCGGCAATACCTGCTACAAAGGTTCCACACTCCGAGATTCACTGAGACGAACCCTGAATTTCACTTTAAAAATTACGGTGACAGAAATTCTTGCTTGGGATTTGCAGAATCACTTCCAATCAATGATGTGTACCTCTATAACAGACGGGAAACAAAAGGACGTTGTAAGAATATAGCTTTTTGCTTGATTTTATTTTAGTTTCAATGCTGAAATTTCATATAGCTCACTCATTCACTTGGTTTGATATCACTCATTCGTTTGGTTTAATCAAACGCGGCTTTTTTAACATTTAAAGTATTACAAAACAGAGGCTCGGAGCAATGGTCATTAGAGAATTTTCTGTAGTTCGTTAATCTCAATGTAATCTGCAGTCGTTTTTATCGTTCTTTGCAGTGTTACAACTTTTAGACTGTCCAATATTAAGACAAATTATTTTGTTTTGCAGGCATCGGATGCATATACCTATCAGTAGTCGATGCAGATCTTAATCCGCTCTCTGTGTATCCCACGTTTCACAAAGCAAGGGTTGATGTATTTGAGCCTGAGTTTTACTCGCATTCTCTCGAAGACTTTATCAAGATTAAAGCTGCTTCCGCCAGAGGTCCAGGTAATCTGCACTTAACTTATCGTTCAGTCTTTTATCTCATGTCATTCAAGGTCGATTGTGACCATTGATCTCATACAGTTACAATTGATTTATTGATTGTGTAAAGTGGCTATCGTAAATGAAGGACCACTTCGTAATCTCAGAAAACTTGTATTATTCATAAAATGACACGCCATCAGGACTTTATTCAGTCACCATTTCTTCTTCTCTGATTGTTTTCCAGAGGATGAACTGTTGCTAGAATTCAAAGTTTGGCATAGAGGCAGTATCAACGTTGATGAACTTATGGGCCTAATTGTTTCTGATGTCCAGAAAGCCCTCTGTGATATTTTTTTCGAGTATTTCATTTTATTTACCCCTGTCTCAGAAATACCGATGCACTTGCAATCTTTTTACTTCCCGAAATCACCATCCATACACAGTCAAGCGACGACACCTACTTTTGTGAAAAGTGATTCGAGGTCGGCAACCCCAGTTTCCAGCACCCCTTTTTCCAGAACGTCGGGGAAAAAGTTTCTCTCCGAGACTTCTACTCCTTCTGATTTCCGAGCACGCTCACCTGCCGTTTTGCGAAACAAATCACTACAAGATATTTCAGTAAAAGAGCCATTAGTCAAAAAAGCTTCTAAAGAGTCGCTTCGGGACTCTGCCAAGAAAAGTCAAATAGAGGGAGTTGACAACATCGAGAAGACGTATGAGACTCTCGAGGAATTCTTCCCATTAAACCCATCCGGCAATCGTTCGAGAGAATCACCAACTAGCATAAAATCTGACAACGAGGACACAGGAACTAGAAAGCTTTTGAATGCAAGCAACCAAGGGCAGGCTTCTGTTTCTGTACAGGAAGTCGAGAAATTGCTTCCAAAAATTTCTGGGTCTGACAATCCTATTGGCTCACCATATGACACATTAACGGACAGAGAGGTCGAGGAGTCATTCAATGCCACACAAAGCGACGTAGATGAAGCTGTGAAGGAGGGAGACAGAAGGGAGCTAACATGGAAAGAAATAGAGAGGAGAAAGCGGCTTGACAACGAGGCTAGGAAAGCCAGGCGGCATTTTGAGAGAGGGGAAACTGGATATTTACACCCTTGGTAATACAGCATTTTTCATTTGTTAGCTTTCGATGCAATCCTGTCTTGAAAATCAAGTCAAATTTGATATCGAATCTTCCTATTGTAAAACGGAACTATCTTGCTATTCAGACTAACTACCCTGTTATTGGCCTTTTGAATGACGGTGCTAAATGTTGCTTTCCATTTGTTTTGTTTGCTAAATGAATGCTTTTTCTGCTGGCATCTTTTTGGCTTATCTTCGCGTTGTCAGCAGTCTTTGCGAAAATTAGGCTTCACCGTATTGGGTAACATGATTATATGACGTGCTACATTTTGCTGGAATAGCCAAATGACTTTATTGAGACATGGTTAATAGAAGAACCTCTTCTACTTTCAACTATTTTCATATTTGCTATAATGGAGGTGTGGAATGTGTATTAAGAAATGAATTGGAGAGCTCCTTTAAGACCCCAGCAACTTGCAAAAAAATTTAAATATTCAAATCATGAAAGGACCATTTCAGATTTTTTTTTTATGAATAGATGTCTCCCTTTAACAATAAAGATGATTTGTGAAATTTTCTATCGTCATGGCCAAATGCAGGCAATCATGAGCAATGAAATGAAAATATTTTGAATGAATTATCCTGATTTAGACTAAAGAATGTTGTCATTGATCAATTGTTTTATTATGATTGACAGCTATCTGAGAGGTATCGACTTGGTCCTAGAAGAAATGTTTAACCAAGGTGCAGCGTCCATTCATAAGCACACTGGATCAGTGAACTTCAACATCACTCCAGAATTGATCCTCAAGGAAATGTTAAAGATTCTAGTTGACATTGCCTCTGATATCAAGCCAAAAGTCTTTAAGCAGTCATATTCGTAAGATTTCTTTTATGCATTACTTTTGCCAGTCGACAATCGTAACTCACCATTCTGTAGAAAGATTTTCATTTATCAGTCTGATTTTGATTTTATTTTCAGTTTTGTGAAAGAAACAAGTTTCGGTTGTTTCTAGGAAGCAATGAAAAGAGCTTTTAGCATATCTGAATGGCTGCTTTCCACTCAACTTGCCTTTTTCTCTTCCTAATGTCGCTATAAAATGCTTTTCGCGATAGTATTTATTCCAATAACAATCGTTTATTTACTTTAGGAATTTTACTAAACGGGTACCTTTAGAGCCGATAGCAACAGAGGATTTGTAAAGTTGTTCTAACTGGTAGGATTAAATTGACTACTGACTAAGGAGCCTTAAAAGATAATTTGCTGAAATGTCTGAATTGCTCAAGAACCCAGAAAAATTGTGCATTACATAGAGCTTGAAGTGGACTGTTTAGCATGACACAGGGTGCTGTAAAACACTTTTGTTTAGGCTTAAGTCAATGCTTTCTCTTTCAGGCCGTCAGTGATTGAACATAAAGTGAAACGGGATGTTGTTTTCATCCCACATTCATTTGAAAGGAGTGCCGTCAAGGTATCTTTGTAGTTTTTTCAGACTTACATCAAATTGATCATGGATGTTTTGTTTCCCAAAAATTGACGTTTCATTTGTATTTTTTATGATTTCTTTAGAAGATGTATCATATTCTGTTTCCAAGAAAGACATCTCTTTAAAGGAAGCACATATCTTTGTTTTTAGAGTGATGACTTTGGAGAATCCTCAACGGATGCTACCTGTTCAGTTCGCCCAGCCTCAATCGTTCCTGGCACAAAAACCTCTTTCATTGCCATAGGCCGAAACGTGAAGCAGTGGAGGAAGTGCGTTAGTCTCAACGAAGGTAAAGCAGTCATTGCCATAGCTTTTGCGTTTGAAAATTCTCTTCTATTTAGCCAATAATAATAAATTTTGATTGGAAATGGAAATACTGAGGTCTCACTTGCCAATCATAGTTGATTATATCGGATTTTATTATCTTCATAAGTGATGGTGTTTACATATTTGCCGTATTTTCAAGAAAGACAACTCATTTCACTGCGCAGTTTCGATAATACCACTTGACTCCTTTCTGTCCAATGCCGTTTAGACAATTCCTTATTCAAATGAATAACACTTAGTGTTCTTCATACCAAACTTTTCTTTCTTCTTCATTTCTGGCCTGAAGCTGCTTATCTAGGACTCTGCAACGTGAGATTTTGCATGAATGTTGTTTTGATACAGTTTCACACAATTCAATTTATCGCTTATATGGTCATAAAATAAATCATTTCTATTTAGCTATATGATTTTAACTCACTTATTACTTTATAGCTGTTTCTGACGAAGAGGAAAAAGGAATTTCCAACACAAGTTTCAGCAAGCAGCAGTTTAAGCCGTTTGTGTCGGATGGCACAGCCAGATACTCTGGTGGCCGATTCATGGACAATCTCGCGCCTTCTTGCATGAAGCCAGGTTTTGTGCCGAGACAGAAATTCTACATAGTCAAGTTTGTTAATAGAAAGGTTAGTATGATATGCTTTATAATTTATCATTAATATTAATTCATATAAGTAGTGAAGCTCATTTCCACTATAACCTGTGTAGAAAACTTAAATGCTGGCTAGCCCAAATGGTCTCATGATATTTTCTGCTTCTTAATAACAATTAACTGCCTATTCCGTTCATCTTCGCCTTTATTCCTTGTTAGGCTGCTGTCAGTTTCCTCGAAGCTGTCAACAACATGACAGAAAGTAGAACCACTTGAACTCTCCTTCTTCGCTTCACTAGAATATTCAATCTTGCTTCGGCCAATCTCCTCTTACTCTGGATTCAATCAGCAATCTTCTCACAAAAGCGAAACGCGTGTGTTCAGAGGCAATCTAGAATGTTCATAAGCAAACCTGAAATACTTCATGTAAAAACATTCATAGACACAATTAGGTTCGCCGAAGAGCGGCAAAATTAAGGCCTAGGTCAAACGTCGCTCTTCCCATGCGGTGAACCTAATTCATTTTAGCTCGCCACAAACAAGTCGTTCCAAACAAGTCCAGGTACTGCACCAAATTGAATTTAGTTCAGCGCATAAGAAGTTTAACGTGTGGAACGAGCCTTGATCATTACCAGCGCCTTAGAGCTTTTTATTTTTAATTGATTGATTTAACATCGACCAACAATACTGAATATTGTGTCAGACTAAATAAACCCCAAAGAACTGAATTTTCCCGACAGTTTCTCTTTTGCATGTCTCATCTTGTTTCTTCTGGCCATCAAACTAGATTCATCCATCCAATATTGAAATAGTGACTGGCTACCTTTTTCCAACAGGTTGTCATTTTCACGTACAACTTTCCTGTGGAAGTGAATTCGCTGCTTGACAAGCAGTTAAATCGACTGTACGCTTGGCATAATGCCAGGTATCATTTGGCATCGTGCTTGGCAATGCAGAAGCTAGGGCTTTTTCATCATTTGCAATTTTCTCAGGAGGGTCAAGATGAGGTAGTTGCATTGTTTTCAATATTATCGAATTATTCTTCACTCTTATTTGTTTCTATTTCGTAATTTGAATGACTTGAATCTTATATCTAACGATTTTTTCCTTTCTTCGTTCCGGCCTTTTTATTGTCACTTTCAGCTATTGTTATTTTTTTCTCGTTATTAAAGGAAACTGCATCGTTTTGTTCATCGACATACCATGTTCACATCACCAGTTTGCTGAAAGAAACGGTTCCGGTATCGAGAGAGGTAGGTACAACTTCGCTTTCAAATCTTTGAGAAAGGCTGTTAAAAGGAAGAGCCAGAATCAAATATTTATTTAACCTAGGTATATGCTGGCACTATCTCGCATTCTTTAGTAAATATTGCTACTGAATCAGATGTAATGTCGATTCAATTAAAAATAGAGACAGTAATATCGTTGATACGGGTTTTCTCTACTTTCAAGCGATGTTCAGCCCGGCTTTAGAAAGTCTAGGTGAAATTTGTACAGCTCTTCTTATCTGTGAAAGCTAAAGAATAGTTCAGTAAATCAATTGTGTCCGACGTGGCAAAAGTACAGCCAGCTAAGCCGTACCCTCTTAAGGTAAAGCAAAGCTAGCTGGTGACTGGTAACTGGACTAGGCACCAAGCAAACCCGCTGGTGAACGAGACGCTATTATCCTCCTGTAAAGTTTGTTTACTTTCAGCTTCACGTGTCACAAGGCAATTTATACCGGCACTGCTACTCCATTGGAGTTGCTTTCGATCAGAAACCATAAGAATTCATTTTCTTGCAGAAGAGTAAAGGTATCTCGACTGACCAAGAGAAGTCATTGGGCTGGAAACTGCCATCTCTAGATGACACATTTCGAGACACGGCTCCGTGTAAACCCCTGCATAAAGAGAACTTCAGACTGTCAGCTGATCCAGTGAAGAGAATAGGCCATCAATACCAGGTATTCAGCAGAGTTATTTTCGTAAATTAATTAGATTTTTCATGTTCGTTTTACTTTAAAGGAAAACATATTATCTTTTAAATAAGCAACATTCCTTTTTCCTGCTCAATGGAGATATCTATTCTTATTTGCCAATATTTTCCATAATTACATATCTTGTTTCTTTCTAGGAAGTGACAAAGATGAAAATAAATGGTAAACCACTCTTTGATATTCATGTTATTTAAATAATGCGGCCTTTTTGTGTTTTTTCATTCATTGCTAGTATGTTTTATTAAACTGCGAAAAACATTTTTTTATTTTGTGAATCTCAATCTGTTCTAGTGGAAAGCCAACAGGCCAAGCTACGGGAAAGCCTAGAGATGTGGCTCAGCTGTGGACCACACCTTCCGATTTACGTAAGTCTTCAAATTTACCTCATAATAAGCACAAGAAGAATCGTGCTTTTAGACACAAATTGCTAACCTAATAGGTCTTTGTTGTATTTTTATACGTTTTATCAAATTCCACAATTTTTGTACCCATTCGAGTTTATGGTAGACAGTGGTGAATATTATTTCTGCTTATCAATCTACATCGGTTAAGTGTTACCAAGTCAACAAAAATGAAGATTAAAAGATAAGAAGAGGAATGTAAGTTATTGAAGTAATGAGGTGGCTTTAAAAAAGCTAAAAGATGCAGTTTAATGGTAAAATTCTTTCTGAAAGTTTATATTTGGCTGACCTCAGCAAGTCTGTCTGAGATATTTCCAAAATACGATACAGAAATTCAATCTATATCGAGCTACATGAATTTAGTCTTTCGTTTCTGCTGATGCATACAAATGTGAACTACTTTCCTTAGGCAATTGATGAACCAAAGTTTTATAATAACATTTTTGGCAGGGTGAATTGCTTTTTGCTAATCACTTATACAAGTCTAACAAGATAAGCTAGAACAGACCTACATTTAAAATGCGGCTTTTGCACTATCGCTGTATAGCATCTCCAATGCAAACTGGGTTTTTACCCTTTCAAAGTCTCTAAGCTTGACTGTATCTTTGTATTTTTCTTCTACCCATCACGTAAGTCTTTTTTAAATTTAATTTTTCATTCCACGATGCTGTTATATTAAAAGTTAAAAGCCATTAACTTTCTTAGAACTTTTCACACTTATGCTGCACAGACAGGCAGGAGACTTATATGTCATCTAATATACTTTCCAGTTGGATAAGTAACCTGCCTGTTTCTCAATAATTATTCGTTTTTCTGATCATTTTGATATTAATCCATGTTCTTCTTTGTTGATAGAAATGTATTATGTGAATTACTTCCGGAATCAGAATAATAATTGCATTTATTATTGTAATAACAATTTGTTGTTTCTGCGTTTCCACTTCCGGTTTTTTTCCTTTTCCAGGAAAACAGACTTAGTTTGCTGAAAAGACACAGTCACTTTATTCATTTTTGCCAAACACCTCTGCTTTTTATCAAAGGTAGTAAATCGTCTGGCAATCGGCCCCGTCCAAGTGGCAACATGGAAACAACGGTGCGTTGTCAGCTCAGATTCAGCGATTCAGATTTAGCATAATTGCTGGACAGCCTCTGTCAATAGATATTGTAGAACGTTACTTTATTGGGTTGAAGTGTACAATTCATACCAAACATTCGACGATTTCTACAGAATGTTTTGAGCTTCTTGGTTTTCGTACAGGCAGTGTAACTTCCCTGGCCATTGAATTGTCACTCTTTTCTGCTTTACTAAAAGTATGGTATGCTCTCCTTGTCAATTTATACCCAACATTTTAATTTTTCGATCAAAACCCTCGCCTAGGAATATATGAATTGAATGTATTGCATCTCAACAATGTAGTTGTCTGTTCAGAATTGTCTCTAGGCTTACTCGAAACGCGATTTCAGTGAATCTTTTCTGAAGTCACATAATTTCAAATACCATCTACCCTGTTTTAATGCTGGCATGAAGACCGTGCTATTTGCCACTCTAACAAGCCCTCTTTGTCTCTTAGAAGCAAAAAGAGGAAGCCACGCACGAGTCTAAAGTTGCTGTTGCTGTTAAAGACTTGAATACTCGAGAGCAAGGTCATGACTGGTATGGTGAGCTCAAATGGTCTGTCATGCAGAAATACATTCATTATCTGCAGACACTCGGATTTTGCCTTATCCAGCTTCAGTCAAGCAATAAAAGGTACTTTCAGCCTATTATTCGCTTGTTTATTTCAAATTTTATCCCATCTGTTTCTTTCTATCCATATCCCTGCAATTTTCTCTTTCGCACATACCATTCTTTTTCGCAAACTTTATTGCTTTTTGCCTCTTTCCCCTCCTAATTCATTCATTTTGTGATGGATAGGAATGCCCATGAAGGGTCTTCCATGGAACAATTCAGATATTCATGTGTCAAGTTCCAACACATACTATCGAATACAGAGAAATAAACTAAAACGAACCGGAACAGTTTTAAAATCAGCAGACTCATCAATGGCGCTTGGTGATAACACTGAAAATCGCTATCAAGCCTTTGACCTGGGCTTAGCGCCTTCTTGCAGCATGCAAAGCTTATTGCATGCAAAGCTTTGCCTTACTCCATGTTTAGTGCATTCTTCTGCTATTCCATCAATATTTTTGCTAACTTTTTTCCTTGTCATCAACGTTCATTTCTTTTTATTTGATTTTCTATTTATTTATGTTCCTCCCTTTTTGCGCGTTTTTGCCTTAGATGCCTGTTTCCTTTTTTGTTACTTCTTAGCTGTTTCTATTCTTGTCTCTGCCTTTTTATGAATTTCCCCCCTTTCTTTCCCTTTGTTCTTCCCTTTGTCCATTCTACCTCTGCTTCATTTATCTTAATAGCTTTCCTTGCTTCCTCCCTCTTTTTTGTTTCTATATTCGTTTCATTTTTCCCTTTGCCTATTATTTAATCTTATCGTGACTTAATATTTTCATTACTGATACTACCTTTGTTACCCTTGTTTTAGCATGGTACCGCCGAGATAATTTTTTAAAAGTTCTTTTTTTTTTTTTGCTGTTTTCCACTTGTCAACAACACTTTTCTCATTTTTACCTCCAGCCAAAATTTGCGGATTGCTAAGGGAAGCTTTAAACGCGTACCACCAAAGGCAGGAGTTGAGGTATTTAAATGAGATTTTTCTGATTGTGTCCAAATACGATTAACGTAATTTTGAATTTTTTATTCTTGTTAAATTAGCAAACATAAAACGTATCACGTCTTTTAGCACTTGAATTATAAACATTACGTCATTTCACTTGCAGAATTCAACAAGAACCCGCCCAAATGTGAATTACTTGCAGAAGAGTTCAAACGCAGGAATTCTGATATTAGAGCTCTCATGCAGAGTAAGAAAATTCTGTTTGCGTAGGCGAATATGCAATTAAAAACTCACCTTTTTCCCTTCAAGACTTTTCTTGCTTTTTTAAATACTTCTCTTTAAATACTTCTTGTAAAAAATTATTCAATTGCTTTAATACTTCCCTTTGTTAAATTGTTCTTTGGAACTGTTAGTCTGTGATTGTAATTTTGTGATCGCTATACTGTGACTGTCTCTGAATATGCAATGTTTTTTTCAGAATGACAATCTATCTTTGAAGATATTTTCATTTGAAGCATCAAGAGTTAAGTCCTTGGAACGATTTGTGACAATGCCGGTGAGATTTTTGTTTTATCCAGGGATTGATTATCTCCGTTTATCCGTTCAATTGATTTGTGATATATGACAGCATGATTATTTTTGTTGTTTCAAAGCAGCAAGTCCTTTCTGGTAGATATCTGCCTTTGACTGCTCAGTTTTGTGTGGAATTTATAATTGCAGATGAAATGCTTGCAATTGAAATAGCGATTCCTCTCGTCCGTTTTAGGAGAGATGGCTTTTTCAGGAGGACTGCAGCAAGTATAAAGAACTCATGCATATTCACTCCTTTGCTTATGACTTTCAACTCAGACAAGCTCAACAGTTCTTGTCTGGACGGAACACGATATTTTACCCTGGTTATCCTGTGCAGAAATTATTTGAAAGAATGATAGAAATCTTTCCTACGCCGCCCCCGTTCTCCTGCTGCTACCTTGCACAAGGTAAGTTGGAGCCAAATCCCATTCACTCTTTTTCTTTTACCGTAAATATTTTTGTTTGATTTATTAAACAAGAGTATCAGTTAGAGGACAGGCTGTGTAGAGATTCTACAGATACAACTTTATTGAAATTTCTGCATTCTTGTGGCATGTCTTTTCTTTGTGTTTTGCTATGTGATGCGACTTTGATATTTCTTAGGTAAGACTGCAGCATCGTTGTTTGTGAGACATTTGTTTGTTCTAGGGACAGTCAGCATCCCGTGTTCGGCTGGTGTGGAAACGAAGGAAGTTTTCAGTTATCTGTCTATAAACGCAGAGAGATACAAAATGGACCCTGCAAAGATCACGCGCATCGATGATTCAGCGAATAAAGAGGAAGCAAGCACCGATCAAACCATTCTAAGCTACATGTACTACACTAGCAAATCGAAAGACAAGGGCGAGTTCCAAAAGCTGACTTCAGGTTTTCGTAGAGATTCGGCCGATTTTGACGGAAACGTCATCATCACTTTGAGTCCATCTCAAGACAAAGAAGTTTTGAATTTGAAATTTTTTCTTGTTTTAACAAACAGGCGAGAGTTGTATCCAAGACGCTCTTTGCGAAGCCAGCTGAGTAGCCTCAGGAGCAGACGAAAAAGGACGTTTTCTGGCTCTGAAAGATCTCTTGCCCAGAATTCTGATGATACTCAAGCCTCTGGTATTTGTTTGATTGTTCCTTTTTTAAAAGTGGAATAAAGACGTGAATTTCTTTTTTATGAATATGAACTCAAAATTGAAGTAATTCGATTTTCTACTTATCCTGACAGCTGAACTTCTCAAGCTTTCAATATTTGGTCCCCTTTTATGGAAAAACCTTTCTAAACTCACATTTTGCTTAAAAAGAAATTAAAGTCAGTGGATAATGGCTTGGACTGAACTGAAACGAACTTTTTAATTGTATTCTTTATCTTCTACTTTCTTGCATCTTTGAATTTCTTGTTAGCTATCTTCTGTATTTTTATAAACTATTTTTCCGTATGACATAAACTTGCAATATATTATTTTCAACAGGCCCAAAACTTCGCGTCCGATTCAGCACAAGAACGAGCAGTCATTCATTCACCGAATACGAGGAACCGAGTCAAAGCGGTCCCGTGAAAGTACCGACCTGGCCAGGGTCTCTCAATGAAGGTGACTCGAATTCGCCCAATGCGATTTCCAGTCCGAGCTCAGACACGGCGCTTCTTACAGCGAAGCACCAGCATGAATTCCCAAATGCATTCCAGCAACAGATGCCCCGGTCAACTTCTTGTGAGCCATTCATTCCAAGATCAAATTCAAATGACGCCATTTCTGCTGCAGCTCCAGTTCAAATAAATATCAGAAAGTCTTCAAGCTCTGGTCAGCTAGCAGAAAGCAACGAACAAGCAGAAAGCAATTTTTTGATAAACGAAGTTGCCTTCGTGAGCGGGCGTCTTTCCAAAGTAGCATGTACCTGCCTAAGTAATTGCTGGAGAGACTTCATGTGGTATCAGTTGCTGCTGATGGATTGCTTTGACGATGAAACGTCAGCAAAGAAGCACAAGAAAAAGATGGAAACACGGAAAGAGAGCGACACTGCGATCAGCCAATGGAAATTGTCTGCAGTCTTGCAACAGATAAGAAAAGACATCGTTCCGGTAATTCTGATGTTACCAGTTCATGCCTCTTGCTTCCATTTTCGTGTTAAGTAGGCATAGTGCAGACAGATCTCATCTAGGGGAAAACTATTTTATTTTCCTCGGTTTAGGTATCCGCAAATATTCTAGAATGTATATCGTTCGTAAAACTCGTGAATTACACTGAAACGTTGTGTGACTATCACTTTGTTTCATTGCAGAATATATCAGTATCTGAGATAAAGCTGTTGCTCGGGCTAGTCAAATTGTACTCTTTGTCGTCCATCGACAAGCGAGTGGATACAATATTAACGCTGCTTGGGAACTCAAAACCGCATAAACATGGCCTAGCAAGGTACTACATATGTATTTACTGAGATTTCGTATGTCTTTATGCAGCATTTTAATTTCCTACAGGAAAATATCATGGTTGATAATCAATGTAGTTCAGCTTTTTACTAGATTCATTTGTTTCAGCAAGTTTCTGATTATTTTTTTAGAACTCTGAGTGGTAAATTTGGCACAGCTTACCGAGAATTTTTGTCTGAAGACTCGAGGGTTCGTTACATTTGTCTACTCAATCCAAAGGACCTAGATATGTTTGTTTTGGTGACAACTGGTACAGATGACATCATCCAGGTTGGCTTTTTATACCTACTCAATTTATGTAAATTGGATTATGAGCAATGCATAGATGTATCTTAAATCGATTCAGCTGTTTCCTTACGTTTGGAATCGTATTTACATTCTTTATCTATTCGAATTTATTTCGATCATCCTGTCTAGCCATGACTCAACTTAACGTATTGACTCACAACGTCATTTTTTAAGATATGTTTTGCAAAAGGAGAAATATTAAAGTGTCTCAGCAATGAAACAAATTGGCAGTATTAACACGAGATTTACAAAGAGGCAAAAGCCACTGCATTGACAGGTAGCAAATGTGTGAATGGGGGGTTGCGAATGGCAGCAGGACGCCTAAAATCTTTACACCTTTTTTATGATTTAATTTTCTGTCGTTAATGTTAATACCATTTGTATCCGAACGATCTTTCTTGATCAAAATAGACTAAAATTGACATGCTTTTAGAGGAAGAAACCAAAGAATCGTCGTCTGCGTAATTCAGAATATACCGTAATTTCTTGAGAATCAGTCAATATTTTTCAGTATTGAAACCAAGAAAAGAATATTTATCGGTTAAATGAAATAGTATAAGCGTTGAGGGTAAAGTCTATTAAATAGAGATATCAAATTATAAACTCTAGTTTTTAATTTGTTTACGTTAAATAAGATCTAATGTCAATATGACCATTTTCTGATTTATTTCTTAAAATTGAATCGATTTTTCTCTTCTTAAATGTAAATGTTCTTTTTTTAGAATATTCAAGCTGTCTACCGGGAGGAGCCACGATTTCCACCGTCAAATGCATCGATTATTGGTGAGCTGAAGGACACCGAACGCTTCGCAGTTGAGCATATCGAGAGTGTAACGTCGTGTTTGTGTTTTTGCATTTGGAATCAGCTGCTTCCAAATCAATAATGACGCCTACCAAATCCTTACAACGCCACCCCCACCCACCCCCCCCCCCCCCCGCCAAAATTGCCCTAAACAAGACATTTTTGTCGGCAAACATCGGTTTGTCAGCTGATTAAAATCGGGCGTATATAAGGGTTATTACTATATAAGGGTTATTACTATATAAGGGTTATTTTCGGAAAATGCCGTTTATCATCAAAGCTTGGAGGTTAACCAGGAGTGTTATTTTTATAAAATATTTCAGTTTAGGTTTAAAAAACTTGCAAAACTTTTTAAACATTCCAAACGTTGAAATCTCGAAGTAATTTCGACCGATAAAGATAGTAATTAGGCAACGTTAATAGTAATTCAGTTTTCTAATTTTTGAATGCCAAAATTCGCGAATATACACTTACTCGAAGCTTTTACTGAGATCTGGGACCTTTCTCTGGCCTTATTTGTAGACTCTTTTCAGAATTTCAAGAATCAATTTTGTCAGCGTACAGTATTCAGATTATCAAAATCTTTATAGGATTCTAATTAAGGACAGGCCACTATTTCTATCAAGGTTTCGCATTACCCACTTGCATTGCAAGTATGAGGGAGTAATACATGTTTTTGACCCTCCCATCTCTTGCAAAGCGCCAGCTTATAGATTCAGTAACACGAAGGCATCACAAATAGCATTGCTCATCCCCGATAGCATTATATTTATACAAGCAAGAAATAGAATTATCAGGTACTTTGAAAGACATTGCAGCGTCTAAGAATTGTGAATAGCAAATTTATTCTTGCTTATCAAATACAATTTATTTAGAATATAAATTGCGAAGAAAATTTCTCTGCCGGAAGGGTTTGTTTCTTGAAATTGACTCTTAATTATATTTACCTTGATACTGGGGCTAAAGCAGGAAGAAAGGGCGATAAGGGGGCGTTTTTGGTTCATGCAATGAGTGAAGCCAAGTGGAAACACAAATGAACTATGTGCAGTCATTGGCTATTATGATATGGTTCCATCAGTCCAGTCCATGAGAACTGCTTTTCAGGGGGCTATGACAAAAACATTAATAAGTAAGAAGATAGATACTACGAAATAGGAATGGTCGTTCATAGTTAGTTTTTTATTCTTCTCTTAAAGGTGGCAAGAGAAGGTGCCTGTTTGGCATCAGAACCGAACCGAAAATGTGGCTTGATAATACCCTAATACGTTTTACTCAACGTGTTTTGAGGTAAAAAATTTCTGGAATATTTCAAAAATCCGATTGCACGAGAAACTTTGGTACGGAGACTGTTAACGTGTTCTTCCCAATTCAAGCCTCTATCGATTATCACACTCAGATACTTTGTTCGGTCAACATTTACAACTTGAGAGCCACCAATAAAAAACTGTGGATGATCAACTGTTTTATCAGTAGTTTTCTTATTTCTGGGCTGGGAGCTATATTCAGAGCTTGTATTTTTAGAACATTCAAAGAAAGTTTATTATCCTGCAATCATTGCTTCAAATCGTTCAGTTCACTGTTTAGAGTTTTATTTATATCTGCTAAGCTCGAAGAAGAGTAAGAAATACTGGTGTCGTCGCCGTACATTCTTTTATTCTACCTTTTTTCAGAGAGAACGGAAGATCATTGATATAAATCAGAACAATAGAGGGCCAACACATGAACCATGGGGGACCCCACAGTGAATATCTTCGGATTTAGAACATACCCGATTTACTTTGCAGAATTGCTTTCTTGTGGTTAGATATGACGTAAACTAAGTAAGTTCTAGGTTTTCAACACCATACTTTCTCAACTTCGCAAGTAAAATGCCATGGTCTAAGTGTCAAATGCTTTTTTGAGATCAATGAAAATATTTGCAGTGTATCTGCCATTGTCCATGTTCACATACCAGTCATCTGTGTTGTTAAAAAGGCAAGTGACAACAGAATGAAGAGCTCTGAAGCCAGATTGTTTTGAAGATAAATGTTTGTTTTCCTCCAAGTAATCGTACAGCTGGTTGAAGATAGGTTTTCCAAATACCCTGGCTAAAACAGGCAGGACATATAAAGTTCTGTAGTTAGATCGATCGTTAGGTTGGCCATTTTTAAAAATTGGGGCTACTCTGGCAATTTTCCAGCTATCAGGAAAACAACCAGTAGCAATTGAAAGATTGAAAATATCGCAAAGAGATTCTGAGATAACCGGAAGTGCAATTTTCAGGAAACAGCTAGAAATGCCATCAGGACCACAACCCTTTGAGGTTTTGAATTTGCCAAAAACTTTACCCAACTGGAAGGTGTCAATAACGTGGAACTCAAATTTGGTTTTTTGTGTATAACTGTATAACTCAAATTTACATCATAATCATTCTCAAGAAGAGGGTTTTTTGCTATGGGGATTTTTTGCTATGGGGAATGCTGTTATCATGGCCTGTGCTATCACAGGATTTTCATGAAAAGATTTGCAGGGTAACATAACCCGTGGAAGAAATAACCTAATATGCAGATAAAGACCTACTGCAAGTCTGTAAGAAGTTAAGCCGCAGTTTGGAGACGATCAATTCCTTTGGCGCTTGCATGTCTATTCCGAAAAAGTGAAAAGGATGAAGAGGGAAATGTCAGAGCACCAGAGCTTGCTAGGCCTGGCGTTGGAAACGATATTTTGATGAAAACAATATCATCTTTATCTTGGTGCTTTTTCTCAAACCAGCTTGACAATTTGATACTTTTAACATCGGTTGCTTTTTAGCAAAATGTTATCAAGACTGAGTACTTTCACAAATTGCTTATTTGTTGATACAAATTGCACAACCTCTCGGATGCGTCGTATTCTTTTGCATGCTTTATCAGAGGCGCCGGAAGCTTCGTGATGCGGGGGGGGGGGCAGGAACCGCAGAAAGGGCACCTTGAGGTATCAAAGTTTGCTACTAAAACAAATCGGGAATCTTCGTTTAGCTAGTGGCGAAGCCTGACTGAAGGTGATGGCCCTGTCTAGGAAAAAAAGATTGGTGGTCTGGAGCGGACACTAGGAAATTTTTGCCTTGCTACGCCATATTTTATAAGGATTCCTACTAGTGATGATTCAAAAGTTACTAACTAGGACAAGCAAAAGGGCCCACTGGGACAAAGTTTCAACCAGCCGGTACGTTGCATTTAAAACGAATACTTTCGATTACTGCATGAAAACTTTTCGATTCAAAAAGCGTCTTGAATAAAACGTCTTGAAAAGGGCACTCTGCTGCCCCCGTACTGCCCCCGTACTGCCCCCGTGCTGCCCCCGTGGCTCCGGCGCCCTTGTGCTTGATGTTTCCAGAAATATGCTGTCAGTATTTAGTGCAAATATTGTATGATGAGCGATAGGAAATACGATAAAGAGTAATTCAACGGTAAAAGGAAACAACAATTTTCATTTATTTTAGTTATCGACATCTTATAAAACAAATAAAAAGGAGTTTATAAACTATAGCTATTGATATTTCAAAATAAAATAAATGACTTTGAAAAGACCCATTTATACGTGAATAAAATGAGTCCACGACTAAACTGAAAATGTGTCAGTCTCAGGATGTTAGAATTTTTCTTTGAAGGGAGAAAAAAGCTGTCTTCGAATATTAATTCAAGTTGGAAAGCCTGAAGACATAGGCATCAAGGCATCAAATACTAGAAAACATCTTACAATACTTGTTAAAGTTTTGTATGGAACTTCGGGCATTGATTGATTGTTTCTTATTGTATGAACTGTGTATCATCAACTGTAATACGTGTTCTTTGACAGCACATTCAGTTTGGGCGGCGTTTCCCGGGGACAGATTCCATCCGAGAACGCCCAAAAATAAAAAACATTTAAACAATATGCTATTAAAAAGACTGATATTTTCTGATAATAATAATTTGCAAGAGATTTTACTACAAGGAGTTACATAGTTTTTGGTGTGCTTTCATTGTAGGATAAACACACAGAACAAAACGAAACAAACACAAAACGATAACATTGAACGAAACTGAACTCCAAATGAGCAACAAAACAATATGATGTGGCGATTCAACAAAAATAGTTTTAGCATTAACAAAAACATCAACATTTGAGATTCAACAAAACTTAGTGTATTTACAGTTACCCTAGAGTACCGAATAATTACCTCTTCCAACCCCCCCCCCCCCCCACTTATAATTTTTTGAAAATTTTCCTAAGCGATCCCACCATAAACCCGCGGCAGTAGTGTACAGAAGTTCAAGATGAACTTATTGGAAATGCAGAATAATCGATTAGAAGAGACGTTTAGTTGCGTTTCCTTTAGTAACACGATTTCTTTTCTGTATTCCGACCCCCCTCCCCAGTTTATTCCATTCTGTTTCAAAACTCTTATTGACTAATATTTCCAGTCTCCTGCCTATCCAAACCCCCTGCTTATTCGGTACCCTAGAGTACATTTCCATGCTTTTACTTTATATACAATAGACATCTTTTGTATCACCGAGCAAGTTCTTCTTTTCTCCGCCGTAAGTAATACTAAACAAAACAAAAGAAAACGATTCACAGAATCTAGCATAAATCATGTATTGCAGTATAAAATTTCAGAAATAATTGCTAAACTACTCTAGGGGTGGGCAATTCGGTCTCCCGCACACCCGGATAACCGGTTTGTACTTGCAGGAGACCGCTTATTGTTACACAGGGTTACCGCCGGACCACCGGAATTGTCCATCAATATACTTTGGTTTAAGCCAGGGGTTTAAGCAAAAGAAAATCTGAAATCTTTTCTAGAAGCCTTCAAATACCTTTCTACTTTTCTGCTGTTATCTAAATGGAGGCAGACTCCGTTTCAGATAAGCAGAATAACGCCGCCCATCGCAGGTTGTAAAGAAACGTGGTGTAAATAGAAACCGCTATACATTTGCTTGAATGTGTTCTGTTGCTCGTAAGTTTTAAGAGTTATAATATTTTCTATGTTGGTCAACGAAAGAACTCACGCACAGTAAGCCACATCATTAAGACACCATTTAGACATTAAGTAAGATGTGGTTTAACAACCGCTATCCTAAGGTCCGTATCTGTAATACGCAGACACCCTGAATCATGTTCAGCCTATTTTGCAAACGTGAGTTCAATATTCAGGGGAAAATCTAAAAGAGGCTTGTAAAAAGCAGTAAGAAGTTCAAAAAAGAAAGATAAAGCAAAGTGATGCAGTTAAACAAGATTCACTCTTAAAAACTAGGCAGTTGAAGGAAATTAAAAAACAAATAGCACTCACCCGGCGGGAGTTAGTTTTGCTTCTGATCTGGTAATTGTATATCTCCCCATTTTCCGACTGTCTCTGTTTCTTTCTAGGTGTGCCATTTTTCTTCCGTGGCGTGGCTGTGGCTTGTAGTGAATATTTGCGCAGTGGCGATCTGTGACTCTCCTCATTTTCCAATTGTCTCTGTTTCTTTCTAGGTCTGCCATTTTTCTTCCGTGGCGTGGCTGTGGCTTGTAGTGAAGAATTACCCACTGGCGATTTGTGTCTCTCCTCATTTTCCAATTGTTTCTTTTTCCTTCTAGGTGTGTAATTCTCCTTCCGTGGCGTGGCTGTGGCTTGTAGTGAAGAATTACCCACTGGCGATTTGTGTCTCTCCTCATTTTCCAATTGTCTTTTTTTCCTTCTAGGTGTGTAATTCTCCTTCCGTGGCGTGAATGTGGATCGTAGTGAATATTTACCCACTGACATGCTGTGTCTCTCCTCATCTTCCAATTGTCTTTTTTTCCTTCTAGGTGTGTAATTCTCCTTCCGTGGCGTGGCTGTGGCTTGTAGTGAATATTTACCCAAAGGCGATCTGTGTCTCTCCTCATTTTCCAATTGTCTCTGCTTCCTTGCAGGTGTGTGATTCTCCTTCCGTGGCGTGAATGTGGATCGTAGTGAATATTTACCCACAGGCGATCTGTGTCTCTCCTCATCTTCCAATTGTCTTTTTTTCCTTCTAGGTGTGTTATTCTCCTTCCGTGGCGTGGCTGTGGCTTGTAGTGAATATTTACCCAAAGGCGATCTGTGTCTCTCCTCATCTTCCAATTGTCTCTGTTTCCTTGCAGGTGTGTGATTCTCCTTCCGTGGCGTGAATGTGGATCGTAGTGAATATTTACCCACTGACATGCTGTGTCTCTCCTCATCTTCCAATTGTCTTTGTTTCCTTCTAGGTGTGTAATTCTCCTTCCGTGGCGTGGCTGTGGCTTGTAGTGAATATTTACCCACAGGCGATCTGTGTCTCTCCTCATCTTCCAATTGTCTCTGTTTCCTTGCAGGTGTGTGATTCTCCTTCCGTGGCGTGGCTCTGGATCGTAGTGAATATTTACCCACTGACGATCTGTGTCTCTCTTCATTTTCCAGTTGTCTCTGTTTCCTTCTAGGTGTGTGATTCTCCTTCTGTGGCATGACTGTGGATTGTAGAGAATACTCACGCACTGGCGATCCCAAGTACTTGCCGTCCACATTTGCTTGCTCTTCAGTTCTATTTAGCGACTGTGTATTTTGGATTTCTGTAACTGGTCGATTAGCATCTGCCGACTGAATATCTAAGACAGGTTCAAAATTGTCTGCAGGAGGCAATATTCTTGCAGCCTGAGGTTCGTTGATGACCATTTGATTTTCAAACGATTCATTAAAACTGATATCCCAATCCTGTGTATTTAGAAGCACAGGACTCAGCAAACTCTCACTTATTGCATCGTCCCCTGTATCGTCTTCAGTTCCTTCATTGAGTTCTTCTCTATTTCCGTCAACTCTTCCTTCCTCAATCTCTTCCGAACTGTCTCTGTCTCTCTCTTCGTCGCTCTCTTCCCCTATGTCACACACGTCTGCAAGTTGTGTTTTTAACTTCAAAGCATCCCGTTCTCCTTTGTCGATTATTTCCAGGCCCCGGCCATGGGAGCTTCCTTCATCCAGGACACAGAATACCCAAGGCGACCTTTTACGCTGCAAACAAACAAGATTCTCCATAAACAATCTCATTATTTCCTAGACCTTCATGGCCCATGACCTTCATGGCCCATGACCTTCCTGGTCCTGGTACATGTCTGTCAACAGTGGCAAGAGGAAATATTGTTATCCGCCACGAAACAGAAGCGACTAGACCATAATAAAACATGAATAGCTATTGAGACAAAAGGTCTAGATTTCCTATCATTCGTTATACTTTCCCGAATTACACACTCAGCTTTACTTAAAAAAATAAAAATAAAGAATATTTTGCTTAGAAATGAAATGCAGTCGAAAAGATAAATGTACAAAGAACGTCAAAAGCGAGAACAAGTAATGCTTAACTGCAAAATGCAAACTTTCGTCGCTAACAAAATTAGGCCCTTGAATACTAAATTCATGAAAACGCGAACTGAGCTAATAATTTACAACTATATATTGCAAAATCATTTTCCTTAATATTTTCATTCATACTGAATATGACCAAGAACGCACCCCAATGAAGCAGTTTTCAAAGAGCTAAACAATCAACTTCGTACCTTTTCAGGAACGAAGCCCCGAGCCAATGACACCTCTAGATCCTCATTAGATATTCCACATTGTCTCATATGTCGTATTTTCACGAAATCACCTGGCACTGCTTCCAAACCATTCGCAACATGGTTCCCGTGCAAACTTACTGATATCGACCTTTTCTCGACATGCCTCGGAACATCGTTCACATGTTTAAAGTCTTTGGTTCGTCCATAGGAAAACGACTGACAGTTTGGCTGGGTTCCATCCCAAACACGAAGAATCAAGCAGCTGCTGTCACTAACAGACAGGTGAACAGACACAACTTGCACCAAAATGTTGATACATTTTCCGTCTGGCTTGATGTCTGATAACCTTGTCCATTCGCGTGCTAATTGCATCTAGAAAAAAGACAGTAAACAAGTTAACGTAGAAAACTATATCCGAATATCAAAGACAGCTTAATCATCCCAAACAATTGATAATGGTGCAATTTCTACAACATGGACCTTGACTGTATCCAAAAGTTAGTTCCTTACAACCTAATCGGAAAAATGCCACATCAGCTTATCAAAAACATATTAACAGGAATAAGATTTCTAAAATATGCAATAAACCAGGATATAAGCATAAATTAGCATAACATAAGTGAAGAACAGTAACTTGTATTACATACGTCATCTAAAAGGCTTCTTCTCGATGAAGAAGGTTGAGAGTGTTGCTCTGCATTTGTTCTTGATCGCTGTGTACTTTGTATTTCTGTAACTGGTCGATTAGCATCTGCCGACTGAATATCTAAGACAGGTTCAAAATTGTCTGCACGAGGCAAAATTTTTGCAGCCTGAGGTTCGTTGATGACCATTTGATTTTCAAACGATTCATTAAAACTGATATCCCAATCCAGTGTATTTAGAAGCACAGGGCTCAGCAAACTCTCACTTATTGTATCGTCCCCTGTATCGTCTTCAGTTCCTTCATCAAGTTTTTTCCTATTTCTGTCCACTCTTCCTTCCTCAACTTCTTCCAAAATGCCTCTATCTCTCTCTTCGTCGCTGTCTTCCCCTACGTCAAACACGTCTGCAAGTTGTCTTTTTAACTTCAAAGCATCCTGTTCTTTTTTGTCGACTATTTCCAGGCCCTGGCCATGGGAGCTTCCTTCCTCCAGAACACAGAAGACCCAAGACGACCTTTTACGCTGCAAGCAAACAAGAGTCATGGCTAAAAAATACGAAGACGAACAACTTTACGAGCTGAGCACATAGTTAAAAGATTTAGTAAATCTTGCAGTTCACTTGTATTTACTAAAAGAAACATAAAATTTAGCGATTTCACTCGATATGATTTTCATATTGCAAGGCAAGTAGACCAAAAACGATTTTCAACGAGTGTTTTTTAGTAAAACTATTCAACTAACTTTAGAAAGGCTGTTTTTGCATTTAGTTAAAAATTGTTAAAAAAGTAAACAAATTGATTAGAAAAGGAAAGGAAAAGTGCTAAATAAAACAGCAGAGTAGACGAATCATCTATTAGAAGAAAACAAAGTAGTTGTGCAAGGTTTCTTAAAACAACTATATGCAGAACTTTTATAGTATAGGGTTTAAACAATTTCTCTAAATAAGGTCAAAATTTGTCTTCTTCGTGGATTAATGCATTACAGCCCTACTTAAATGGGGTAGCAACTTTGTTAAATTCAAAGGCTATCATGAGCCCATGCTCTACGTTCCAAACCTGTAATCAGGCTTGCTCCACAGCAGCTTTTCGATTTGACAAACCAGGTAGCACTTGATAAATCCACATGCATGCCATTTTACAAGAACCAGATAAATTTGCTAAGGCTCAAAATTCATTGTTCAAATTTGTTTAATAATTTGCGGTTCGATTGTTCTTAATATTGTTATTATTTCAACCTTCTTTTTTCTACAGCTAAGAACAATTAATTGTTTATAAGATAACTAAACTTGAAGGACAAATAAATAACCAAGTGCATGACATTTCCAGGAGCACAGCTTAGTAGCTGACATAATCTGCTCTGTTTTGTTAACCAGAGAGAAAATTTCCACAAAAATATCGATTCTTATTTTATGTTTATCAGGCTAGACATTTCTTGTGTTGTTTTTATTATATTAAAAAGTGTTTTGATAAAAGATATGAATAAAATCAGAAATAACTTATTCAATCTGCAACGCGATTCCATATCATTTAGCTCTCCATTTTGTATTTCAAGCAAAAATCGAACTTTTTCACCACCATTTTAAACATGGTCGATTCACCGTAAAACGCTTTGCTTTTCACCCAAATAAATTCAAAATCATAATAACTAAATGAAATTCAATCAGAGTTAATCTCACGAGGGGCGTTCGTTCTTTAACTGATTCGCTCTGAATTTATATTTATTTGCTATTGGTTATGTTTCCTTGTGACGTGCTTTCTCAAGTTTTACTTGTACCCATTCTACAAGAATATGCGCAATGCTACGCAGGGTTTCACTTTTCTTGATGAAGCCTTATAACATGAGCGCTATTCGCTCTTTTCCAACACATCCAACTTTATACTGTTTTCATATATGAAAATTTTCTTTTTCTGGCATAACCCAAACAGTTTTACTCTACTTTTTTCAGCATCGTGAATACTTCTCATACTTTTGGACATCATTTTTGCTGTTTACAATTTGATGGCTTTAGGTAGGACTGGTGCATTGAGATAAAGTGGGAGAAAGGTACTCTTATTATCCATTCCCTCCCCAATATCGTTTGTATTTTGAGCATTTTGTGTAACTTCCCTTGGTAGCCGCTTCATGTTATTATGGTAGGTTTGATGATTTAGGCCGATGCAACAAAGGCCCAACTCGCTCTCGATGATGTGAGAACGTAGCCTCACGACTGACTTTCTTATGTCCATGGTATGTTTTCCTGGGAAAGCATTTTTGTCCTTCAACTTTTATTGTAGCTTTTGACACGAGATAGAAAATTAAAACAGCCTATTTCCAAATAAAAGAAAAACACTCTACTTTTTCAAGCCTGCCACAAAATTTAACAACAACTGGAATTGCCATGCAAGAAAAATTAAAACAGCCACGTTATTTTCATGTTCGATTCTCACCGTACCTTTTCAGGAACGAAGCCCCTAGCCAATGACACCTCTAGATCCTCATTAGATATTCCACATTGTCTCATCTGTCGTATTTTCACGAAATCACCTGGCACTGCTTCCAAACCATTCGCAACATGGTTCCCGTGCAAACTTACTGATATCGACCTTTTCTTGACATGCCTCGGAACATCGTTCACATGTTTAAAGTCTTTGGTTCGTCCATAGGAAAACGACTGACAGTTTGGCTGGGTTCCATCCCAAACACGAAGAATCAAGCAGCTGCTGTCAAAAACAGACAGGTGAACAGACACAACTTGCACCAAAATGTTGATACATTTTCCGTCTGGCTTGATGTCTGATAACCTTGTCCATTCGCGTGCTAATTCCATCTAGAAAAAAGACAGTAAACAAGTCAACGTAGAAAACTATATCCGAATATCAAAGACAGCTCAATTAACTCAAACAATTGATAATGGTGCAATTTCTACAACATGGACCTTGACTGTATCCAAAAGTTAGTTCCTTACAACCTAATCGGAAAAATGCCACATCAGCTTATCAAAAACATATTAACAGGAATAAGATTTCTAAAATATGCAATAAACCAGGATAGAAGCATAAATTAGCATAACATAAGTGAAGAACAGTAACTTGTATTACATACGTCATCTAAAAGGCTTCTTCTCGATGAAGAAGGTTGAGAGTGTTGCTCTGCATTTGTTCTTGATCGCTGTGTACTTTGTATTTCTGTAACTGGTCGATTAGCATCTGCCGACTGAATATCTAAGACAGGTTCAAAATTGTCTGCACGAGGCAATATTCTTGCAGCCTGAGGTTCTTCGGCTTCATCTAGATGCCAAGGACTAACAAAGCTAGAAGCACTGCTTTCTCTATGAATTCTCCATTCATCTCTGAACTGTTGCATTGCTAATTGTTCATTCTCGTCTTGGACATCAACGTTTCCGTCACCGCTCTCGATAGAGCTTTCGTCACTGTCCTCTGCAGTCTCACTTACTACGGCAAGCTTCTCCTTCAATTTTAAAGCTTCAAGTCCATTTTCATCGATGATTTCTAAACCTCTACCATACGAATTTTTTTCACTTAGGGCACAGCAAACCCAGGGTTTTGTTGAATGCTGCAACTTTAGAAAAGTGTAAAAAATACTTAGACTGATTCAGAACTAACAAATTTAAGATACGCAATGAATCTCGTAAGTGGAGCCAAAGATTCTTGAAAAAGGTGCCAGGTTTAAGAAATAACCAGTTGAGAAGAAGTTTTAAAGGAAATTACTACTAGGCATGCACAGAATAACTTGTGACATTTGAACAAGAACAAAGAATGCCAAAGACAAAACCGTAACATTCGGAATGAGCATTTCTCACCTTTTTCGGGATGGATTCATTCGACAAAAGATCGTCCAAGGTATCTTGAGGTAGCGGCCGCTGGTTCAGATTTGTAATTCTAAGGACGTTTCCTGGGTTTGCTTCCAATCCTTTCTGGATATGACCTCCGTATAAAATAATGTACATCAATCTCTTTTCAATATACTTTGGTATATCTCTTGTCTGTGTCTTTTCCGGATTAAAACCCTCTTGTAAACCATAGAAAAATGAATTGCACTTTGGGACTGTTCCATCCCAAACGCGAAGAACGTATGAGTTCTTGTCTACTTTATTATGATCAGCCGAGAACAATTCGACTAACACGTTGACATATTTGTTGTCTGGTTCAATATCTGAAAGCAGTGTTATTCTCCTTGCAGCCTTTACCTAGGGAATCAAAACATCACCTAAGTGGAAGGCAAATCTTGAAATTTATCGAAAACTGCTACCATAGTTCAAATAAAGTCTTAAAGTGCACAACATTTCTTTCTATTTCAGTAAAGTTTAAACTAGTATTGGCATCATAACACTAATTCAAGCTTTTCTTGATCTTCGTATTTTCTGAAGTTTATCATTAAAAATATGTTAATCGTATTTCATAGGAAATAGCTTGCTTGTTTAACCCACTTAACTATTAAATTTCGTTATTTAGCTTTTAGCAAAAATCAGCCAATGTAGATAACCACATCTCACCATTCAATCTGCTTCTAAAATAAGCAGAGAAAGGGTGGTAAATCAACAAAGTCATTTTGGAATAAACCAAAATCAAACTTTTCCATTACTAAATTGACAAAACTATAAACCATATCATCAAATTATTCCTAAATCTTGCAATACTATAGAAGATCTAAAAATACAAATTCCCAAAAACCCCTACAACTCTCAATTGAAACTAAAAACCATATTTCTATGAAAATCAATTAGAAGAGGAATTTATTAGCAGATTAAATTTCTATTTTCTTAAAGAGAACGATAAATAAAAAAACTAGGACCTAGAAACTTCAATTAAGATTGATAAGAAGAAAATTGAAACGAAATCTTATATTTGCCAATATCTTATATGGATTGATGCCTCCTCCCCCTGTAAATCCTGCACATGCAGATTTTGCAATATTTAATATAACGAGTTTGGTTGAATTTAACTGCCTTAGCAGCCAGGGCCGTCGCTAGCGGCGGGGGGGGGGGTGCGGGGGGCACCCCCCCCTAGAAAACTCTTGTCGGCAAATTGAAAAACTCTGAACGTTGATCCTGGAGGTACTGGAAGCCACTGTAAGCAGGGAAAGGGGGCAAAGTGCCTCAGGGCCTTGAGGTCGAGGGGGCCTAAAGTAGTAATGAACTCAATTGGCAATCGTTTGAAACGGCAAAACCTTCGAACACTTTTTATCAGTCAATGTCTGGAAAATTCCTCTTGAGCCGATTCCATAGAGATGGCTATTAATAGGGATGAAAAGCAGCATCGGAAGCAAGTCTGTAGAATGTTAGAGGACAAGAAAATTCCCTGACATCTTAGATTTGGGGCATAAATAAAGCAATTTCTCAGTTGGCTTTTGGATAAAAGTCTTGGTTTAAAGCATCCCCTTGTGTGCACAACTTTATCTAGTTCATTCTTTGATGGTAAATGTAGAGCGTGAATCCCTGGTCTGTGAAAATAATATTCAAGGAAAAAGATATCACTTACAATCTAAAAACTAAAACTGATGTATTTTTCGCCGATGACAATAATGAATTCCCCCAAGAAAAAGTGATAAATGAACACAGAGAATACAAAACCAGAATAATGGTGACTATTTTAAGAAAAAGTTCGTTATATTGAAGGAAATTTTGGTGAAAGGACCTAAAAATTTTTTTTCAATAACATGATTTAGTTTTATCCGAAGTTAGCTTTACCAAGAGATTAGTAAGGAGCCTGATAGGCAGAATCCAAGCAGCCAGACACTTTCTTGCTTTTATTTCTTACCTAGAATTTCAGAAATTTAATTGGCAATCCTGAAAATGTATTAGGCCTTTTGAGAGTGGCATGGACTAAAAGTATTAAAGAAGGATATACATTTAAACTAATTGCAAAAATGCACAAAACGAATCATTAAGAATTTTGCTCTCAAAATAAAGAAGGCATGTAGTTAGCATTCCAGCAGAGCAGTATGCATGTGCCAGGGCATGCCTTTCCAACAAAAGCTTGGCTTAACTCTTCCAATATTGCTCAAGGTATGTCTAAGCACAGGCATAGTGGCAAACAAATATATTTTGTAGAGTAAAGAAGCTGGAGACTAAAGAGACTAAAGAAGCTGATATTTTTTCAATCTCTTACCTGTTCTAACTTATCTCCCCAGTCACTAAGCTGCTTGAGCTTTTCCATATCTGATTTGTCAGCCTTATAAGAAAATAAATCAATGGCTCCATCTGGATGAGCAACAACCCTAAAAGAAAAAAGGTAAAACTATTCATGATGAGTTTTTGCTGGCTGCACAATCCCTTGTGTGTTCCTCTTTCATCATTTTCCCAATTTACAAAAAAACAAATAATTGAAATATTTTTTAAATTAAAATATAAGGCATTTGCTTACAAATTCAGAATAAAATAGAGTTACTTTTCAAAAGCATATTTACTTAAACATTAAAACTCTACTTAAAAACCCAGTTCTCTTTGCAGGAACCCAAAATTAAATTAAATTAAGTGAAAGGTCCTCTTAAGCACTGTTGGGGCTGCCCTGTACCATCAAATGAATTAGAACTGAGGAGTACCCTCTATTTCAAGGATGACATACACCTATGCTTAGACCAGGAATGAGCAACCTTCTCTACTTTTGGTACAAACTTGCGATGTTTTGTATCTTGTAGGGCTGGTCAGGCTGCAACAGGGTAGGCAAAAATGAATGAAGGTTTTAGAGACAAACTCAAAACTCAAAACTTTTCATTCAGCAACAAATGTACAAGTTTTAAAGGTATACAACTTCTAAGATTATAAAAAATAATACAAAAAAATAGGTAGCAATGCTAAGATAGCAGGCTTTGCCCGGAAAGGCCCTCGATCGAGCGCGCGCGCCTAGAGCGCACCCAAAAGAAGCCTTGGAGAGCGATTTATAGAGCCCCTCAAAACGTCAAAACAATATTACCACGGAGCAAAATAATTTCTTGGCCTTTGTCTAATAAACTTGATCAAGCATAAACAATCTTCCCAATAGACCGCAATATTATGATTTGCGTAAGATTACCCCTTGAGAAAAAAATTCAGCAAATTCAACGTTGGGTTTTCGATACCATTTTTAATCTAATAACCCGCTAATAACCACCAAGGTCACAGGCCATCAACCCTCATCTCCGGAAGATTTATTTGATTTTCGAGCAAGCGTTAATCTTCTGTTGAAGTATTATTTCCTGTTTTTCCTTAATAACTCGTGCAAATCAACGATCACATTTCCATCCAAATTACCGCATTGCTTTTCAGTTTTCATTTGCTTTCGTGAGTAGTAGATGTTCTAGCATGTCTTATAGAAAGAATAGCATAAAAAGGAAACAAAGTTAATGTTCGACTTAAAGCCATGCGTTTTCCTATATTTCTATATTTGTATTAACATAGTGTTTGCTGCATGTTTTGTTGTTTCGTATTATGGTGCTTTTTGGTATCACCGTTGAATTTCTTATTTAACACTCTTCCAAAGCTTTCGATATGAAGCTCTCGATCTTCCAA